TTGCAACGAGGCACTGGCTAGGCGCCCTACTACTCATACTACCTACTCTCAAGGAGCCACATTCGCCCATGCGGAGCCGCCGGTCGTACTTTAGTAGCGACTCACTTTTGGCATACAGCCTAGCCGAACTCGCCGAGGCAGCAAAGGCTAGCATGATGGTTCCGAGCCTGCCTCCCGGGGGTTAGGGGGCGGTGTGGCTTCCCGTCCTCGCTCCAGGACTAGGACCATACCTGCGAAGTCAGCTCTCAGATATTATTCAGAGAATGGCTTGTGCCCTTCTTCCACCCCCTTCGTCGCCTAGAGGTTAACAGTGCTAATAGCTCTAGCACCGCAAGGTATTGGCACAGCGGACGGAGTCATGATGCACGCCTAGGACAAAATCAAGACATGCCATCATATATGCAAAACACACAAATGCTCGCACCTGACATGCACATAACGACTAGCGCGCCTCTTGCGTCTGAAGTTTGCGCCGACGAGACTTTGCAATCCCATCACGCTGTGTGTAGGTAAGCAGTCAATATTAGTGTACAGACGGAGCTAGACCGGCCTCTGGTTGGTTCTAGCTTAGTCGTGTACCCAGACCCGCCAGCTTGGTCAGAATATGTGTATACACACTATGCAGTATGTAGTCGGGATCAAGATGCGCTACCTAGCAGAAAGGGAGGGAGGGAAAGAAAAAAAACATGGCATAACCCGCAGCGAGCATTGGTTCCAACCATCGCCAGTCGACGACCCCTGCAGGAGCCCACATTTGGACCCGGCTGGCCGCAAGCGAATGCACGAGTTGACCGATCCGGCATCTTGGGACCGCCCACCCGGGTCACAGTATACGGGATCGTACTGTCCAGATCAGCAGTGGATTAGCAGCATGGAGCGGTTCTTCATCACTAGGCCATGTTAGCCTCGTTTTCCCATGCCGCTAGGAGCTTAGATGCAATACAAAGACTCGCCCTCGTAGTTAGACTTGTCACTAGCGAGGAGGCATGTGAGCACCTGAAACGGGTCTGTCTGCGATGGGGCTCCCGTCTTCTGGCGAGTCAGCTACACTCTGTACGTATACATGTGTATAGCGGGATATGCGGTATCAGGGGACGCTAATATTCTGGCTGCGACGGCCCACGAAGCCCAGAATGGAGTCGCCCCCCTCTAAGCTTACTATTAACTACGTCCTAAGCTTAGGTTGGCGGGGACCTACATCCCGTTGTTCGCCTGAACATGCCCTTCCCTGTCGAACATCGACTCCCCTAGTTCCAGGATCCGTAAACAGCAGCAAGAGGCAGCAACGACGATAAGCAGTCTGCTTACAGCAACCGGACTAGCAACATCAGAAAAGAACAGCATGGCCCATGTACCGGCTCTCGTTTCTCTGACGAAGTCGCGTCATATACCTACAAGTAGATTAGAAACAATAGGGAGAAGACACACCGCCTTTGCTATTAGTAAACATGCGATCCTTAGGTCTCGAGACTGGTAGTAAAGACATAGAAGACTTGTCTATCCGTGGCACCATTCACCACAGCTTCGTTCGGGGGAGAGGGAGTTTATAGTAGCGTTACTAAACAAGGCGGGGCGAAGCGTAAGAGTAAAGCGATAGCCCTCCCATCCACGCTTCCATATCCAGCCCATCGGTTTTGCAACTGGCCGAGGAATTCGGGACTTAGAATCTGCGGATCGGCAGCTCATAGCAGCTGCTCAAAGTATTAAATGATACCTACTAAGGTCGAGTACGTAGCCCGACCAGAAGAGGGTTTCCGGGAACAGCATGGGTGTGTCTATAAGGTCACAAATATGTTGGCCACCCGTTCGCCATTACTGATATACCTTTAGTTGGGCTGGGCGCTTCTAGATAGGTAGGTGTCCATAAAGGTGTACGGGCATAGGTATAGAGATTCTACCCCGAGGAACATGTACGGAGAATAGGGAGAAACCTCTCTTGCCCCTCCACCCCCCCAAAAGAAACCGAGCATTTCGGAATACAAATAAACCAGTCTCTCTCTCTCTGTATGTGTGTGTGTGTGTGTGTGTGTGTGCTGTATTCCCAATGCCGCCCAGTTGGTTATTGCTGAGCATCTAGCAAGTACGGAGCAAGGTTTATGTAGTCTTGATATCCAGAGAGACAGCTGTAGCAAGCCTCACCGGCACAACCCACTTACTGGCACCTCAGCTACTAACCCAGGTTATTGTGGTTGCTGTTAACCTCGTAGAATTCCGGAGATACCAATACACACATATGCATGTATACGCTCGATTATTACATGCTTATGACGTACGAGGGCCTCCGGGAACCCACATTTTATTAGGTGGTGAGGAAAGGGGAACATAAAAAAGATGTTAATTATTTATATTCTCGTCAAGGTTGGCGGATGTGGGCGCGGGCCTTCGAAAGTTTCCCACTCCTGATACTGAAGACCTCCTGCCTATCCACAACAGAGTGGCAAACTATGTCAGATGAATGATGTTCGAGTATTATCTCACCCTCTCTTTTGTACCGGGCGCTTAGAAACACCTGTATCGATCGCGCAGCAATACGATGGAGCCTCTCACCGGCTGTCGGTGGAGCCAACCCAAGACCCAAAGCACCGGTATCGAGCGGGCGGGTAAAACAAGCAAGCAACAGTCGCCAAAAACTAGTGGTAGATCGACAGAGCTCCTCTGACCGGCTGGGTAGATGAATAGGTGGGTGAACGAGTTGGGCAGAGGGCAATGGACTGGGAGGTCCCAGGGCCTGCAAGCGCCCGCCAGCCTCCAGCTTTGCGACTTCTAGTCCCGGGTTTTGCCTTCTGGGCCAGAGTCCTAGTAGGGAGCGGACCTGACGATCGGAGAACAAGGGTGAGGCAAACCTTTTTTGTCTCACGGTGTGGCCGTGTAAGGGGGCGAGACAGAGACAGATAAATAGGGAGAGATGATGCGAGAATGTGAGAGGGTGAGATATCGGGACGGCGGGACGGCACACCTCGGGGGAAACGGGCATAGGAGATTTTAGCAACACGTACGGAGCGTGTTAATTGCAATCGCTAAGATGGATCACCGGCGTCTTCGGCCCCCCCTTACTATGCACACATCTTCCCTCTCTTTCCGCATTCCTACGCCCTGGGGACGCAGGCGCGGCAGAGCCAAGAAAGCGGAGAGAGGCGATTAGGAGAGAGGGACAGAGAGAGTCAACACCACATCCGGAACCCCCTCCTACCTAGATACATAAGGTAAGCTCAGGCCGGATGAACAACCGTCCCTAGCCCCTGGCACTAGGGAAAGGGATTGATTTAACAAAGTCCTGTTCTCCTCTCGATTTCAACCTGAAACGGACCGCCGTGGGCGTACACACATAGATTTGCAACACACGTACATACACGCATGCACAGTAGATCACACATGCGTACCCTAACGTATGTACACACGCACATTATTACGGATCGCGCGTCAGTGTTCGACTTAGCCGGTATGACATTGTATACTCAGCTAGCCTCTTCGGGGCAGAGAGCTCTGTTTGTGTTCGTGATGGGACTGGGGATGAACTTCCCCGGGCCCCATACTACACGGACATGGGCGTAGTTCGACGATCGAAAAAAAAATCATTTTCCCGCCGGGTTTTCTGTTTCGTTCCTTTCCGCCCCCCTTCCCCATCCCCTCCCCTTTCTTTTCTTCTTTTCAATAGAGGGTGGCGTTGGCATTCGATCCCTGATCTTGCCGAGTACCATCATCTCGGCGCGTAAGCAGTCAGTATATGCCTTTCTTCTATCCGACTCTACAAAGGCGCCTACATCGCTAGTGGCCATCGGGCTGCGAACCTATGCATGTACATACGTAATATGCCCTGCCGCCCAGGGTTCTGCTGCTTCGTGGGCCTCGGCCCTTGTCGCTGTCCTCATTGTCTCCCCCCTTTACGGCCGTTGGAAGCCTGTCAGCTTGTACGCGGGCGCGCACCAACGACGCGGGTTCGAGAAGTACGGGACAGGCAAGTGGACGGGAGCTTGCTTGCCTGGGGTCGGAAATTTTCTGCTCCTCTCTTGGTTCTCCTTGTGATTTGCCGGTAGGAGAAAAGACCTAGGCGAGTTGTCTCGGGGCGAGACCTGACGTGTCATGACAATCCTCGGACAGCGAATGCGTCTACATGTGATCCTAGCCTCGGTGACAAAGTCGTTCTTCGCTGGCTGTCCTGTCGTCTGTAGCGACGCATACCGAAGAAGGATTTCGGTGCCTTGCGGCATGGCCTCTCTTTGTCACCGTTTATTTGGATCGTACAAATGCCCAAGCCTCCGCCAGGGCAGAAGGTTTGGGCTGGCGAGATTGCAGGTATGACTCGACCGGACGTCGTGCGGTAGCTCATTTCTTGTCCCAGGGCCACACGAGAGAGCCACCTCGAGACATGCAAGTCTTACCGAGAGGTCCGTCTGGTCGAGCGTCTGCCAGTCCGCCTCCGCGTTTATCTTCCGACGGGGGCGACATATATATACCTACACCTTCCCTGACTTTCCCTGTTTTGCGAGAGGCCTGCAAGTATCCGACTTACCACCTCCGCGGTGCGCCACGTCGCAGTGGTGCCAGGACCATGCCCATGGAAGCAGAGACTGGAGTGAACGCTGACGAGGCTAAGTTTCTGGGTGGACGATATGGTAGCACCGAGTATCTTGTCTCACACGGACATATAGCCCAATGGACACCAGCCATGGGGTACAGGACGTCGAGAATGTTTGTAGCAAGCGACGTGCTCGCTTCTTCCAGCCAAGGGGCTATGCCGTGCGAGATTGTACAACGATCTGGGGCCCTGGGGGAAGAGGAGGGGAGGGGAAGAGGGCAGTTTGCGGTGGAGGACGGCAGGAAACGTTTTGCGGTGTCAGTTGTACCTAATTGTCTATCGCAAAATAGCGTCAGATGTGCCAGCGTCCAGCTGGGTACGATCGTGGCAAAGTGATAAATAGTACGAGAATCCACACCGAGGAGCAATCTGCCTTTAATGAAGGGGGACGGTCCCAGCGTCGTGGAACTTTGCAACTCTGCAGCTTGTATTTATTTATTAGTCGTATCTTGAAGAACCGGAAGACCCTCCCCTTCCCAACACCCACACCCACACCCACACACACCCACACACACACATATATATAGGTATATAGATAGATACGCGCGACTGGGATAGTTATTGATACTGGCTGTGGTGCTGTCCCTCTTTGGCTCGAAAGTATGCCCATCCAACGCCAAATCTCCATGCACGCTAAACAAACTAGGAAAACGTGCCCAGAGGGCGGACGATTATAGACGGGGCTGAATCGGTGGGAAGGTACTCTCTTGCGGCCACTGAACATCCGGCCAGACATGACGGATAGCTTCCCAGATGTGGCTGATGAGACATTTCGAATATCATGATTAGCCAGATCCGAATCGTTGGAAGGTGGCGGGGGAAGGGGGGAAGCAAAATCCATACCTGACGTAGATAATTTCTAATCCCTTCTTCACTTCTGACGGTACCTCTCTCGCATCCTTCTCATTCTGCGCTGGCAGGAGGACTGTCTTGACGCCGGCTCGATATGCTCCGATCAATTTCTCCTTGATCCCGCCAACCCTCTTTACGTGGCCGGAGAGTTGGAATTCCCCCTACCCTGGGTGTTAGTGTGCTGCCGATAAAAGCCGGATTGCTTGCGCTGTGACTCACAGTCATAGCCATCGTCGGGGGTACAGGCCGCCCGGAAAGTAGTGATATGAGGGCAATCGCCTGGGCCATACCGCTCGACGGGCCGTCTTTTGGGACCGCCCCCGACGGACAATGGACATGTAGGCTACGCTTCTTCATGATATTCTCCGTAGGATCCTGTGTCAACCCTAGCTCGTACGCATGATTACGCACCCAGCTCCTGGCGACCTTCACGCTTTCCTTGAGAACATCCCCTAGATTTCCCGTAAGCTCGACGCTGCCGTCGCCAGGCATATCTAGAACTTCGATGAAGAGAATGCCCCCGTTGCCGCCGGAGCTATATGCGACGAGCCCAGTCACTATACCCGGCTGGCTCGTTTTCTCCGCGATCTCGTCCTCGAATTTCTCAATGCCTAGGATGGAAACGAGATCGTCAACGGCAAGGTCTGCCCGATATGTCTCCGGATGGCCGCGGTCGTTGGCTTCGACGAACTCGACGGCCTTCGCTCGGCAGACAGCGCCAATCTCTCGCTCGAGATTACGAACCCCCGACTCGCGGGTGTACGACTCGATGATTTTTGATATCACCTCCTCGTTGAATCGAACCTGATCCTCCCCAAGGCCATTGATTCTGATTTGCTTAGGCACTAGGTGTTGCAGCGCGATGTGTCGCTTCTCGAGTGTGGTGTAGCCGGAAAACTCCAAAACTTCCATGCGATCTAGCAACGGGCCCGGGATCGTATCGAGGGTATTTGCTGTGGCGATGAAAAGGACTTTGCTGAGGTCGACGGGGGTGTTGACGTAATGGTCGTGAAATGCGTGGTTCTGCTCAGGGTCCAGCACCTCGAGCATAGCAGCGGAAGGGTCGCCGTTATGATTGGACATGCCCAGCTTGTCTATCTCGTCCAACAGGAAGACGGGATTCGTCACACCTACTTTCCTCAAGCCTTGTATGATCAGCCCAGGCATGGCAGCAACATACGTCCTCCGGTGTCCCCGTATCTCAGCTTCGTCTCTCACGCCTCCAAGTGAGATGCGGTGGAACTTGCGGCCAAGTGCGGTGGCAATGGATCTCGCTATGCTAGTCTTACCTACGCCGGGAGGGCCAACCAAGAGCAGGATCGGGGCTTTCTCTACCCGTCGCTTACTCTTCAATGCCTGCACCCTGACGCCGGCTGCCTTCAACTTCTCTTCCAACTCGGCATCGGCAGCCGAGTCCTGTTTTGTGCCGTCCTTACTTGACTCTAAGTCGGCTGCCTCTTGTTCCGCTTGCCTTACTTGCCGATCTACTGCCTCGTTCGCCGTCTGCATCAACCTGACGATGGTGAGGTAGGAGAGGAGGCGCTTCTTCACCTTCTCGATCCCGTAGTGGTCGTCATCGAGCTGCTTTCTTGCGTTTTCCAATGTGCCGATCCCAACTGGGTCGTCCGTGGCAACAGACCACGGTATCTCGGCTAGTGTTTCGAGATATGTCCTGACGACCTGATATTCGGCTTGGGCCGGCATCATGTGCTTTAAGCGTTTTAACTCTCGCTCCACTACTCTGGCGGCTTCCGGCGGGAGCTTAGCAGCCTCGATCTTTTTCTCGAGATCTTGCAGATCGTCCGCATCCTGCTCGCCCTGCCCGCCGCCGAATATATTGAACGGTGACCCAGTACCGAAACCGAAACCGGCTGAGGGCTTTCTAGGGTCTACCATTGGCCGTTTGGTGTTTCGCATGATGTTCATTTTCTCCATATCCTCTGGGTCGATACGGATAGGAATGGTGGTGCTTGTGACGGTGGTTACTTTGATATTCCCTTTTAGCTCGTCCACTTGTCGTTCAAGCAAGCCAACGACTGTCTGCATGCGATCTGCAACATCAATCGCAGCGAGCACTTGGAGCTTTTCCTCGTAAGTAGTTTCGAGGACATTCATCATGAAATCAGCCAACGAGCCTCCCTCGTTGGGAGATTTCCCAGCGATGAACTGTTCGAGCCTCCGAGATAGGAGCGGGCTTAGCCCGGGGCCGTTCCTTGATAGTAAGAATGCCGACACGCGGAGGTAGGACACCAATTCGCGCGAGAGCCGCTGCAACGTGCCGAAGAGCTCTTGGTATGCGGTGCTCTGAAGTTCTCGGGGTCCGACATGATCGACGTGCGAAGAAACCTTGGCCTCGAAGTAGGGACGCTCTTGGGTGACCTTCTCAATAGAAACGCGGGAGATACCCTGCACAAGGAGATTAAACTCGACACCATTCTGGCCCTGGATGGCATTGATTTTGGCTGAAGCTCCGTAGGCGTACAGCTGGTCCCCTTTGATGCTATTCTTATTTGGGTTGGTAGTCCCATCGTGGCGGTTAGGATCGCGTTCTAGAATCAACTGGCCACGGCGGCTGAGGAGAGGCGAGCTGAGAGGCACACAAATGACGGAGATCTGGTCGACCCGTTTCGACGCTCTCGAAGCGCGGGTGTATACGTTGGAGATCAGAGCGGGTATATCGGAACGGTTCGCAGACACGGGAATTCTGATGACGGAACCGGGGAAGAGGACCTGCTTCTTGTCTAAGGGAATCACGGGCACGACGGTAGACTGCGCCATCTTGCCGGCTTCCTCCCCCCCTTGTGTTTGTGCGCGTAACAAATCAACAAGACGGCACGAGTAGGGGAGACAGTAAGGGGTACGTAGTTAATTTAGCTAAGAGAGACTTGCAAGATTAACCAGAACGACTTCGATTCAGACCAAGAGGGAGGAGAGACTTGGGGGATGAGGAATGAATAGACCGGATGTTTCTGGACGGATAGAAGGATGGATAGAGACATAGATGGGTGGGTGTTGATGTCAGAGTGGACGATAGGTATATACATGCACGTGCATCATGTGCACATGGGATCCACGAGACGGAATAAACGCCCACATGTACCTAGGTACCTAACCTAATATATGAGAGGAATGGGATACAATATGTACCCATACCTTCTAGGTAATATGCATCCTGAGTAGAGATCGTAGGAGGTATATGAGGTACCTATAGGTATTGCCTAGGTAACTCCAGAAAAGGCCTTTCTAGTAGGTTCTGGACGTTTGACCCGAAGAGACCGTGTAAAGGCCAAAAAAAGAGAGGGAAAAGGCCGTGAAGATGGGTGGCGGGGATGTATTTTTCGAGGGTCCAGGGGGTGCCAGCACGCCAATCAGTAAATATACCTACACGTTGTAATGGAAAATACCTACCTTCTAATGTATGAGTACCATCAGCATGGCCGGAAGCCCTCCCCGACCCCCCTCACTTGCCGAGGCATCTTGCCATTATCCCAGGACTCTGGACCGCGTTATCTTATCGACCCGGCACAAAGCCGAGGACTCCACACCTCACTTTTCGGCCGCTCTTCGGCTATCGATAGGTACTACTATAGGGTGATAATAAAGTGGGAGGATAAGAAGGCGAGATAATGGCGCGTAACAATCGGTTACCCAGCGAGTGCAACTATTGTTACCCTGAGGCGTCGCCCATTAAGAAATAACCCCAGTCCGTTCGGAAAAAGAGACCCGCGACCCAGTCGCGTCAAGCCACAACTCCCCTCTTAACGCGTCTTCCACCTATCTACCTGCTCACCCCATCTCCTAAACAACACACACCTCGCATAACGTCCCCAAGTTTGTTTTTCTCTTCCACCGCAATTATGGCCTGTAAGAGAATCCTCGGCGTGTGCCTGCACCTACGTATTTAATCGCTAGCTAACCGCGTCGGCATCAACAGCGTACGGTGGATATGACACTGGTGGCGGGTACTTCCCCGGTTCGCAGGGCGGCGGCGGCAGCAGCAGCCAAGCGGCCAAGCCCGTCAACGACGAGTCGCTGCGGCCGGTGACGGTGAAGCAGATAATCGACGCGGAGCAGGCGTTCGGCAGCGACGGGCCCTTCCGCATAGACGGCGTCGACGTCACGCAGGTCACCTTCGTGGGCATGGTGCGCCAGATCAGCCCCCAGACCACCAACATAACGTACCGGCTCGACGACGGCACCGGCATCGTCGAGGTCAAGCAGTGGCTCGACCCGGACAAGCAGGACGAGACCAACGACTCCGCCTTCCGCGAGGAGCAGTACGTCCGCGTCTGGGGCCGCCTCAAGAGCTTCGGCAACAAGCGCCACGTCGGCGCCCACATCATCAAGCCCGTCACCGACTTCAACGAGGTCAACTACCACCTGCTCGAAGCCACCTACGTGCACCTGTTCTTCACCCGAGGCGGCGCTCCTGGCGCGGGAGCCGGCGCCGGCGGCGACGACGGCATGTTCGTCAACGATGGGTACGGGGGCGGCGAGAATGCTGACGCCATGCGACTGCGGAATGCGTCGCCCAAGGCAAAGAAAGTGTACGAGTACCTCAACGCCCACAACAGCGAACAAGGCGTCAACATGCACATCATAGCCCGGGACATAGGCATGCCGGTCCAAGACGTCATGACGGCAGCGACCGAGTTGCTCGATGGTGGCTCCATCTACACCACCTTGGATGACGAGACATTTGCTGTCCTACAGATGTTTTAATGTCCACGCTCTGTCTTTGGTTGGTCTCCCTCCGTCGATGAGAGAGAAGAATATGTTCGACGACTGGGACACTTCATTGCTGCATGTGGCGTGGTATGTCTGTAACATTCCGCACCGCGTACATGTACCTCCGGCGCACCTACGTGTGGACACGCACGTTAATGCGCATACGTACCCTATTACATGGCCTGGCGTTATGGCACAACGGTAAACTACGGGCAGGAATGGGCTGGGAGTTACAGGATGAGCACACGCGAAAATAAGCATCATCGATGCGCAGATATGAATGGATTGAGGCTATCTACCGAGGTACACGAAACGGCCGACTTCGGAAATGATACATGAAGCGAGCGATTTAAGCCACGATGGTTTTCGGCCTTTCCTTCTTAGAGAAATGAGGGCGTAATATAACTTGTGTAAATCTGAGGCGACGAGAGAACTCAAAGGGCCTGCCGGCTACAGTTGATCCATCCATAGCCAGCAGAACCCCCCGGTAAGTTCCCGTCGGATTAACCAGGTTAATGACCGACGGGTCCTCGCCGACGAGCTTATCGCCATTCGGCAAAAGGAGCGTAAGAAAGGTAGCAGAACGACCTCAGAAAGTGGTCCTTCACTAAGGAACGATAAACAGAACGACAACCAAAACCCGAGAAAGCCCACCGAATCCAACCAGATGTTGTATCGTGCAGGTAGCAGCCACGCCGCCTCTCTCCCCCTCCCTATTTCATCATCATCATCATCATCAGTAGTAACGGTTTTTTGTCACCATTATCATCAACGACAATATCGACATCACGTTGCACCGCCGAACTCGAACTCACCCTCAGACCGGACCCGACCCTTCCTGTCGCCGCCCACATTTGATGTTAATTCGTTCACATCTTCTTGAAACCGGTGGTTGTGGCGGTGGCGGAATTCAGCTTGATCGGGATTGAGTTCTTGGACAGCTTCTGGGGCTCGCGCACCATGATGGTCAAGCGGACAGGCGACTTGCTGTCGGCGCCGAGGTAGATGTCCTTCTTCGCTTCGAACCCGAACTTCTTGTAGTACGCGTTGTTCGTTAGCGAGCTCGACTCGAGGTACATGGCTCGGCCCTCGGCGTCCGCCTGGAAAATGGTAATTTAGCTAAGCCTGTGCGAGACGGTGTGAAGCAAGGCGATACGTACCCTAGCAGCCATCCCCTCGATGAGTTTCCTCGCGTAGCCCCTGCGCTGGCCGCTTGGCTTGGTGCCTAAGTACACCAGGTAGTAGCAGTCGTCATTCCTGTCTCCCATAACCTCATGCTTGGTGTCGTGCAACACCGGTAGCAGCTCGCGATAGTAGCGCTTCCGGCCCTCAGCCGACAGTTGGTAGTAGAGTCTCCACATACCGCTGCGGATGATGGTCGGCCAGTCGTCCATATCCTTGCCAGGCGGCATCCTATTCCACGCCTCGCGAGGAGACGCACGTGTTAGTCGATTTGTGTCTCGAGTATCCATTTACTTCCGTAAATAAGCCAACCCCTCGAAGGCGGTACCGAGTGGGGTGAGAGATGTATTGGGTTACGCGGGCAACTTAGTAAAGCACCCAGACCACGCAGACCATTAAGTGCAATTGTGGTAATATACCTACGTGGCCTAGGTTACTCTGTGATTATCTGCCTTTTGCTTCCCCGAGAAGAGAGGGAAAGGAAGGGTCGCGGATCGTGGGACGGGGAGGACAACTCACCAGAGCGCCACGGCTTCGTAATCCGGCCCGATGGCCGTCACGACACCCTTGTAGCAATGAGCGGCCACGATGTAGCTGAATATGTCGACGTGCAGCCTCCACTTGGTTTCTTCGTCGTAGGTGCCCATGTCGTCCGTGTCGAGGAGGTACTGTGCTAGTTCATCAGTAGCAAAGGCCTGCGCCAGAGACAGCGCCGCTTCCTTGTACTCCGATATCCCTATAGCACGGACTTGAGCCTCCCATTTCTCGGGGATGAGAGAACGCTTCTTCAACTCAACAAGAGAAACACTGTTGTTGCTGCTTACGTGCTCCATGTTGGATAGCTTTCTACTCAAACCTTTCGGGCCAACTGCATGAGGTGGCAACGGAACGGCGTTGTTAGCCAACGGAATCCATGCATGTCTACCGGGGTGTGTATAGCAGACGGGGAGGGATCTCAGGTGGGAGGGGGGTGGCGGGAGGGGCGGGCACGCACTTCAATTATTACTATTCGCTATATTCTGTATACTATCACCTGTGTGAACTCTGGATAACTGAGTTCTGGAGATAGGCATAAATCTCGCGGGATGGGCTAGGCAGTTGAGACTTGTGCGAAGGTCAACAGACATCAATGTTGGATTGACGGGTTGTCGTCTGGAGAAACTATGATGCAGTGAGGCGCGGTTTGTGGGATGCGACGACACAGGCGGAGCGATGGCGAGGCAAAGCGACGGAGCTCGACAAGTGCAGTGGGCGAAACCGATTTAGACGGAGCGACGATGAGATGAGAGTTAGCAACAAGGAGCAGAGCGTTCTTGTAAGTTACGAATCCCGAGGTGGAGGGATTGTACGCTATAGCAAGACCGATCAGCGTGGCTTGTGTCTATTCTACCTCGAAGGCGACTAGGTGCGAGCGAGTTGTGTCGATTTCTGGTTTGGGGTTGATGGAAAGGAGGAGGAGGAAGAGGAGTCGATTCCGAGATCTGGGAAGCGAGCGGGGAAGCACTTTAAAGAGCGGCAAGCGTGGCGTGCGAAGCACAGTGTATATAAATGGCTGGGTGCAGTGAGGAGGAAAGCCAAGGGCGATTGCGCGGGATGAGACGCAGTGAGAGCCCGAATCGTAGATACTAAAAGCTGGAGAGAGCCGCAGAAGCAAAGGGTGGCCCAACCCAGCCACTAAGCGGCAACCCGGGGACAGGGTACGTGACGCTGGATGACACTATCGATCCCTTGCGGGACCGGCATAATACTGCAGCACGCAGCGGGAGAGACGGATCGCATATCTGCTTGCTCCATTGGCTCGTCCGCTGCGCGGCGGACGGCGGCAGCGGCCGTCTGGGTGCTGTGCTGGCCTTGTGGTCACAGTGAGTTGGAACCGGGACGTTGGGTTGTCTACCTACCGGGCTCGCGTGCATACGATGTACACCAGTCTCGTGCGCGGAGCGGACGTCAGGGATGGATGGTGGTTGGGCTACGCATTGCCACCGGTATCACCGAGGACGCGAAGTGCTGGTGTAAGGAGTTCAGGCTCGCCACGGTGTGTGTAGGTATGTGTGAGTAGGTGGTGAGTGAGTGGGTGCCGCGCCGTCGCTATTGGGCGGATAGCAGGGAGACAGGCGAGCCAGGGTGTCTCGGCATATCGCGGCGCTACGTTGGGGATAACTGAATAATCCCTCGTCCTAGCCACCGCGCCGCCGAGAAGCCGGTCCCACCCTCATCGTCCAAGAGCTGGCTGCAGACAGCCGGTTGCAATATCACCTGACGTACAAATTCGGCGTCCGATTGCCCCAAAAGAGCTATCAGATCCGAGACCCGGCGTTTTCCCTGGGGTAGTGCTCACTTCCACCTGCGCTAGACGCAGCCTGGCCAAGCGTACTGTCTGGCAAGCATTCGCCCGACCAGGCCGTGTGTCCCATTGTGTGGTGTGTGCACCCGAGGCCGGACGTGAATGCCTGGTGGTGAAGTTGTCCCGAATAGACTGCCCGGCGCTGGTTGCCTGTTCTCGGTCTACCGAGCGGTAGCCATGTTTTACCTATTACCTACTTATAGCTGCTTAACCTCGATTTAGCCGTGCAAGGGACTCGGTGCGGAGGAGTAGGGGCGAGACAAGCCAAGGGCCGAATAAATGTGGGATTTGATGGTATAGATGTGATACCGCGTCGTACATGTTAACAAGTCCGTCCTTGTCCAAACGAAACAATCCCCGTCCCGGGTTAGACCATCTCGGGGGATATCTATGTGTGTAACGAAATGCGCTGTCCGGCACTCCGATAGGGAAGAATAAGTAAAGATCGGTGAGACATGCACCTCCCAGCCAAGACTTGCCCATGCCTAACCAACTTTGAGCGACCTCCCCGGACCGACAGGGAACCGTTTGCGTGTGCTGGAGGAGGCAGGGCGCGGAAAGAGGGGAAATCCTGCCTTGCTCTTTTTTCCCATACTTCCCTCGTCGCGCGCCAATCCTACATCCAATGCAGTTTACATGCGCCTGATTTCCTGCTCGTTGGCGTACTTCTCGAGGTCGGAGTCTAGGTGCTCCCACCACTCGAAGAGCATCGACTGGCATATGAGCTTGAACCAGGGCGTGAACACTAGACTCGGGTCCGCAAACAGGCTCTTCAGTCCGTCGGGAGTGACGTATTTTACGTCTCGCACCTCGTTGGGGTTGACGTCAAGGTCGACGTTGGCCTTGATAAACAGAATATAGTCGACTGGTTCGGCGCGTTAGTGGACTTCGCCTCCTCCGGCATCCTCATGCTCGCTCGGACCTCGGAGTGCACTTACTCTCATGCTCGCCCCATTTCCCGTCGCTGGGCGCCTTGTAATGGATTCGCGTCAAGAAGTGGAAGTTCTCGATCGGGACCTGCTCCTTCTTGATACCGAGCTCATGTCCGAGTTTTCGCTGAGCAGCGCGTTTGACGCCCTCGATCGACTCCGGCAGGTTGGATCCCGTCTCGCCGGGAACGCCCAGGGGGTGCGAGCAGCAGGTATTCGTCCACATGTCCGGAAAGGTGATCTTCTCGGAGGCCCGCTGCTGAAGGAGCAATTGGTTCTGGTCATTGAAGAGGAAGACGGAGAATGCTCGGTGCAGCAAGCCCTTATCGATGTTGGTCATCAGATGGCCTACACTGGCGGTTAAGACAAGAGCTACACTGTTATTCGTTCGCAGACCATCACATACAGAGCTTCTTGCTGGCGGTCCCGATGGGCTTGTCGTTGTTGTCGAGGACGATGCATACCTCGTCCATGAGCCGGATCTGCTCCTCATCGTGACCGTCTAGCTCCGCCGAGCTGGTGTCGATGTCTGGAAATAAGCGGAGGATAGTATCCGCCGACGGGGCATTTTGTGTGACGGTGGTAGTGGTGGTGGCTGACATTGTAGGTAATGTAACCGATTAATTGTTTGATTCCCCTCGACGATCTTTTTTCCAGGTTGTTTTTATAATGTAACAATTGCGTGCGACTCTGCTATCTAGATTGATTTCGGTTCGGTTGACAAGAAGTAGGTAGGGGAGGGGGAGGTGGAGAGCTAAAGCCAATAAGTAGGGGTGGATAAGTATTGGTGCAGGTCGCGATGGAACGGTTGCTGGACCCCGAGCCCTAAGAGCTCCGCCCTTTGGTCGACTTTAGTTGAATCCTCCCTACCGGCGGGCTGTTGGGGCCACCATTAATTGGGGCCACCGTTAACCATATGGTACCTATAATAGGTACCTATGCCTACCCTACATATTCGGTAAGGAACCCCTAAATTGCCCCTTTTTATTATTATAATTAGGTGCATCGTGACAAGTACGGGGACAAACCCACGGTACGGCGTTATCTAGGTAATTAGTAAGATGAAGTAGGTTAGTCTCCGGCCTCTCAACCCCCAACGATAAGACTATCGTCAGCCCCACTGATGTGGCATGTAATCACTCGCTACGTACGTCACTTACATCATCCCAACCCTCGGCATCTCCTGCCCTATGTCCGAACCCTCCGCGCCAACGACCCCCGCGGTTACGTGCATGCTCATCCATACCAAGGCATGTATCGTAAGCATTTAAGTTCTAGGCAAATGGGGGACATATTACGTTGGTTGCGTTGGGCATGCTGTGTGCGCCCAGGCGCAGCTCGCTGATTAAAAATCAGAGGTCTCATCGCATTTCCGCCTCCGGTAATTCGTGCACTGATCCGCCCCTATCAAGACCGGTATTAAAGTACACGTCCAGCGGAGCCGAGAACAGTAATCCCATTAAAATTCACGGAAGTGATGTGATGTTTTTGCAGTTGAACTGGTCGAGAGAGGATCGTGGGACATTGGGAGAGGGGGCACGACGTCCTCGACCGGCAACATCGGCGCGTGGTAGCAGTAATCCCGCCGTCTACCTACGTCGTAGGTCTTAAATCGCAGCCACCGCGGGAGGGGTTCAGTGACATTTAGGCCTGTGCATGCCCTCCCGTCTCAGATTCTCCGGGTGCCTTAGTGCTACGGTGCCATCGATCACCTACGTAAAGCACGGAGCAGCCGCCTACCTAGCACGCTCCCTAGGTACCTAGATACCAGCTACCTCCTAGACCGTAGGCAAATCGGTTCGCGCAGCCTCTCTGCCCTCCCGAAGCCGGCGGCACAGGTAGGTACCTGCGTACCAAATGTGTGGTGTCCAAAATCCAACCTGCCACCCGACGAGAGGGTCCGTCCCGCCCCTTTCTTCTCACACCCTCCTTGCTCTGCCATCTGAGGCTTTACGCGACAGTTGGCCGTTGCGGATCAGCCGGCAGCATTGCGACTCTCTGCGTCGCGAGCAGACTGCTCCCAATCTGACACGTACGTATACCAATACTCAACTGCCGCGACCCTGTGGTGGCCATCAGCAAACCGTAGTCCGATACATGTCCGCGGGTGATCCGGTTAACTTACAACGCGAGCCCAACCATAGTCCCCAGCCACAAACCGGCGAGCTTCCAATCCAGAGCGAAAGCGGTGGCGAAAGAGATCGGCATGGCGATAAGGTAGTAGATGGACAAGTTTGCGTAACCCCCAAACGACTGCTTTCCGATGCCGCGCAGCAACCCGTGGGCAACCGCGGCTAAACTGTCAAAAACCTGCATGACTGCGACGAAGGGCATGGCATTTGCCACAATAGAGATTACCTCCTCGTCCTGGGTGAAGAGGAGCGGGAGTTTGTAACGGAAGCTTGCGAGTACAGTGAGGTTGAAGAGGCCGATGATGCACCCTATCCAGAATGCCTTGGCATCTGTTAGCCCATGCACCCTCACGATCGGATCCTTACCCGTCTAGTGTCCGACTTACAACTCTAGCTGATGTCTTAGCTGCAGTGATCAACCTTGCCCCTATCAGGTTAGCGATTCGCGTCGACGCCGCGATAGATACGGGGAACGGAATCATAAAAGTCGTCGATGTCACAGTGACTAAGATGCTCTGCGCTGCCAGGTACGATGTACCGAATTGGCTGCTCACCAGGGTAAGTATCTCGAAGGCAAGCCATTCGGCCATCACCATCACCATCCCGGGAAGAGCGAGCCGGACCATGGGGCCTTGTGCGTGTCAGTGATCCGTCCGCGATGAGGAAGCCAGGCCAGGCGATGGGTTAGACGTACTCCAGTTGGCGAGGGCGCGGCGAGTAAAACCTCCCCAGCACTGCGACCCGTCTATGAAGACCACGTATAGGAGTAGAGCGAGAGGGGCTAGCGTCTGGGTTATCGCAACGGCAATAGGGGCACCGACGAAACCCCACCCGAGGTGCCAGACCAGGAACCAGTTGACGAGGATATTTGTGGGCGCCGCAATTAGCAGCGCGAAAGTCGTTGCGACGAATAGACCCTGCGACTGGACGAATCGTTTACCACCTTCGAAAGCGGCAAACCCCGGGACCCCTATAGTGACGATGCGGAGGTAGAGGCCAGCCAGCTCGGCAGACCGCGGGTCGGGGACTATTAGGCGGAGGATATCCTCGCTGAAGAAGAACAAGACGGCTACGGGCGCGACGAGCGTCCACAAGAAATATACCATCCGCTGAAGCTGCAGTCCCACCAGGTGTTTGTGCCCCGAACCGTAAGCCTGGGCACAGAGAGTATCCAGACTGGTGGCGAGGCCCTGCATCGGCGCGTAGCAGAGAATGTTCGCCGACATGGTAGCCACTGCGTCCTGATTAGTCGTCGAGTAACACGCCTACAGGTTGGGAACTAGTGAACGAGCGAGCCGCTCCCACTCACGGCTCACGGCACCAAGCTCTACTTTTCCGATCCGCCCCACCGCGAAAATGCTCGCGATATTGACGCTGTATTGTAACAGGAATGTCAAGATCAGCGATCGCGAGTAAGTTGCTATCGTCTTGGCTTCTCTCTGCCACGTCGTCTCGATCATACCAGAGGCCACGGCCGCCTCCCATTGCTCATTCAGATGCTCGTGGCCCGGTCTCGGCTGGTCGGCGCTCCCCGCCAGCAGAGGTGAAGATTCCGAGGAGCCGACCGTGATCCTGGGAACTTCCTCGCCGCTCGGGAATCTACGGACCTTAGTGCTGAATAAGGTTCTGTAGAGCTTCGAGAGAGCCCCTGGCCGCTTCTCCGGGGCGTGCTTGGGTGGGAGGAGATGGTTGTCCCTCAGCAGGCTACGCTCTGCGTCGCGAGACTGTTTCCTTTCTAGCCTCGTCAGGACAGGCTCGCCTACCTGCTCCGACAACATACTCGGGCGCCTGTATCCGAACGCAACCCCAGTCGGCTGTGTGTATAGCACGGGCCCGCCTTCGGATTCAGACTCGGATCCTTCGTCGCCATCATCAAACACGCCCGTGCTAGTTTCGTCATCGGAGCATTGAGCAATGTCACGAGCTACTATTTCCTGAGCCGTTGGAGACAAGGACCGGAAGGACGAGGCCATCTCGGACCCCATTTTCTTCGCCGGAATCGGTTGGGAATTCGTCATTGTCGATGTTGGTGGGATTGAAAATCGATTCCGACGACGGCACTCTCTCGGGCTAGCCCCAGGCTCTTCTTTATAGGACTGGGCCAGGTAAGTCAAGACAGGCGAGGTTGGTAGCTAAGACCAATACGGGGCAAGGGTGACCCTCTACGATCAGAGACTATCGACGGAAATTGAGACACGACAGCATTACTGAGCACCACAAGTTTTCTTTTCGAGCGAGCGTCTGTCACTAGTATCGATCCTCGCGAGACCTGATGGGCGTGATCGTACAGGTGAGGTGATGTGCGTTTTGAAATGAGTGAAAAAGCAGCTCGCTGCCAGAAGCCCCCGCTCGCCTTTCATAAGGGAGACTACCTTCGATGCCTAGTACCTCATCTCAGCTTAGGTTTTCATAGTGCGACCACAATACACGATGCACAATACACACAATACAGATAGAGCGTGGTTATACCACCGCCCACAATGCCTAAAGGACCATTGCCGTAGCATCTTTTATCCCCCACGTCCTTGCTGTAGGTACACACGTACTACCAGCTGATCTCACACCTCCTCCCAAGCAGCCTTTGCGGGGATGTGTGACGAGCGCCAATCCGCTGACCTGGATTGGACTAGCAGCACTCTTCAGACTCCGTGGATGACAAGATAGGAATGATTGATCCTATCCGGGGGACATCTAGAGGTAGTTATCGGTTCGTCTGACTTTACCGTAAGTATGGAGTCTCCGATAGCAAAACCGATCTAGACTAGTTTAGAATCTGCGCTCTCTTAGCTCGCCCCGTCCCTCCCCTTCCCGCCTCCCGATAGGTAGGTACCTGCTATAACCCCTGCTTTTACCCAGTACCTATAATAAAAGCGTAACGGAGAAAACTTTACCAAACCCTGCGTGGGGTAAATCTCCAGCAAATCGAAGCGATTCCAAGTACACGGGCACTTAGTAAACTTCCATCGCACTACGCAGTACATTAAGTAGGTACCTCTATCTAGGCAGGTTACTTACCTGTAGGTACCTAGTCGTAAGTATGTGTTCCTAAATGCTACGCGGCTCTCTGTTCTTAGAATAAAATACCCATCCCTCCCCCTCTTTTAGAACAAGAGATCAACCAAAATTTTAGTCACCATCCATTTCATCTGCTACTACTAGCAAAAGGTACCTATGTAGTGTGATCCGTAGAGTGCCCGCCTAATTCTATGGCACAATCATAGGCTATCTTAGGTGCCCTACGCAATCCATAATAATACTTATGTATACCTATAGGTAGGTACCTAGGTACTCGCCTAGGCATTCTACAGCATATAGTTCCCTCTTTCTAGCTCCTGATCTCTTCACCTGCACTCCCATCCACCTGTCCAGAAACGAAAGAAATGTCGACGCCTCAGACTGATCCCGAAGCTGACGCGACAGTGTGCTGCGGCGGCGCCCCCGCCTTCTCGGACCTGAGGCGGCCGATCGAAGTGCGCGACTTGGCTTATGGCGGCTCTGGTAGCAATCTGTTCTGGTCTTGGCCGTTCTTCGGACCGCTGCTTGTCGACAACGAGACCAGCGACACTCGCGATCATTGCGCCAACGAACGAAGTGTGTGACCCCTCCCTTCTCCCGCACATTTCTCTCTCCCGTTCCTCGTAGTGCCCAACCGAATAGCGAGTCTCTCGCCGACCGACCCAAAAAAAATTTCAAGGCGCACGTATCGCTAACTAACACGATCACACTCGCGCGCCGTCACTCACGGGGGGTGGCGGGTGGCGAGGCGGGTTGCAAAAAGCCTTCCTCTCGTACTTGCGCCTGTCCGTCTACATGGCCATCGTCGCCATTGCCATCGTCTTATCCTTCCATCTCAAAACACGACCGTCTAAGCTCGAGTTACAGATGGCCCAGCCGCTCGGTATAATCTTTTGGCTCTTGTCCCTCGCCTGCCTAATCCTCGGCTTCGGCAATTATATCAGTGCGTGGAACGCCCTTACTTCTCATCACCTACCTGCCTCTCCTCACACACACACACACACACATATATATATATATATACACACATATATAAGTATACGAGAAATATTTCTCTCTACTTGCGTGTGTGCGCACGCTCCCCATAGCCTGCTTATGTGCAGAACAATGCCCGCATGCGCGCTCCTACTTCTGGAGAACGTTGGCTAATAACTACGAGCAGAAACTTTAGACAAGTATAGTAGAAAGGTGGCTATAGTCCAGACAGGTTGGAGGACGCAATCGGTGAGTGGCCGCGTGCCTGTCACGGGAATAGGCTCTGCGTATTAACAAACCTGCAAGATCATGTCTCTCATTTCCCTATCCATCGTGGGCACTTGCGTGATACTGTTGGTAATTGCCAAAGTAGAAGCGGGGCATTAATCAGAACTCATACCCCAGGGAGTCGAGGTGAGGCTTGTCTCGGACACAAACCCCAATATTTACCTACCTCTTTACACGCGGCATTCTTACCTACCTATTTAAACTCGTCAGATCCTAGAATTCAAGACGAGCACATTCCGTTTGACAACTCGTCCATATACCTATATTACCCTTGTGTGCGTCCCCAAACATGGCACGGTGAATCCAAAGCCAGTTGAGACCCTATACCTACACTATTGCTTTCAGTTTGCAACGCAAAATAGATCCTCCATCTGCTTTTGCGTGTCCGTGGAATCCGCAGAGCAGCCACCAACCTTCTCTCTGAACTCCTTCGCATACTCCCTGGATAGGGAGTACAATTCATCAGAATCTATCGGGAGACCGTCCCATGTGAGTGCGGGTAGGTCGCCAAGCGGGCGCAGGTTCCCATCGTGGGTGAGACTGTCGAGCATAGACACCGGTGCGAGGGCTACCTCGGGGCCTGAACGTATCTTCTGCCTGGCCTCCTCGATGTCCCTATCACTCGCATCGTCGGCTAGGAGTGGGGTTGGGCTCCCTGGGTGGGTATATTCCTCGGGCATGCGGTGTAGCTCGTTATGGACCGTGGCCAGATTTCTGGCCGTGTGGTCACCCGGATACAATGTCCAATAACCGCGCGCTCGAGCCAGTCTCAAGGCATGCTCTAACCAAGATGGATATTGTGTGCTTACGACCTTGGATGTTAAAAGTGGCGGTGCGGGGTCTGAATTTCGTTTAACCTCCAGGGATCGAGATACAAAGTCATGCAGCTCCATCCACTTCTCTCCAAGAATGAGTATTGCGTTGCTAGTGGGCGCTTGCCAAAGAAACGAGCTCGGAGCATCACCGACACCTTGGTCTCCCCAGCCAGTGTTTTTCTGAGGTGGAGGCTTATTCAATTCGCCCTTCCCATCTAGCAACTTGAGTGGTTGCTCGAGGCTGATCCCGAAAAGCTGGCGGTCCCAGTGTCGAGCAGCAGACATCGCCGAGTACCTATACTCCAATAACGAGTATTTTAGATCTGTACGTGCCTGTTAAAGATGTGCTCGTATGTGGGAGAAAAGGCGTGGCTTACAGTGGAAGAATTGAGGCGATAACTCGGCCTGTGGAGAGAGCACTAGTACGTGTGAATTTTCCGGCACGGTGGGCCAGAACGATTCAAGAAAGCGTGCTGAACTTTCTTCCTCGTTCATCAATTCATATGGGGTACGACGTCGAAGAGAAAGGTACTGAGCATTGGTCGGGTTATAAACCTGAGGGGGTGGCCACATGAAGGTTTCAAGAAAGTATTTAGTCGGAGGGTCGACTCGGTGAGGAAGTTCAATAGTGAGATGAGGAACAGACCCTGGGGTATAGTCTGCCTCACTCAAGGACCTGAGAAGTCTGATCAAGCTCCCCGATGCTCCGGGTACGGTGTGAATAAGAATATCAATATGGATTTTATTCCATTCTATACTCTCTCGTCAGCAGTGTTAAGCAGGTCTAAGGGGACGAGCCATCCTACTATGCAACGACTGACTGTCCAACTTAGACAGCCATTCAAGTCCCTTCGCAGATTTACGTGGCAACTCGATTAACGTATTCTGCTTAACGCTAGTATGCTGTTGGGCGGCTCGCAGAAAGAATGGCTCCTCGTCACTTGATCCGTCTACGAAGGTGGCTTGAGGGTGCATGTAATTGTAAATGTGATCTGAAAAAATGGGATAAGCAATAGCAACTACGGCGAGGGCGGTTGATTATACGCACGAAATGCGCGAAAGACGGCATTTTCCATTCGATCATCGGCTGACAGCGCGACATGATCAGGACGGGCATCTTGGAATAACAAGTCAGCAAAGTTTAAGACGCATGTTCGAACGAGTCGTAATGGCATTCGCACCGTGGAATATGATCGGGCAGGAATGGTCGATACCATTGACTTTGCGTAGCTCCTGTATGCTAATCTCGCTCCGACTCATCAGCGCAAAATGTACGTAGTTCTTCAATTCACTTGCCATCTGGCAGGCGATGGGTAGCAGCGTTGCTGAGCTCTTAAGGCTTGAAGACGCGAAGAGGATGTTCCTATTGATCGGCATGCTCCCTTTGGTATCGCCAATAGCATGCAGCGTCGCCGCCAACTCGAGGAACTTCACAGGCCCATTGAATGCTTGCTCCGGAGCGGTTGCAGGCCGAGCATTATATCTGGATGGCGGAGCTCTGCCGGGGGGAGAGGGTTTAGTGAATTTCGGGGCCGCAGCAAGGTCTGAGGACGCATAATTAGGGCGGCGCATCCGTTGGTCAGGTCCGAGAACCGGGATATTTCTAAAGAAGAGGTAGATGAGGAGGGCGACGATAAACCCGAGCGCTAGGCGTTTAAGCGACCGCCGCGGAGGGACTCGGGTAGGATGCCAATTCGTCGACTGTCGTAGGCCGGCGCCATTCTTAGAGGTCTTGCGATCGTCATCCTTCTTACCCAGCTCTTCCTCACTCAGAAAGAAACCTCGCATCTTTCTCCATGTAGACATACCAGAGCCAAAGTGAGCCCTTCGGGAGAGGGGACCAAGAAGGGGAACAAGCACGCGGGTATTACAACACGATCGAGGAGGTTGCTACGATATTGAAAACTGCATCTCAAACTGCGACGGAGGCCAGGTCGGGATAGGACTGTTGGTGAGATTCTCGAGGTGTCGGGGACAGTTGAATGGAACTGAACCAGACTAAGTCGGAGATAGATGTCCTAATACAGAAGTTGGGAGCGGAGAGATGAGGCTCTTGGGAGTGGTAGTCGTGCCGGAATACCATATGCTCAGATGGAACTGGGCGATCAATCGGATTCAATCGCCTATCGCAGCGTACCTAATGCTAAGATAAGGTAATCATTGTCTAAGGCACCAAAGATTACCTAATGTCGTAAAGTACCTGACCTAGGTACATGCATACCTTTAGGTACCTCCTGCCTAAGGTGTACATAGGTACCTACCTAGGCACCTCTTTGCATGGGCGGTTGGATTCGATGGTGGGGGACAAGACACTATTGTCAAGGATGGGGATTTGTGTAAAAGTAAATCGGATAAATTCTTCAAGTGGCCTAAACGGTGCGTTCAACATTTGGCGAAATTTGGCAGAAACCCAGACAAGATAACTTCTTCTCGAGGCCTCCTTAGGTCTTCGGCTTCTCCCCTCGTGGTTATCATGGGAAAGTCGCGCCGCAACAGGGCCAAGGCGAGGCAACGCTCTGATCCTATCGCAAGAGTAATCAAGCCGCCCACAGACCCTGAGCTGCTCGCGATACGGGATAAGAGCATTCTGCCCGTCCTCAAGGACCTGCAAAGGCCCGAACCAAAGGCCCGGACAGCTGCGGCTAGAGCCATCGCCAATATCATCCAGGACGCAAAGTGCCGAAAGTTGCTCCTGCGCGAGAAAATCGTCCTCATCCTCCTTGACGAGACCCTCACTGATGCAAGCTTGGAGAGCAGAGCTGCTGGATGGGAAATCCTTCGTATCCTCACAGCTGAGGAGGAGGCAGACTTCTGTGTTCACTTATACCGATTGGATGTCTTGACTGCTATTCGGCATGCTTCAATGCAGGTGAGATAGATCACTCATGTCCGCCAAACACTGCACCTCTAAAGATCGATCCATGCTGTACAGATCGTCAACACTATTACCTCGACAAATCCTGCGTTTAGTAAAACTACCAAGGCTGAACAAAATTTCGTTTGGAGCATTGCCGAGGCGCTTGCGGCAATATTAGGAGGCTTAGCTGAAGCTCAGGATGAAGCTTTGCTCGCCGCTGCGGGCGACAAACAAATACATCGGTTTCTGTTCACCCTTATATCCGTCCACTCTACGACTGCATCGGCTTTGAACAGCGTCTTATCCTGTATGATAACACTATCCGAGGACAACGAGCAGTTTGCAGACGCGGTCCTTGGAGACGAAATTACCGAGTGCTACAAGCAACTTATCGCCTTGAAGAATAGCGACGGGTACAAGGCAGTCTTAGCCTGCGGTGTATTGCACAACCTGTTCTCCGCAGCGAAGTGGAACGATTTCAGTCCTGGGAAAGATAATGCTTGCGATGCCGATCTTGTCCCCACCCTCTCCCAAACGCTTGAGTACACTCAGCTGAGCGAGAATGCGATGGACGATCATGTCTCAACGTGCCCGGCGGAAAGATTGCAGTTGGCACTGGAGATTCTAGCATCCATCGGGACCACTCTTCAGGAAACCCTAGAGAAAGGACGCCGGGGGAATGGAAAGGAGTCATGGGAGGGATTTGACGACAAGGATGACACAATGGATACCGATCATGACGAACGGCATACTGACGACGATGTGGTCGGAGAAGACGGGGAGATGAACCAAGACGAAATGGAAGCAGATATGGATATGGTTACGGCGGTAGACGGCCACGATGAGGAACTCTCCGGAATCGATGATTTTCCCACCTTGAAGCAGCTTATCCAAAAAGCGATTCCCCAGGTTGTGAGGCTGTCTCGGACCAGTAGCAGTATGGACGAGGCGTCAAGCCTGATACGCAGCTACGCTTTAGCGGCCCTAAACAACATTTCGTGGACGGTAAGTTGCATCGATTTCGCCCGAGGGCCAAGTGCAGCGGTATTGCGGACCTGGGCGCCGGTGGCGCAAACGATCTGGGAACAGACAATAACGCCAATTCTTTCAAGCGATACAACTGACGTCGATCTCGCAACGATTGTGACGAGTCTTGCCTGGGCTATTGCGAGGACCTTACATAGTCAGACGTTCCTCAGCGGAGATGAACATAAGAAGTTCATATCGCTCTATCACGCTTCCAAGAACTTCAACACTGACCATGGTGACCCATTACAAAGCCTTGGGGTCAAGTGTATTGGAGTCCTAGGCCAGATCGCGCTCAGGGTGCCGCTTGAGCTGAATCGGGAGATAGGTATCTTCCTCCTTACCGTCGTGAAAACGCTACCCGAGACACCGGCTGCGGACGCCGTGGAAGCTTTAAATCAGATCTTCGATGTTTATGGCGACGAGAACAAAGCATGGGATAGGGAGGTCTTTTGGAGAGATAACTTCCTGCAACACCTAGAAGATGCCGCTCCACGAGTGAAGGCTATGGTTAAAAAGATCGACAAGAGAACGTCCACCGAGTTACGCACACGAGCTGAGGAGGCGAATTTGAATCTTTCAAGATTCATCCACTATAAGCAAAAGCATCGGCCATGATTTAAATAGTTCGGCTGCAAGTCGGAAGAGCCATGGTCCAAGCCGACGAGCCAGAAGAGCGAGAAGTATAGATCTCTACGGCGTAGGAGGCTGGGATTTAGAAAAAGAATAATTAGGGTAGAAAAAAAGGAGACGTGAAGTCGGGTAACCGCTAGTCCTCCGAGACCAAGAATACGATCCACGATGGCCCTTTTCGCATACCGTCTTCTGTATTATCGCCTATACATTATGTCTTGCGACCTGGGGTGCTGTATGTAGTTATCAAAGAGATGTGTGGTGCTCGAAAGTGTGTGCATAACTTACCTTCGCCCTCCATTGGGGAGTAGCAGAGCAGTGCTCGGATTCGAGCAAAGGGGGCTGTAGAGTAATAAGGAAAACGGCACCGCCGGTTTCAGGGCCACACTAAGGGAGTTAGGGACATAGAATCGGCATTCTGGTCTATCAATAGAACTCACGTAGTAGCCCATGATGCAACGGTTTAAAGCTCGTGCGCCCTTCTTGAGCTAGGATCGACGTGTATGCAATTCTGGCAAGCCAGCACGCAGTAAAGCCCGCAATCGTACAGCCCAACCCCTTCTAACCAGAATCGTGCATTCAACCGATAGGCTTGAGCTTCTTCTTCTTCTTCTTCTCGCCGTCGCCGCCGCCGGACTTGGACTTCTGGAACTGGCGCCAGCTATCAATTCGCTGGTCTCGCGTGCTTTCCCAGTCCTGCTCGTGCTGTCTCTTGCGCTTACGGTCCTCAATCTCTTGTTCCGCCTTGCGCTGTTCGCGCCCCTCCTCCTGCATCTGCGCCTTCAGCTGCCGCTTTCTCCTCAGTTCGTTCTCGATGAGGACCTCCCGCGTCTTATCACGCCACTTCTTCGAGAAGTCGTCCGTCTTGAGCTCCGGGCTATCGACGGTCCACTTGTTCTCGCGGATCAGTAGCATGCGCGCATCTGCGATGGCCTCGTCTAATCGCTCTCGATGCTTCTCGTCCATTAGCTCAGTTTGTGCCTTCTTCAGCCTATCGAAGGCCTCGGGCGCCAGTGGGTTTTTCGTCTTGTCTGGATGAATGAGCAGCGATTTCTTGCGATAGGTTAACTTGATGTCGGACTCGGGGACGCCGGGTTGTAGGTCGAGAACCGAATAGCTGGCAGAGGGAGTTAGATTATAATCGTCCTGATAGATAAGGGAAATCAACAGCACTTACGCATCTAAGCGGAAAGCTTTCAGGATGCGATCGATCTCGGCATCCTTGGTTGGATTATGTTAGTAGATGTAAAATGCGCGATGGAGATTTGAAGCTGGTCCTACCTTGTCAAACTCTTTGGATTCTGCCTCGAGCACATCAACAGCGTCCTGATCCCCGAGGGAAGCATCGTCCTTGGACTCTTTGGACGTCATCTTGGCTGAGTAGGGCGGTAGGCAGGTTCCTATGAATGAGGGTGAAGAGAGAGAGAGAGGGAGGTCTGGAGAACAAGTAGTCGTTAGATAAGAGCCGCGTACGTCGAAGTCTGTTTGTCGGGGGATCAAGGGTCCCACCTCCGCTTACGCTACTTAGGTACCTCTTAAGTAGATATGTAACCAACGGGGCGCTGCTGTCGTAATCGATAAGACAAACCGAGCAGCAGGAGAATAAAACTACTACTACGTAGAAAAGTAGAAAACGATCTGTCGGGCGAACTGATCCTCTGTAACAAATAGGTGGATGTCGGAATCGCATCTACTTCGTCATAATTTCGACCCACGACCCGTGCGACAGCCGTCGTACGCCCAGAATTCCTCCCGTCCTCATGAAGTCAAACAGCATCCACATGCCCATAAAAAGGATGCGGTCCCATGCGGCGTCGCCAGTACCCTCCGAAAATGAGGTGGATATTCTAACGTCTTTATTCCCCGAGAGCGCCACGACGTCGGACAGGCCCAATACAAATAAGAAGAACGGCACGCAAGAGGGTTATGGGTTCGACGCCGGAGACCTACTGGACGGCGACGGCAGCGGGGAAGATGAGGGCGATGAGGCTTTCATTGCTCTGAAACAAGCAGCATCGTTCAGAAAAGCTAGTAACTTAAAGGGGAAGTCGGTGAAGAAGGGCGGTGGCTTTCAGGCTATGGGTTCGTATAAAATATCTTGAGGCCGTACTCATCCGAGATCTTTGACTGATAGGGCTACAGGACTCAGTGCAAACCTACTAAGGGCTATCACCAGAAAGGGGTTTTCAGTCCCTACCCCCATCCAGCGGAAAACCATACCATTGATAATGGAGAGGAGGGATGTTGTTGGCATGGCGAGGACTGGCTCTGGAAAGACTGCTGCCTTTGTCATACCTATGATAGAGCGTATGAGGGCCCATAGCATCACCGTTGGCGCAAGGGCCCTGATCCTTTCGCCGTCCCGAGAGCTTGCAATCCAGACTCTGAAGGTCGTTAAAGAATTTAGTCGCGGAACGGATTTGAAGTGTATACTCCTCGTTGGCGGCGACAGCCTAGAGGACCAATTCAGCTCGATGACCACTAATCCAGATATCATTATAGCTACCCCTGGGCGGTTCCTGCATCTTAAGGTCGAGATGTCTCTCGATCTGTCTTCCATTCAGTATGCTGTCTTTGATGAAGCGGACAGACTATTTGAGATGGGTTTCGCCGCGCAGCTGACGGAGATCCTCCATGCCTTGCCATCGTCAAGGCAAACTCTGCTATTCTCGGCGACTCTACCGACTTCTTTGGTAGAGTTCGCTCGTGCGGGCTTGCAAGACCCAAGTCTCGTCCGACTAGATGCCGAAACGAAGATTTCCCCGGACCTTCAGTCGGCGTTCTTTAGCGTCAAAGGGGCCGAGAAAGAGGGCACCCTTCTTCACATCCTAAACGATGTCATCGAAATGCCGACCGGATTACCGGAAGGCGTCGAGCCGGACTCAGGACAAAATTCGAAGAAAAGAAAACGAGGATCAGATGCTCCGAGGAGGAAGGAGAAGCCGACAAAACATTCAACTATCATCTTTGCCGCCACTAAGCACCATGTGGAATACCTACAATCTCTACTTCGCGAATCGGGGTTTTCAGTCTCGTATGTCTACGGATCTCTTGACCAGACGGCGCGGAAAGAACAAGTCGAAAGCTTTACGCGTGGCCGTACGAATATTCTTGTAGTAACGGACGTTGCTGCCCGGGGCATCGATATCCCCGTTCTTGCTAACGTGATAAATTACGATTTTCCTCCGCAACCAAAAGTCTTCGTCCATCGAGTTGGTCGCACAGCTAGAGCGGGGCAGAGGGGCTGGAGTTATAGTCTCGTTAGAGAGGCAGATGCGCCATATCTACTAGATCTGCATCTATTCCTCGGAAAGAAGCTCGTCCTTGGAAAAGAGGGCAAAAGCGATATAAATTTCGCGGAGGATATCACTGTCGGGTCCCCTGTTCGGAGCAAGGTCGAAGCCAACGTCGAGTGGCTTGACAAGGTCCTACGCGAAAGTGAGGATATCAGCGCCCTGCGTCGAGTCTCAGGGAAGGCAGAAAAGCTATACCTCAAGACTCGCAATTCTGCATCTGCCCAGAGCGCCCGGAGGGCAAGGGAAGTCGTGTCGTCAAAAGGCTGGACGCAGCTACATCCACTTTTTAGTGATGAGCTGGGGGATACCGAGAATGCTCGTGTCGAGATGCTCGCGAAGATCAGCGGCTTCAAGCCCCAAGAGACGATCTTCGAAATCGGCAATTCGAGCAAGACGGGCCGAAACGAAGCGGCCGAGGTCATGAAGACACTTCGCGAGCGCTTCGGCCCTCGGAAGCCAGCGAGAGGAGCCGAAGATCCTAAAAAATCGATAGAGGACCATTTGGCACAGGAGGGTGACGACTTGGGGGAGTTGGGTGAAGACGAGGAAATGGTGGATAGGGAAGATCCCGTGTTGCACGACCCGGGATCCAACGACGATGACGGCAGCCTCGGCGGAGGCGACGGCAGCGACGACCTCGAAGTCACCGTATCCAACCACCATGGCGCTTCGACCGGGTCGGGGCGGGGAACTACGTCGGACCCTTGGCGAGACGCGGAGGTCTTCATGCCGTACACGCCGCGCAGCGTCAACGCGGCGGAGGAGCGCGGGTACGGCGTGCACGCCGGCGGCGGCGGCGGCGGCTCGGGCACGTTCGTGGAGGCGGCGCGCGACGCCGCCATGGATCTGGCCGACGACGAGGGCGCCAAGTCGTTCGGGGCGCCGGCGCGCCCGCGGCTGCGCTGGGACAAGAAGGGCGCCAAGTACGTCGCGCGCGACAACGACGACGACGGCAGCCGCGGCGCCGGCCGCCGCATGATCCGCGGCGAGAGCGGCGTCAAGATCGCCGCCAGCTTCCAGAGCGGCCGCTTCGACAAGTGGCGCCGCGCCCAGCGCCTCGGCCGCGCCCCGCGCCCCGGCGAGCCCGAGAGGCGCGGCGCGGCGACCCTGCCCGCCTCCTCCGACCCCGCCAAGCACTACCGTCACAGGCAGCAGAAGGCGCCCAAGGAGGCCGACAAGTACCGTGACGACTATTACGCGCGCAAGAAGCGCGTGGCCGAGGCCCGGGAGAAACGCGTGGGGCGCTTCCGGGACGGCGGCGGCAGCCGGAAGGAGATAAAGAATGCGGATGACATTCGCAAGGCGAGGGTACTCAAGGAGAAGCAGAGGGCCAAGAACGGTAGGCCGCCGAAGAGGTGACGCGGGACATGGATTACAGGTACGATCCTTGTCATAGAAATAGGGCTAGCAAGCTAGCCCTTATATTTTATTTGTCTTTGCAAATGTTATCCTGAGGTTAGGATGGAAATTGATAGGTATGTTGATGCATGCAGGTTGGGGTGAACAATCCTCAGGTAGAGACCACACGCATTGAAACGTTAAAAACCCTGGGGCCCGACAGTTCCCGTCATCTATTGAGGGAAACCAAGCCACGTCGCTCTCTATCTGCGATGCCTGGCGCTGTATTGCTTGTTTAATAGTACATTTTCGTCCGCTGCCTGTTGAACTCTAGGGCAATTCCAGGTAAGGCCGCTGCCACTAGTCATAGCCCCTACTTCATTTCCCGTCCTCCCAATCCGGGTTCTAGAGAACAGTCAGCATCAGGTGCCTGGATGGACCAAGCGTATCCGGGGATCGGCTCATCTTACCTTACGGAGAATAACTAGACCCTCGAGCGTATTGCTAAGGCTTATATACTCCTCGTCTTCGAGCTCTGCTCGCTCCCCATACGCCAGCAGCACGGGGGTGCTCTGCGTCTGCCATCCCGTAATAGTCTTGGGTCGGCCGGCCTGGCCAACAACGTCAACGGCCTGACCGACGCGCACATTGACTGTCAGCGGCTTAAGGTTTTCGTCAAGTGTGACGAGAAAGCGAGGATGCATGGCGGTAACAAGGAAGTATAGAAGATAGTGAGAATTGGAAGTGATAAACTGCTTGGCATCTATCATGGCGACAAGAACAGCGAGCAACCCGGAAGTGGCCACTCGTGATAGGATCTGCCGATCGGTGTGGAAGGGGTTGAGGGTCATTGTACCCTTGCCCATATGCAGTAGACCTTGCGCGATGCGGACCATGAAGAGTGACTCCTGATCCCGGTGGTAGTAACTGGCTAATTGTCGTAGGAGCTGGGCCAATCGGGCGTTGTTTGTTCCAGCGCCTAGAAGACCCATGGCAAAAATTGCATTTATTGCGACGTCGTTGTCGTTATCATGACTGTATCGGGATAACGTGTCGTAGACCTTCATTTGCGGGTTGCTAGGGCTGACGAGACCCATGGCCAGGGGCACGACGCGCCGAATGTTTGCCTCGCCGTAATGCATCAGATGGCCAAATTGCCGCAACACCATTTCTTGTCCGACGTCCTCGCCCATGGCGACTAGAGCGATTCCGAGAACCGCATACATCTGCGTCAATTCTTCGCTCTTCTTCTCATCCGACTCCGCCTCGATGTGCTCGTTGCAGATATGCAACAATTCTTGGATCTTGAGCACAGCACCGGTACCCGCCCAGGCACAGACTTCCGCGAGGATGGCGGTTGGTCGACTCATGGGGTGGGGAACCGCCTTGAGCGTCTCCAAGATGACGTCGACTTCTTCCTGACGGCCGAAAAAGAGAAGCCCGAGGCCAAGGGCTAGGAAACGGATCCATTTATCGGAAAGCTGATTCCCACGGTCCTCATCCAGGAGAACTCCCATCAATTCCTCACTGACACCAGGATTGCCGGAACCAACGAAAACCATGCCGCAAGATAGTGCTGCCATTGCAGAGATCTGCATGTCGTTATCGGGGTTGGCAACGATAGGCAGTAGAACGTCGAGCAACTCCTCCTTATGAGAACCGGCATAAGAGAGACCAAGGCCCATGATGGCGGCGACCCGCACTAGGGGGCTTTTATGCTCCAGTCTGTCTGCGTCCCCCAGCAGGGCCAGGGCTGGGTCGCTATCCAGACGCACGCCAGACGTCATAATACCGATGGCTAGCATAGCACCAGCCATAATCTGAGGCTCCGAGGCGTAGGTATACTTATCAGTCTTATCTAGCCCGCTCTCCACGTCCCACATGAGAAGAGTGCCGAGCGAAGCAACCGTTGACATCATGCCCTCGTCCTTGGTTTTCCAAACCCAGCTTTCTTTATCTTGCGCAACAAGCATCATCTTGTCCTTGCCAAAGCCGGCATTGACGAATGCATTGACAAATGCAGCGGCAAGATTGTGCCGTGCGGAGTCGAGGTTCGTCATGCCGGCGACTCGGCTGCTTTCGAGGTGGCTTTTGTAGATATCTTCAGTGGTTTTGGGCTCGAGAATATTCAATTCCTTGCCTAGCGTCTTGAAGTACTCGGATAGCTTGATGTTGCAGATGGCTTCCTCAGTTTCTTGCATGTCTTCATCCGACAGATGGTTATCAACAACATCGACCCATATCTTTTGGCGGCCGATCAAAAAACCCATTTGCTTTTTCAAAGCCGGGTCATCGGTGGACACGAAGTCAGCCGTAATCAAGTCCAGATCGTTCAGCCTGATGGCAATTCCCATGGCTTGGGTAAGCTCGTTGTAAGTCTTGTAGATGTCGTGGGCAGTTCGAAGGAATTGCTCGTTATCTGGGTAGGTTAGGAGGTTGACCATGCTGACAAGGTACAAACAGACACGAGAGTATGTGTTCTCGTCGACGAAGTTTGGCAGCTCCTCGATAATTTCGAGCTCACTCATGAGATCCACCGCGTCGGCCTCTGCATTGCTCTTGAGAAATAACGGAACAAGGACCAGGGCAAGATCCACCAAGTCCTTGACAGGCTCTTCCGTAGTGACCCTCTTGCCGTATACCTCACCAATTTCCAGGGCCAGGTGGCGCACGTATTCGTGGCCCCATGACCCGATGTCCTGAGTCGGTGATAGCAGGCGGTACTTGAGGGTATCTTGACGGTCTTCGTCTGAGAAGGTCATGCCTATGACTGACAGAACGTCTGCTAGTGACGATTTGTCATCACCTTCGGGCCACTGGTCATAAAGCTGTGTCATGGTCTCGTAGTGGGGTCTAAGGAACTTGAGAGGTTTCGGTACCGCCGTCATCGAGGATGTCGAGGTCTTGATGAAGGTTTTCATAGCCTCCAACGAGGCTTTGTAGAGAGTAGCATCAGGCTCCTGCAAACTCGGTCAGCAACCGCAAAGTTAGAAGACTAAAAGGGGAGGGTCATCGGGATCGCACAGTTAACCGCTCAACAATCATATCGAGTTCGGTTTTCAGTTGCTGGTCTTCTTCGCTCAGCTCCTCGGTGGCTGTATAGTGGTTAGCATAAGGCTGATGCCAGCGAAAATGCAACAGAACACACAATCGACCTTGTCCCCTTCCTCCTTGCCGTTAACTGGAGGTTGCCCATCTTTAGCTTGGCTGTCAACGGCTTTGCCCTTCCCTTTGTCGGCCGGTTTGTTCTGGTCGCTGTTCGGCGCCATGGTAGTCGACGGTGGCAGGTCCGGAGCGCAGATACAAGTGAGAAAGAGGTCAGGGAAAAAGGAGGGCCCCGGTGGTGCTGCTCGAGATATCGTCGAAAGGACGCCGCCCGGTAGCCGATATTAATTTAGCAATGCTTATATCGTAGACTCGGTAGCCTTCAGCTGTCGCTGGGGGCGGGACAAGGTAAGAGTCGGCGAAAGTTGGACGGGTAAGACGAGAAACGGTGACGCTGAGGTTGTGGTGGACGTCGAAGTGGGAGTGGCGGATGGAGTTTGAGCTTTGCGCAAGCTCTTGGGGAGCAGCAGATCGGGTGGAAGCTCTCAGTCTCAGGCGGGAAAGGGTTGGCCAGCCCACCTCCATTACGTGACTGCCCTGCCGCCTAGTTGCCAGACAGGTACCAATAGATGTACCTACCTACCTACCTCCTAACCCCTTGGCGAAGCCACAGAGGAGAAGAAGCGCCGGATACCTGTACAGAGTACATCCATGAACGACTGAGCACCTAGGTACACATGCAATACCTCTCGAGTACCTAGGTACCTTCTAAGAACGCTCTAACTGGCTGCGTCTGCGGGGCCGGTGCGGGTAAAGGTACCTATACTAACTCTATACTTGTATGTATCCCTATGTACCTACCTGGAAGCCAATCAAGCTTCGGAGAACTTCCAAGCTAGGACCTTTGATAAGGCGATAATAATTGTGTATCGTATCTCTCCTCCTAGAGAGGGACCTTGGTGGGATTTCAGATAGTAGCGACGACACGAATTGCGCCCAATACACCCATCCTCAAATTCTCATCGCATCTCTTCCCCTCCAGCTCTTCATATTCTTCTCCCTACTTCTCTATACGAACTCGGCTGGAACCATCTCGGGAGATCTGCTCGTAGCCAAAGGCAAAACCTTCGAGAGCAGGCAATTTCCGCAGAAGGCAAGAGATAGTGGAGGTGGACTGCCCGCCATGAAGCTCGATACCAAAGCCATGCGCCACCTCGCAGCGGAGGATTGGCGCGTCCTGACAGCCGTACGTTCGCGGTCGCGTAGCAAGAGTTCCAGCCACTGACCACAACCCCTACACGTAGGTAGAGATCGGCAGCAGGAACCACGAGGTCGTCCCGACCCCGCTCATAGAAACCCTCTCGAAGCTGCGCGGCGGCGCCGGCCGGGTGCACCGGTCGATAGCGGCTCTCGCAAAGGCCGGCCTGATCGCGCGCCTCAAGGAGGCCCGGTACGATGGATACCGGCTTACGTACGGCGGCCTAGATTATCTCGCCTTGCACACCTACGCGAGCCGCCGCGAGGTCTACAGCGTCGGGGGCCGTATCGGCGTCGGCAAGGAGAGCGACATCCTCGTCGTCGCTGACGAGCGCGGTGTCCAACACGTGCTCAAGATTCACCGCCTTGGCCGCGTCTCCTTCCGCGCCGTACGCGCCACCCGCGACTATCTGCGCCGCCGGCAGGGCGGCAGTTGGATGTACCTCTCACGCCTGGCCGCTGAGCGCGAGTTCGTCTTCATGCAGGCCCTTCACGGCGAGGGATTTCCCGTCCCAGAGCCTATCTCCCAGAGCCGCCACACCGTCCTTATGCACCTCATCGACGGTTGCCCGCTCCGCCAGGTCTCTCAGGTCCCCGACCCTGCCGCGCTCTATGCCGAGTTGATATCTATGGTCCTACGGCTAGCTCAGCACGGCCTAATCCACGGCGACTTCAACGAATTCAACATTCTGATCAGGGTAGAACGGGAGGACGAGGAGCCGCACGCAAAAGGCAAACAAGCCGAGACAGTAGCCGAAGCAGATAGAACGCGAGTGATACCCATCCTTATTGACTTCCCCCAGATGGTGTCCATGGACCACCAGAACGCCGAGATGTACTTTGACCGCGACGTCAACTGCATCAAGCAATTTTTTGAACGACGCTTCCATTTTGTTAGCACACAACCAGGGCCTTTCTTCAAAGATGCCAAGAAAACTGTGGGTAAAGATGGGGCTAAGAGGCTTGATGCCGTAGTCGAGGCATCAGGCTTTTCGAAAAAGGCTCTGAAAGACCTCGAGGCCGCTATCAAAAAGCAACATGAAGCAAGAGATGATGATGATGATGATGATGGTGATCCAAGAGAAGATTTCAGCGAGGCAACCGAGGCATCCGGGGATGACGACGAAGATAAGGACGAATATGAAAATGAGGATGGGAACGAAGAGGTAGATGCAAACGAACCGGGTGCTGGCGTCAACACAGAACACGGCGCTCCCAGAGTAGACACACAGTCCGTTGCAATTAGGAATGAAACATAAGGACAGATATGTCGTGTATATAGATACATAATTGCTAACCATCTTGGGCGTCAAATTCATCTTGTTTTATATACACGTAGATACTACTTAAGTAGTCCTAGACTAGGAGGTAGGTATGTAGGGCATTCGAGGAGTTGCCGATCACATCAGGTCACGCTTGCTATCATAAGGTAGTAATGAGCACCTTCGGGAACAATGCGGTCTCGGCGGCAAAATCATGTCTTAACACTTCCCCTCTAGTCTAGACTATCAAGTCTCTACTATGGGGAGTACAACGAAGATGTGAAGACGTATCCGAATAAAGATGAGACGGCCTGACCTGTCACATACTTTCTCTCGTATCGTCCACCGAAGACCCCCGTGGTGGTAGAGACATGCTCATGAGACATCTCTAGAATTCGTGCGAAAGCAAAGTCATACAACAAATAAAAGCACGACAAAAATTGATCCGCCCATGATCCCCGGGCCATTGCCGAGTAGTGTCGATACTGTGACCTGCGTAAAGATGCCACATTAATGACACCGAGAATGAATGGATTCGACCACAAAGTATAACCTTGTGGTGACTGACAACGTCGGCTCTATGGCAGGGATAAATATGTCATCACGAGTGACAAAGATACCATGCCGAAGTGCCAAACAAGAATTACCGATGCTAGAATAGACCTGGAGAAGTGGCAGAGGTCTACTCCCTATTATGTTTCGCCGGCGACGACTGGCTACTACCATGTGCGACCAACGGGGAGCCCACACCAATCTCGACGCCTTCACTGCTCGGGCCATCCTCTAAGGGATTAGGGCTATACATATGTTAGCGGTGGGACACACTAGCTCGGGGGGTTGAGACTGCGGGCTGCAAATTACCGGGTTCCGCTCTTGCTCGAGCCACCCGAGGTGGTGCGCTGAGAGGCCGTACTGCCGGAAATATCGGTCAGTCTAAATTCAAGGTAATGCCGCGAGAGATAATAATCATACCCCAAGTTACCTCCGTTACCATTTCGATAAGCCAGCTCGTTATGAGGATTCATTCCCACAAGAGGGGTCCCGTAGGCGCTCGCGTTGTACTCGTTTGTGCGCCACTGTCGACGCTCCGCTGTCACGCGCTTCAACTCCTTTTGACGGGGGGTATCGGCAAACCGAATCTGGAGAGGCAGGCGTTCATGCCCAATCAGACGGCCAACAAACTCTTGGATAACATCTTCGCACGTCTCACGGTTCTCGAAACTACCGTGATTGTTAGCAACATGTCTGTAAGATTGTAGGTAGGTATATATTTCTGTAACTAGTCCTTACCGTGCAAATCCGACGCCCCGGCTGTTGCCTAGACTATCACGAAGAACCTTGCTTGACAGGATCGTATATCCTTCGAAGATTGTAGCGATTTCCTACTCCTGTCAGATACGGCAGGCTGAATTAGCGACTGTGGTGGCTTACGGCCTCAGTGTAAGACTTGGGCAAATTCGAGAGGTACAAGTTGGTAGAACTCTCGTCGCCTTCCGCCCTCAATCGAGAGTTGAAGCTTTCCTGCTTCAAGTCAGCAAACTTCTCGCCTCGTCGAGCAGGCGCATCGCCATGCCAACGATGAGAGTAAGAGACGGGGGTCTTGACCCTTGCAAATCCCACTTCATAGCCCCGGCTGTAGAATGCACGAATGCAAGCCTCGGAATCGCGGACGTTGCAGAACTTGGCGAAACCGAAGCTACAAGTTCTATCTGTCAGCATATCCTGAATATAACTCGACGGAGTAAGGGACTAACCCTTTGCAGGCCCCTGTAGCGGCATCGATAATGGCCTTGGAGGTCTCAACTTTTCCAAAGCGCTCTGCATATTTCAGCAACAACTCGTCATCGGTCGTGGGATGAAGCCCACGGATGTAGACGTTGCGGTTCCCTGGGATCGGATTCACCAAACTCTGCTCCAATGTCTTCATGTTCTTACGTGGCGTGAAGATTGCCGGAACAGCGAAGGGGATGCTGGGGTGGCGATCAAGAAGCGGGGACTTGCTCTCTCGAACACCACTTGCTGCAACAATCTGCTGGGGTGACGGGGTGGTAAAGGTTGATCGATCAAGCATTGCCACTCGAGTTCCGTGGTCACGGGAAGCCATGCTCCCGAAGAACGGGGTTGCTGGGGTCGACTCGCTTGTAGAGTATGATGACCGACGGTTATCCAAGGCCGGAATTGCTCCAGAGCCAGCCTCGGAATGTTCATGTATAGCACCAGAGCGTCCAGCGGGAGTATACGGTACCACCGGGTAGTGCGACATCAACGGCTGGAAGTTTCCCTGTGGAAGATACGCGTTGCCAAATGAGGCCGATGGGCCGTCGGGGGCGGCACCATAACCGAAGGCCGGAACACCAGCAGTCGGGTAGCTGCTGGCAAAGACGATGCGCCCGTCCGGGGTGGCATAGGGAACCATCCCGGAGATGGTATGGGGGGTGCTGATGTTAAGGCCACCGAACTGGTTCATGACGGCGTTTATATTTGGGTCGACGATTGTCGGACCCTGATGGCCGTTGCCGTTGCCGGCACTTGAAGCTTGGGTAGCGGCATGAGCAGCCGGAGCCGCCTTGACCGAGGCCATGTTTCTAACACGGGATGGTGCGAAATCGGTATTAGTTCGCATTTTACAACAGATTGATACTTCTGGAATGCGTAGACATCATATTAGCAAAGGCCTGGCGGGATTGGTATGATGGCAATCAATGTTGTAGGCATCCTGAAGCGGACGGGGAAGAGCGCCGGGTATGTGTGCGATCTCAAGTCCTTAACGCACGCCATGATTCGAAGGCGACACCACGTATATGGGAGACGGGTAGGTGGCGGGAGCAAGACATACCTGGACGGAAACGGAATTGACCAAGTCTGGTGGTAGGAGCAGTCTGGTACCTGATAGGATAACTGTTGGCATCACGTTCAAATTCTGCAGAGTGGATAGAAAACAGGAGTCCTTGATCGAGACGTTTTGGGGACGATGGGAGGGTGTGATATGTACGACGGGGGTACGTGATGGAGGCAGGGCAGACCTTGAGGGATTTGGCTGGCGATGCCAATTCTGTCGCTACCAAGACGACCGTGGCGAAGCGAGCGGGCCCGAGTAAAATAGAGTAGCTAGCAAGCAAGGCGGGAAGTGAAGAGATTGTGGTCATGCGCGGACGCGCGTGGGAGTGATGGATGAGTTGATGCTATGCTGGAGAACCAAGTGGGGAGGAGAGGAGAGGGAGAGAGGCAGATGAGAAAGGCCACGGGGGCGGGGAGATATACTGTCAATATAATACCGTCGTACTTACCGGGGCTTAGATACTCTGATAGAAGTCAGGAAGGTTCGGCAAGCTTTGCTTCGCCTCGTCGTTCTCGAGACTGGTCGTCGAAGGTAGCTACAACGTAGAACGATGCTTGGCCCTGTCTCCTAATCGGATATGTGCTCCCGAGGCGTGTTCCTGACGGGCGTCCCTGGCGGGTGTTCCGGGGAAGGAGTTCTGATGATGCAACCTAAAGATGCTAGAACCGAACGACGAAGACGTAGGAGTGCGGCTTAAGTATGATTCCCGGCGGGAAGTCCAAGGCAGGGCAGCTTGGGATGAAGGATGGACTGCAGATAGCAGTGTGACGTATCCGAGGGCCGGGGCAGTGATCTGGAGGTGCTGCAATCCTGCGAGGGCGCAGTTTTGCGATACTACTGCTGATCGAGAGCGTACGACGGGGCGCTCGCCAAAGGGTAGGAGATGATGTAGAGAGTGCGGAAGGTAGCTAATATGGAAGTGGTGGAAGGCATGGAGGTGGTGGAGAGGGTGGCGGTGCCAGACGGTGGAAAGCGGAAGCCGTGAATATAAGCTAGAGCAGCTGGAGGGTTAAGTACGTAAGGCAGGCCGGAAACACTCGTTCACTGATCCGGTCGGTCCATGGGAAGCTGATCTGAACTGGCTACCTCCTACCTACCTAATGTATTCTTATATTCCAACGGTAACACGTACAATCCATCTGTCCGCAACGAGATAGGTACCTCCTGTTCGGGGACCCACTGGGCCGACAACGAGACAGACAGAACGTATTCCCTCCGAGTTATGTATGTCTACCTAGGTAGGTATATTACTTACTTGGAAGGTACGTCTTCTGATATGCCAACAGGTACCTGATTTGAATTTCGAATCTAGGTAGGTAGGTAGGTTGCAAACCTTCGGGAGGTATCGATGTATATGCGTGTGTCTTTCACGAGCAGGACGTATGCGAGGTACTGGACAGCGTGCCTCCCATAGAATACATTAGATACATTATAGCCACAGGTAGCGGGCTGGGAGCTTCCGCTTCAGTGAATGTCTACCGTTAGGTGCCGCTGGTAATTCTAACAATGTCTGCCGCGCAGCAATCTGCGATATGTACGCACGCAAATCAGCACCTCGACGCCGCCTAACCTTAGGCACCTGCTTCCTGCCCGCCTCGCAGTACATATACACCTACCCGCTTCCCCCGGGGTTGGTACGCACACCAAGGCCCCCTGGGAGGTACTGCCGCCTAGCGATACCTCCCAGGTACCTACCTGGCATACCTGCTATGTACTGCCTGGCTGTTAGGAGGTAGGGGCCACCTAGGGTGTATATACCATCGAGAGCATGGAAGCGCCGCACCTGCCTCGGGCAGCCCATCAGTTGCTACCGCGATCGTGTGGCTTCATATGGATGGCCAACACACACCTACGTGGATCGTTGGAACATGGGATATCCTACTTATTCCTCACTTACGGCTGATGTCTCTAAAGAACCTCACCGTGGCTCTATGCCGTCGATGGCTGGCGGTATATAAGAAGCGAGGGGGAGGACCTAGCACTAGACAAGTCCTAATAAAATCGCATTGTGGCATGGTTAAAAGAGGTATTTGCTCGTTCTTTCTACCTGATATGGGGCCCAGGGGCGTATGCTGCGGCAATTGGCCATCAGCCTCCTACCGAAGCTCGACATCTACTGGCCGTTCTGTTCTTAATCTTAGGGCAATGCCTACCTAGCACACGGGAAGACCATAGGATCAAGAAAGAATATCTTTACGCCAAGTGGGTATTATAAGAAGCAATGAAACATTCGTAACTCCGACAGCCGGCAGGTGTAAATAATTCTAGATGCTTGCTTCCAGAAATCACTAGCCGACGCCGATAGTCCGGATGAAGGACTGGGACTATACCTACGGGATACGAAGAGGCAGAGTTGAACCCCCCTCATCAGCTACGGAGGTAGTCACAAGGCGAGTGAACAATACCATATCTACGCATATAAGCTAGCCCGCGAAGATGAATGTTCAATAGCCGTGCCTTAACGAAACCCAAGGAGTCGACCTGGGGGGAGCACTCAGCTTGTTAGTGATCGCCGGCGCGACAGCAACACCAACCGAGGGGTATAACCACAGAGGCAGCACCTGCCAGTGTGATGCTGGAATTTCGTAGTTTGATTTTGCGTTTATGGCAGCGGGCAATTCGGCCGGCGGGGAGGCAAACCACGAACCCGTCAGGTACCTATATGTCCTATCCTACGCTCACGCCTTGGACGACGTTAAATCTAACGAGTGACGTTCCCTTGAGCCTCCATATACTCGTATTGGCCCGTGCATACCGTGGGGAAGATGGAGGGGGTAAGAGATGTGCCACCAGATATGGGTTCTCCTACCTTATAGGTCATAGGTAGGTACCTGCCCGCGCGTACCCGTCCTGTTTCACTGTTATTTTTTCACTGACCCTGCTAAGGAATGAGCGAACTAATCTCGCGGGAGTTCGGTCGGTTTGTAACTTGGCTCCCATTAGAAACATCTCCTATTGATGCCTTCGCATTTACAAGAGTGCCTACTGTATATCGGCTTTAGTCTCGTTGTAACTACGTTGTTTATGCCTACCAGGTATCTAGGTACCTGATCCATATACCTCGGTAGGTAAGAGGTACCTACCTCCTAATGTTGTAAAATGGGAGGTATCTACCTAGGTAGGTAGGTACTTCTTCTTCCATGATGCCGTAATAATTCCACGTCATCTTGAAACTGCCCGGACGAATCAATCACTGAGCTGTAGACGATTTTCTGCCTAATTTCCTGATTTTATCTCGCTGCCAGTTACGCACTAGCATCTTCCCTCTGGAAGGTTGGGTGCCATGTACCCTACCTCCAGCACCAGTCCCTGTAGGTAAGGCCCAGTTTATCACAACCTCTGCCTGGCCCCTGCGGACTAGCTCACGAGTTTCCCAGAACTCGGGGGGCCGAAGTCGCCAATATTTGCGCGTGGAAAGCAAGTGATTCTCAACTTCGAACAACCGGAGACAACTTGAAGGGTAGAGCCATTATATAATCTATGTATGTACGGATAAACACGGAGCTCTAGGGATATTAGAACGCACATTGGCACCTGATCCAGCACCTAGTCATCGTAGATGCCCTGCTATATCATAGTCCACACCCCCGTGACTCCCAGGCTATGTAGCAGAGTTCTTCTACGCAAATTTGCTTGCAACGCTCACCTTGATATGCATTAAATTCCTGACAGGTCTTCACGACCAGACGTCCTCCTGCAGTAAGTGTTAGCTTCGTTCGAACCGCGGTGATATCAAATAGATATGCAGAGATGTCGGATGGGCAAGCGAGCACATCTAGTGGGATGGGAGGGGGTGCATTATGGCGGGGGAGGTATGACGTACTTGATATTGGTTTGCGGCTCTCATGTTCTTCACGATCTCCTCTCCCTTCGCCTCGGGAATTCCACGTTGCTCTGCAATGATCTGGGCCAATACCGTGTTGACTTCTCGGGCCATATTTGCCGCGTCGCCGCACACGTAAATGTACGCCTTCTTCTCGAGCAATTCGTTCACTTCTTGAGCTCTCTCCTTGAGTCTGTGTTGCACGTACACCTTTTTCGGCCCTTCTCGGGAGAACGCCGTAATGAGCTCGAACTTGTCACCGAGAACCTTCTTGTATTCCTAGAAAAAATATGAGTCGCGGTTCGAGCTAATGGCTGTTGGAATTATACGTACCTCCCATTGTGATTCATACATGAAATCCTCGTTCTGTTTCCGGCAGCCAAAGAAGAGCAGCGTACGGCCGACATTCTCCCCAGCCTCGGCTTGTTTCGCACGTTCCTGGACGAAGCCGCGGAAAGGCGCGACACCGGTGCCGGGCCCAATGAGAATAATAGGCTTCGACGGGTCAGAGGGCAACTTGAAATTCGAGTGGCGAACGTGTACGGGTACATGAATACCATCGTACTTATTCCTTGGGCCGTGGATCTCGTAGGTAAGTCCGAAAGGCTCAGGGTTGGGATCACCGTTTTGCTTCTGCTTGAGGGCAAGCAGGTAGTTGGTAGTGACGCCCCTGAAGGCATCATCACGACCAGGAATCCGCTGGTTTTCGACGACGGCGGTCACGGATATCTTCTTAGGCTGAACAAGCGAGGAGGATGAAATGGAGTAGTACCGAGGTTGAAGTTTGGTGATACCCTCGATAAGTGCCGAGAACGGAATGTTCGTCCACTTCCGTCCGCCGCTGACGACGCTTAGCGTCCTCGCGATGTTGTAGTGATACTTGCTAACCTTGTCCTGAAAGTAATCCTTGTCGCTGCCGAGTTTAGCCATTTCAGCCTTGGTAGCCTCGTCCGGAGCAAATGCGGCCAACGTGCCGAGGAACTGACGGGATACGGGAGCACAGATCTCAAGGTGGTATCGAACGATGGCATCATAAGTCGTGGGGGTGGGGAACGGGACTTTGGCTGTCGGCTCAAGAGCTTTGACGCTGATGACCGTATCTCTCTTGTCCTCAAGTGCGAGGATGTTGAGGAACTGATCCACCTCATGGCCCGAGTTTGTCGGCCAGATCGCAATGTGATCCCCAGTTTGGTACGTCAAATTAGATCCGCTGACGTCGACCTCTATGTGGAGGCAGTTCCTGTCTTTAACGGCGAATAATTCCTTGGACTCGACAATCGGCGCGATGTACGGGTTATGGGCATTGAAGGGACCCTTGGTAGCTCCTTCCAGGTGCATCTTGTTAGGCTCGCCCAAATACACCTCGGGTGAATCTTTTGTAAGACCCTCGCGCTCTGTGATGCTAAAGATTGGTTCGTAGACGGCTTCGCGTTCTTCGAGCCCCATCTTCTCTGCCAGGGCGGCCCACATGGGGTCCTTCCAGGCCAGGAAGTCTTCCTCCATAGTGCCGGCGCCGTCGTCGCCTTCTCCAGCCTCGCCGATCCTGTTTGCACCAAGCTTTTGCAGGGCTTTATCGACATTACGAACCATAGAGTTGTAATGCTCGTACGTGTTGTTCCCGAGACCGAAAGCGACGTAGTTGAGGTTCGCAAGGGCCGGATCGGAGTCCTGAGAGAAGGATACATCGTCACCAGTTATGAATTCGTAGAAGTCGACGGCGTTATCGGTAGGTTCTCCCTCGCCGTACGTGGCTAGGACGAACATGACGATCTTGTCGGATGGGACCGCATCGAGATTCTCGTAGTCGTAATCTTCAAGATCAGCTACCATGGTCTCCAGTCCGAATCGGCTCTTCCCCTCCTTAGCTAGCCTGGAGGCATAGTCCTCGGCGGTACCGGTCTGGGAGCCGTAGAAGATGATACAGTTCTTGCCGCTCTCCTCCATCTTCTCGATGAGGTTCCTCGTCTTCCCCGCCTTCTGCCCATTTGCGCTGGCGAATGCGTTCGCATAGGGGTCTTTGGTGACGCCCCAGTACTTGCCCTTGGTGAAGTAGGCGGCTGTGCCTACAAGAATGACGCCGAGGACAATGATGTCTAGGGTATCGAGTTGAGCCATCTTGAGAACTGCCCGCTGACGAGGAGGTGAGAACCCAAATTCTGGCTCAATGAGCAAGCGAAGCCTCAGAAAAATACGCCGAGCAAAAAACAAGAACAAGAACAAAGTCAGGAAGTTGGGAAACGAAGAGGACAGCTAACAAGTTTTGTGACGCGCAAATCGTTCGGCTCCCGCGGACTTATTGGATCATGTAAGCAGAACCACAAATTTCATTTCTCTTCCGTTTCTTTCCTCTCCTTTGCGATGCTTCCACTGTAAGGAAGACGCTGCAACGTGTCTGCGTGCGTTATCGGATGACGAAAGGGATGAGCGGGCAGCGCGGATAGCGCTCGCTTTTACAGGTACGGGGAATTCCTTGGGTCGGGTACGACGTAAGGATCGCAAGACGGCTGCGGCTCTGATAATAAATACTAGAAACGCAGGACTCGCACGATGGAATCAATCATACGATCGCGATAAAAAGGGAGAAAGATGGAGAAGAATAAGCAGACCGGCTTGGAAATTATGTGCTGGCGTGGCCGGTAAGAGTTGGCACTAAGGTGGGCTGGAAGAACCCCGAAGGCAGAGTCTTGAGGAAGTCCAGTACAGGAAGCATTTTGGTGTATTTATTTATATAGGTACCTATTTATTTATATACCTGAGGGGTACGGAGTGTTTAAAGATAGGTACCTGCTACGTGCGCTTGTCAAATGTTGATGTACCCGAGCTTATATACATCAGGTACCTCTCAAGGAGAGAGTATTATGCAGGTAGCTGCCTTCTAATCTAACCTGGAGGCAGGTACCTAGGCAGGTACCTCTGGGGAAGTTGAGCTTATTCCCCGGGTCTTGCCTTACCCGAGCACAACCTTATCAATGTACTTTGATGAATCCCGCTTACTATATTACCTACCTTCTAGGTACCTCCTAATGTATGCTGATACCTCAGAGGTACCTAACGTATTTGAAAGTATACCTAGGTACCTAGGTACCTATATATATCAGTAAATATCCTCAAAGGTCATCTACTAATATCACGTTCTCAACAAATGCATCGTAGGCAACATCGAGAGAGAACCTAGGACCGAAATCCTCTCGAGCTATATTTCTGTAGTCTTGTTTGGGGCACCACTTGTCTACCCACTGTTCCACAAACACTTAGCTCCCTACTCATAGATACCTACTAGTTACCATGTGACCGAGCATTCCTGAGTTCGGCAATTCGCAACGCACGGCAGAGAACTTTCCCGACATTCTGCGGAATTCCACCGGTATTCCGCCCACTTGCATTAATGCATCCTTGGGTTTATTTCCGTAAACCTCATGCTGGCACGTATGTATGCACATACACGAGCTTGCATGATGCACGTAATTTATGTGCACCTACTGAGTATACTCTGACTCCGGGTCTGCTCAACTCTACGTAGATCCTGACTCTGCGTGGTGCATCAACAGGTTGATATCTTTCACGGACCCTTTGTCAGCCTTACAAATTTTTGGGGTGGGATCGGTGTTTCCTTCTGTTTTGGCGCTATCGATTAGAAGAACCTCGACTATTCCACCCCTTGTGGTGCCGCTTCGTACTGGGACAAAACATACCGTGTAATATCGACCTCTCCAAATACTAGAGAACGGCCATTACACGCCAATACTCAGCTCCGACAAATCAGCGGTTGGGCGATCTCCATACCGTCAGAAATAATCTATCAGCGGACCCGGCCACCTAGCGGACCACCCGAGGTTAAGCACCAGCTCTGGATAGGAGTGTCGGGAAATGATTCGCACAAGGTGGCGAATTGAGGCTTGCGGAGACCGGCAAATTGTTTCTAAACAGGGTGGTGAAAGAGGGAGAGGGAGAGGGAGGGGGTAGATCTGGCTTGAACTATGATGTTTTTCAATATAAAAAGTACGCATAGGAAATCATACTTCCCTGAGTAGAAAGGTTTGCTGCCTATGAGTAGGGTATGTTAGGTACCTACCTGCCCGTTAGCGAAGTACCTACTGCGAGCGCGTGCACCGCATCTTATCTAGGGTCCCAAAGTTTGGTGGGGTTCCCTGTGATCTGCTTGACGATACGTATAGATAGATAGGCCTGCGCCCTTCTCTATTGATACTGACCTGGTGTTCTCCGGGTTTCAATTTTGTGTTGTCGTCTTGCTGGCCTGAACCTCATGCTAGACCTGGCGCCTAACCTCCATGTGGCGTTTTTATTAGCTCTAATGGTTTTATACACGTACTTATAGAGAGAGCTCTCACTTTAAATTTCGAGTAACTGAAAAATCTCTCGTCTCTCTTGGCCGAATGAGCGCCTGTCAGCGCTAACAGCTACTTTATATATATTAATATCTATTTTACTACCTTTTTAACCTTATTCATTTACGTATAATAAGTACCTAATTTTATTATTATTATTATTATTTCTATTTATATAATACTTAAAGTTATAATTTTTTAAAATAAAAAACCTCTTATCATCTGGGTACACTGTATAAGGTTTACATCCTAAGCTAAGCACCTGGTACCTGGGTAATGAAAAATAAAAATCAAATTTGCTCCCTTGTTGGTGGCGGGCCACCGTCACAAGCATTGCCTTAGGTCAGGTACCTAGTGAGGGCGCCTAATCGACGATAGCGACAGTCAACCTAAGACAGAAGAGGGAAGGCTTTTAGATCCCACCAGCTCCGTAGCCCTCTGCCCAAGAAAAGGTACGGGTAGTGGACGACCATTAGGCATTTTCCAAGTCGAAACCGCATCAACCGCCACACCGATGCCCATCTGTGTACTCATACGCAGTTGCTTTGTGGCTTGGGATACTTTCCATACAGGCATGCATGCATACACACACACACCCTCAGGCGATCAGGACCGAGGCCCATACCACGTAAGCAATAGACGGCCTGGGTGAGAGAGACTTAGAGAAGGAGAAGCAGGCGCAGGAGAGAGACGGAGGGAGAGAAAAAAAGGGCAGCCAAGGGACGGGGAAAGGGAATAGGAAAAAGAAAAGACAGAGGAGACATCGTTGTCCTCGAAATACCATCTTAACCCGGAAAGCCTTTCTCGTTCATCATCGTCACCATCATCGGTGGCCGAACCCCTCGAATTCGCTAGGCCATACCATTCCCAGGGTCCGCGAAGCCCACCTTAGGTCCTGTATCTATCGACACTAAATGTCATGGGCCTCGCAGCTCAACAATGGGTGAGTGGCTCTGCATTCCCCTTCCAGCAGTTCAGGTCATATCGTGTCGAGGATTCGATGCATACAGACGCACCTACAGACATGCATCTATACTTCTACCTACCTCCACTACTTACCTACCTCTCCTACTTACCCTCCTACTTATCCTCCTCCTACTTACCCTCCTCCTGCACAACTGGTATCGGCACGTACGCGTACTACACGCCTACCTGTCTTACGTACTCACATACCCTCTCTCCGTACACTACGTTGGCTGGCTGGTTGGCTGGTGGAATGCTGCTGTTTATTCTCTTATTGTATGTGTGCGCCGCCCAGCTAGCAGCTACACGCGACGACACCACGACCGGATGCTTGACGCTTGGTTCTTGACGCACAAACGCCTTCCGCTTATTGTTCAAACGTGTTCCCACTTTGAGTTTCTGTTTCACAAGAGAGGGGGTGGAACACCTCAAGACTCCCCCCTGCGCATCTTCGCCTTTGCTGATAATGCTGTCGCACCATGTAGCTTCGTCCCAGACGCTGCCAGACCATTTCCGCGATCCACCCAAGTTCTCTCAACGACCAGCTCCGAGACCCAATACCCACGACAGCGATGGTGACGATGATGTCGATACTGGCGGGTGGGAAAACACCGTCAGACCTATAGCCCCCGACTCTTCCACCTCTCGCGCTATTGCGCACTCTCGCCAATCCTCCCTCGAAAAGCTCCAGTCGGGCGCTCTCGCCGACATCCCTGAATTGCCTCAGTCGCCCACCTCCTTGTCCGCGCCCTCCAGCATTCGTTTAGCAGCGTCACGCCCCGGCCCTAGTGGCATACTCGAGCGTCTAGTCGACTCGAAGGCTTCGGCGGCATACGGGCATCATCGACAGACCTCTATTGTTCATGGCATTCAACATTCGAGGAATGGAAGCCTTGCGAGTTCATCCTCGAGTCCTCTCAGCCCGCAGATAATTGCGGCTGCCGGCGCTGGACTCCTGCCGGAACAACCAGAAATGTCCACAATGAGCCGGATAGATTCGGAACTATCAACAGCCTCTATGGCGTCTACGGTTCCCCGACCACCAACCGCTTTGTCGGGAACCACAATCAACGCATCTATTCACAGTATAGATAGGTCGCAATCCACTCAGGATAGTGGCACGGGCAGTGCAACATCCCACAGGAAGATCGAGCGCATGCACAGCAAGACCCGGCGCGACCATTCGCATCACCACTCGCATTCCTCGAGACATCATAGAGATGAGCCGAAAACAGTAGGCGAGTATGCTATGCACGTGCTGTTCACGTCGGTAAGCAATGTCTAGCCCTCCCAATTCCTATTCAATTTATGCTGACACGCCTGTCTAAGTTCATTGCTATGGCCGAAGACAAGCTGGGCGAGTGTCTTACGGTGCCTTTTGACCCCGAGCCGCCGGTCGAACAGATATGTGGCCCTGGGGCCGACCCGGCCTTTGACCGTTTTATTGTGGCCCTAGGGCACATCGCAAGCCAAAAGCCGAGACCGCTCATCGATTCCATCATGCTTTGGCGGAAGCACAAGAGCGAAGCGGCTAACGAGGCCCGGAGCCTGTTACACCAAGTGAAGTCCAACCTTCCTGCGACGGCCCTCGTGAGGCGAAATACCGAGCCCCTCCAAGTAGTCACGGGCGGCTCAGAGGCATTACCCGGCGTGCCTCAGGCTCTTGCGGACAAGCAGATTGCGGCAGCTCATGCTGAACGCCGTTCTATCGTCTCTATTTACATACTTTGCCGTGTACTCCTGGAGGTTATTAGCCAAAGTAGTCTCAGCTCCATCACTCCCGAGATGGAGGACAAACTCGAGGCCATCATATTTGGCCAGCTCAAGATTGCCGACATAGAGCAGTTGTATCTCTCACCTCTTAAACTGGCCAACTGGAATCTATTCGCCCAATTGCTCGGTGTGATGGGCGAGATCAACTTTGCCAGCGTCACAGATCGGTTTATCGTTGACCTCGACCGCACGCTTCAGGATCTCACTATTAGAAGCCCAACATCCCAGAGCAGAGACCCCGAGGGCCAAGTCGAGCTAGTACTCGGCGGAATGAAGCACCTACATATTAAAATCGATACCGACGAAAGTTGGGACCAGGCGTGCGACTTTTTGGTATCTCTAGGAAGGCTATTTTCTCGATCCCACGGCCAGAAGGTGAAGTCCGCGTTTTGCCAGATCCTGGACAATCTTCTCATCCCTATTGCTGCGAAGGCTACCAACAGACATTTCGCTCATCCGAAGTGGGCGGAAGTACTTAGCAATATTAGTCCCCGTCTAGCATCGATGTTCATTAAACCGCGCCATTGGCTATCCGCATTTCCTTTAACAGCAACAATGCTCTGCGTATCACACCCCGAGAATTTGAGCAACCAATGGCTCCAGTTGGTTCGAACGCTACAACCGAGGCTCAAAGACCGCTCAATGCGTCCTCTGTGTTTGCAGGTCATCTCGAGGCTCGTTTGGGCGTATCTATACCGAACTACGGACAACTTAGCCGGGGCCACACGAAAGCTGGACGAAGTGATGCAACTTATATTGCCTGCCTCTAAGCGTACTTTCTCCGTGGCGGATACGGCTCCTACCGGACCCCTGGTGCAGGTTATAAGAATCATCGGCTTCAAACATCCCGAGTATTGTTGCAAGAACATCATATTCCCCTTAATCAACGCCGAACTCTTCAGCTTGAATAAGGAGCTCAAGGTGGAGCAACTAGAGCCTGATAGAATGGTGATCGGGATCAGAGCGTTCCTGGCCATCATGTCAGACCTCGAAAAGGGTGAGAGTGGGCGACCCCCATTCCCGCAACACTACCCTTCTGCGTATTCCCCCGATCGCGCTCCTCCAAGTTCTCCGGCGTCTGCCTCCACCTCCGGCATCACGTCCACAACCCCCCTGGTGCTCGATCACGACGAGACCTTGTCACGCCCCGTGCAGCTAGGCGCATTGAGTGACGGTGCTAAAGAGTATTACAAGAAATTTTCGGAGATACTGGGTAAAATCACCATCATCTGCGACAACACCTTCGGTGGCCAGGCTGCACTTGATGAAAAGTTCAGTAGTCCGGGAGGGGGGCCCAAAACACCAATCGCCGAGACATTCAACTTTTCAAGACGTGACGATCACCCCAGCCCGGCTGATCAGAAGCAGTCTTTCTACGAACTACTCCATGTTGCTGTCCAAGCGCTGCCTCGGTGCCTCTCTACCGACATCCCGTTCAACTCCCTCATCAACCTCCTTTGCACAGGCACTGCGCATGTCCAATCCAACATCGCCGAATCCTCCGCCCAGTCTCTTAAGTCAATCGCTCGGCAGTCGTATGCACATCAGGTCACGGTCAGGTTTGCCCAATTCATATTCAATTTTGATGACCGTTACTCTACAATGTCAGATGGGGGCATGCTAGGTCCCGGCCATATCGAGAGCACTCTGAGGCTTTACGTCGAACTGCTGCATATATGGAGAGACGAGATTAGGAAGAAAACTAGGGACGCCACATCCGATACCACAGACCTCAATGGTGCCGAAAAACGGGGCATAAAGTTAGATCTGTCTAGCATTTGGGCGGAGGTCGAGCACGTCGAGGCTCGCGGCTTGTTCTTCTTGTGCTCGCAGTCTCGCAGGGTGCGGCATTTCGCGATTACCGTCCTGCGGTTGATCATCGAATTCGACACCGCCCTGGGTAAGGACAACCCGCAGGAGAAGGATACCGTCCGCCTCATCGACATCCTGGAGAACGACTCAGTGCAAGTAATGAACTTCCAGGATGAGCATCTATCTGTAGCGGAACGAAGTAGACTCCAGAGGGGTATGCAGAACAGCAATAACAGGGGGGCTCTGATTGAACTTTGTACGAGCGACGTCTCGTACGACACAACTCTGTGGTTCAAGATCTTCCCTAATTTCATACGGATTGCCTATGACCGATGTCCCTTCACCGTTACTATCGGACGGGATTTGGTTTGCAACCGAATTTTACAAATGTATCAAGGCATTGTAGTTTTGTCGGAGCCGACTCGGGGGCTCTATTACGGATCTAACCCCGGCGGCGCTCAATACACGGGCAGGGCACCGACGACAGAGCCCGATGTGCTTGTTGAGCAGTGGAAGTTATATCTTGCTTTCGCGTGCACAACATTGAACGACTCGGGCGCCGCTATAAGTGGCGCGTCCAGAGGAAGCCAACACTCGCGAAACGTATCCAAATCTGCTGCTGACAAAATTGTGTCGGCGCGGACGCTCTTCAAATTCTTAATACCACTGCTTTTAGCCTCTTCGGCCTCCGTTCGGGAGGCTGTTGTGCTCGCTATGGGCTCTATTAACATCAACATTTATCGAACGCTGCTAGAGGAACTGCAGGGGCAGGTATCTCGTTGCAACGACGAAGCTCGTGCCCGGATTCACCAACGATCAAATAGCGGTCCGCGTAGAAACCGGAAAATGGATTTGCTTCGGACAGAGCTTACGTGTGTGTACAAATTAACTTGCCATTTTCTTAAGGAGCCGGATGTATACCAAGATGACTGGATCCTCAGCAATCTCTGCGCGTACACGAGGGACCTGAAGCTTTTCCTCATGGACGGCGATGTTCAAATGGACTGGGAGTTTCAGAAGCTGAGACGGCATTACTGCGGTCTGGTGGAAGGGCTCTTCGAGGGTATCAATCGCACAAAGGATCCGTCTCGTTGGATGACATTCGAGTCTCGGAAGTCTTCCTTTACCCTGATGGAGGATTGGTGTGGCTTCTCGCCGAATCAGATGCAAATTCGTCAGAGAGAAGACACAATGCGACAATCGCTAATCGACCAGCAATCTCTAGGCGAACGCGGCACCATAACTGCCGCTATGGAGATAGAGAAGAGGAACCTGAAGACAGCGGCCCTTAGCGCCATGGCAGCTTTGTGCGCTGGCCCTGTGAGCGTAATTACGGAAAGTGGTGTTACACTTCAGTTCGATATGAGGAGGATGCTGGCCTGGGTCGAATCCATCTTCAGTTCCGGGAGCGACCGGGTCAATGTAATCGGCAGAAGGGCTCTCAAGAATCTGATTGTTTACAATCAGGATCACCCTTATCTCCTAGAGCATTGTATAGCACGATGCTATTTAACGGAGGTGCCAAAGGTGCTCGAAAGCTATTTCACGGTGATTACCGAGGTACTGCTAGAGCACGTTGGTCATATCTTGCCATTCTGGAAGCTACTGGGAATGTGCTTGTTCACCTTAGGGAATGACCAGAGCGACATCCGCTCCAAGTCGGCTCAGGTCCTCCGGGCCCTAGAGGAGAGGCAGCAGGTTGCTCGAAGTTCCAAGATTCGAGACTTCGAGATCAGCATCGCGGATAAGACCAAGGCTGTCTACAAGCTAGCCCAGTTCGAGATTTCCAAACGGCTCGCGAAGCAGCACCCAGAGCTAGCGTTCCACGTCTTTTCCGAAGTAACATATTATTTCAAAAACCTCTCACCGGCGTCGCAACGAAACGTAGTCGCTGTTATTCTACCCTGGATCCAGACAATCGAGTTGAAGGTCGACCCAAACGGGGGACCTACGGCACAGTCCTACGTGCTTCTCGCCAACCTGCTCGAAGTCACCATCAAGTCTAGCGCCGCACTCCATAATGAAGTCCAAGCCCTATGGCAAGCTCTCGCAACTGGTCCCCACCCCGGGAATGTCCGCCTTGTCCTCGACTTTATTATATCCCTCTGTTTAGAGCGGAGGGAGCAAAACTTTGTGGAGTACGCCAAACAAATTGTGGTGTTTTTGTCGAGTACTCCTAGCACGCCCGGCATCAAGGTGGTCGAATTTCTGCTGATGCAGATCAACCCGAAGGCCATGGTCCCTAATGAGAAGAGGGAGATTGTGCCACCACCCCCGGACATCATCAGCCTGCCTTATTGCGCCGATTTATCAGAAGCATTACCCGTTGGCACCAAGCAGGCTGGCTTCTCCCTCGGCCAATTATCCTTGATACTACTCGTTGACTTGATGGTGTCTCCGGTGCAGCTGACGGCTGACAATCTGCCCGTGCTGCTCCAAGTCGTTGCTGTACTCTGGGATCACTACACGCCTCTTGTCCAGGAACAAGCTCGTGAAATGCTGGTGCACCTCATCCACGAGTTGGTTGTTTCAAAAATGGACGATGCTACCCCAGCGGGGACCAAAAAGTCGATTGAAGACTTGATCGATGCAATCCGACGCCACGACCGTACAGTAGTCTGGAGCTACGAAGAGAGCAACGGGAGAGTTGACGGCCGCGACAATAAGGTCCCGCAGAGCATGGAGTACCTTAGCGCAGAGGTTGTCAAGACTTTTGAGGTGACCTTCCCCGGCATCAAGGAACAATGGAGTCGCCTATCCCTGACTTGGGCAACTTCTTGTCCAGTCAGACACCTAGCATGCCGTTCGTTCCAGATCTTCCGCTGTATACTTACTTCGCTCGATCAGTTGATGCTAGGCGACATGCTTGCACGATTGTCCAACACCATTGCGGACGAAGACACCGAGATCCAAACTTTCTCTATGGAAATCCTGACTACTTTGAAAACTCTCATTTCGAAACTCGACCCCGAGAAATTGCTGTCTTTCCCTCAGTTATTCTGGACGATGTGTGCGTGCTTAGATTCGATCAATGAGATCGAGTTTCTAGAAGCAATAGAGATGCTCGACGAGTTTCTGGAGAAGCTGGATTTTCACTCTTCAAGTATCCGCAAGGTGCTCATGGACGGCCAGCCCCCAAGGTGGGAGGGTACGTTCGAAGGTGTCCAACCACTACTCTACAAAGGTCTTAGGTCGTCAGTTTGCCTCCAGCCCACGCTCGACATCCTAAATAAGATTGTCAGACTGCCAAACAGTAGCCTTACCGGCGATAATAACCGACTGTTCTTTTCCATTCTCGCCAACTTCCCACGTTTTCTACAGGCACTAGAGCAAGACACTATCGACGGGGATACCTTAAAAACCGCGAAGATACTTTTCTCAGTCGCGGAGGCCCAAAGGTTGCCGTTGATATGCGATACTCTCGGTGCTTTTGTTGATTTGCGGTACCTGTCGGGCAAAGACCTTATGCGTGAGCTTCTTGCCGCACTTCGTGAATACTACCTACCGCAGCTCGACTTCAAATTGCTCACCATGCTATTGGGGTTCTTAACCAATGACATATCTTCAGTGAAGATCATGACGATGCGGCTTCTCAGTGCTGTGATCCCCAGTATTGAAATGCGCAAACCCGAAATCGCTGGGCACGGCTCCGACTTGATCTCCCCGCTCTTCCGGCTTTTACAAACCGAATTCTGCATGGAGGCCCTAGAGGTTCTCGACAATATCATGACTATGTCCGGGACTCCGATGGACAAACACTACGTCCGGATGAGCATGACTAGCGCATCATCGAAAGAGAAGAAAGATTACGAGCTGACGCAGAGCCTATTTGGTATCCCGGAAGATTCTGGATGGTCAATTCCGGTTCCAGCAAAGAAGACCGAGATAACACGAGCGAATATCCACGCTGCATTCTACATGTGCCAAGCGAACCCGGAGGATGGAATCCCCACCGACCCAACGCCAACACCAGAGGTCGAGTTCCACACGGACGACTACCGCTATGGTTACTTCGAGATGCCGGATAGGACGGAAACCATGATGTCAGACGAGGCCCAAGCCGAAAGCCAAATGGCGGACCTGGTGACAAAACTCGATAGCCTGGATGATTTCTTCGACGGCATGTCGCAGACATCGCCGAGCGAGGGCCGCTCGTCTAGGACCGTGACAGAATTCGCCCCCGAAAGCTACGAATCCGGGGCCCGGCTTTACGACGACGTACTGCCGATCCTCCACCAGGCTTCGAGCAACACTTCGTTTCAGAACGGGTTCATTGACCGTCTACCAACATCGAAAGAAGGCAAGACAAATGCTATGAACCCAGGGGCGTTTAATCCCGACCCAACGGCCAGACCAGGGTTACACTCGCGTTCCATTACCTCCCCGTCAGCTCCGGCCTCTTGGAGCCAGCCGCAACTGAGCGAACTCACCTCTGACGACGAATTGACCGAGGACGTCTTCTCCGATGGCGACGATGAACGACAGCCGAACGAGGTACTGGAGAACTCTTTTTTCCTGGAGAACATGATCAAGCCCATTGCGCAGACGACTAGGACTCACATGCGCCGACTCACCGGTAGCAGATCCCGCGACGCCGAGAGACAGCGGGAGCTCTTCCGGGCAAAGATGTCTCCGTCGGTACCCAAGGTGCCTCATTCGTTCTTACCACACAAAGCGAATCCGTCGTTGGGGGATATGATGTGAATGTTATAACGGGATACAGCGAGCATGAGCATAATACGAGGGGATGGGGGTGCACCAATCTAAGAGTACCGATATGGTAGGAGAATACGCCGGAACCAGAACGGATAATACAGCGAACTAACGCAACCAAGGGATGTCTGGGTTGGGCGGGGGAGGTTATTTGTATATGTATCAATTGTAGAGTAGGGATGACGGATGATATATGGCATAATACCACAAGGACGCAGCTTGTCGGTCAAATAGCGAGGAACGATTGCATGCGTAGGCACTTTCTACCATGGATACTAGAGCATGGCGATGTGAGAACAGTATCCATCCGAGAAGATAATGGAGACTGGCCGTGGTTATCCCAGGCGTGGTTATCCCGGGTGATGTAGGCGTACTCTGCAAAAAGGGGGTACCAAGCGTTACCTGAATGTCTGGTTGCCTGAGGTGCCTACCTAAGGTACCGAATATCAGGGGTGGAGGTACCTAGGTTGTGTACATATGTACCTACAACATTCCACCCCTGACTGTGCTCCTATGCCTGATGCACTGTAGGCACCTGCACCTACCTACGGTAGGTACCTATGCTGGAGGACATGTTATTAGGGCCCTTGTGAGAAAAAGTCGTTGCGTACCTGTACCTACAGATAATCATCAGGTACCTTAGATACTTTTGTAGGCACAACCATGGATATTAATAGGTACCTCTACCTCTAGCTTAGGTAAGGCTAAGAGAGCAGCCAAGGCTTGGAGTTGTACCTACCTACCTATGTATTTTTTTTTCCCGTCTCTTTCCCGTCTCTTTCCCGGTGCTAAGCCTCGACCTGTTGATATGCCATTAGTATCCCAGAGGACGCGGCATGAAGGAAATTCGCATTCCATACAGGCCCAGAAATGAGCACAACATAAACTCCTCCGAAGCCTACTTATTACCGGGACGCACAATAGGGGCCTTTTCGGGATAGGTATATGCGCACCAACCGTTGACTTCAGTGCAAAGCGGTTATTGGCAATTCCACCACCCTCTTGGTTATGCCATTGGGTGTGCCGTAGCAATAGCGAGCTATGGCGAAGCGCAGATCTTTCGAGGGCGAAGACAGCCGGCCATTAAAGAAGTCAAAGACTGTCGCCCATGCACACGAGACTCCCACTTCCGAGGACGTACGTAGCGGAAGACAGCTTCGTCAACTGCTATCCTTCGAGCAAGACCTTACAAAAGCTAGACATGGTGTGTCCTTCGGATCCTTACCCGAGCTACCAAAGTAGTGTTACGCGTACGCTGCTAACTCTGAGCTGTGCCGAGGCCTTCGATCATTTAAAAATCTCCTCGATGGCATACTCAAGGATGAGAATGGCGTCGACGAGAAGTGGACAATATTGCTCGCGTATCTCGAATCGGTAAAGCCGGCAGAGAAGGATGGCGAGGCCCCCGTGTACCTGCCGGACGTCTTGGAGACCTGGGGCCTGGCTGTGCAGTTGGGCAACGAGCATGTTATGTCCGATGTTGCCGCCGTACTAACCCTCCTGATCAAGGTCATATCTGGAAACGTGGATCTGGTGCCATACGCCCTAGGGATATGTCGGACACTTCTTCAACCGCAACAGCAAGAGATCATGGCAAAACACCTCTCCGCTGACAAGGGCAAGGATTTCGTAATCTCGCCCACGCTGCGGCTCCTCAGAGAGGCTGTATACTTAGACGGTGGTACTCTTGCGCCCGCGATATTCCGAGCCAGGAATAACCTGTTCAAGTCACTCGCCAGGAATATAGGGCTCCGGTATATCGGCGAGGGTGTAGAGAGCCCAGCACGGCCATCGGTCAGAACCAATGCGATACGTTTTCTCCTAGGCAGCCTTAGGTTTCTACACACTGAGGCGAAGCGTGACCTTATATCTCAAAAAGACGTTGTCGCTGCCCTCATGAGACATATCAGAGAGGACCCGCCCTCGCTGGTCTACGAAATATTAGACACGCTGAAGGCCTCCGTCGTTCTAGATAAGAAGCTGCCCAAGGACGCCAAGATTAGAATACTGAATTCTCGCTCTCTTATCCGGATTTCCTCGCTCTACGGCTATTCGCGGGCTTCCGCGCAGTCTGGAGATGTATCAGACAGCGAGCGGCCATCAGTGGAAGAATCAGCTCATGCGTTTTTGCTCGCTGCTTGCACTGATCCCGATGTTGGCATTCGCCGGTCAGAACACGCATATTACCCCGAAGGTGTCGATCCGAACCCAATGTCGCGGGGGCCCGACGATGGCCAAACTGTAGACTTTGGCATCGATAGCATACCTTGGATGAGCAAGTTCGGGGACGACGTACCCGTCCGGAACGCCTTGTTAGCAGAGTTCATCCAGACGTTGAGACCTTGGTCTAGTACGAAGCAGAATGAGCTCCTGGTGGCAATCTTCAACGTCGTGCCAGAATTAATCGCGCATTACTTTTGCCACAAGAAGTCGTTTACGTTTGATCCTAAGCTCTCTGCCACTTGGATTGGATACTCCGCATTACTGCACAGTGTCGTTCAGCTACCTATCGCTCGTTGGTTTGGACAGACGCATGGCTACGCACAAGTTCCGCCTCCTATTTCTGTGCTGCTTGGAAACATAATTCCCCTACCTTTAACGCCAAAGGTGATAACGCGGTGCTTGTCGAACAACTCCAAGTTGGCGTCGTTCTATGCCATCCGCCTGCTGACGCTGGCATTGGAGAAATTTAGACGGGCACTGGAGATGTTTCGAGAGGCGGGATCGTCCTCGCCGGAGTCGCTCTGGGAAGAAGGGGCTCGTCGACTCGTTGACGAATTTTACAGAAGGGTTCCTGATATCAAGGATGTCGTTAACTGCTATCGTACGATGGGTTGTGGCGATCTACTTCAACGACAAGCTGCTAGTCGACTGCTGCTACTCTATTACGAAGTTATCCCACAGGTCTCCCTAAGAGCCAAGTTTGATGTCTCACCAATACTCTTAGCCACTATCAAAGTGGTCGAAGACTCTAGAGGGACAAATCAGGACGTGGTGCTGCGTTCCCTAGAACTCGAGAATCTTTGTGGAGTTGCGAAATACTCACCGGGTATGCGATGGTTTGCTCGCGCACCCGATATGCCACACTCCCCTTTCACCACGCTCTTGAGATTATGTTCGGAAGAGACGACAGTGCTATCGAACGAGAGCCTAGCCGATAGCTTGTATTGGGTGACCAAGGACCACCAGCTAGTGGAGAGCCGAGCAAGGTCTCCCGGGTTATACCCTCTAATTGCAGCATTAAGAGGCCACAGGATTACCAATCCAACGATTTGGGTGTTTCTGGATAACTGTGTTGAGCGCTGTGCTAGAACTCCAGTCAAGTACCTTGGGTGCATCGAAGAGGAGCTCAAGAAAGCCGAGGTCCCTGAAGATGTTGATACAACAACCTGTCCGCTTATGATGACAATCGCGGAGCAAATTCCATACTTCATATCGTCATCACCTAACGAGGCCACACTCGATGAGTTGGTGCAATTTCTCACGGAGTATCTCGGCCACTCGTTTGCTGCAGGTGTAAGCGAGGCTTTTCTCAATGCCTCGAAGGAGCTTTTCGTCATGGGAATTGGAAACGAAACGGCCAGAGAAAGGCTGGACACGTTCAATGGGTCTAAGCATAGACCGGGAAGGGAGACGGGCCACTACAAATGCGGTGCCATGGCCATCCAAACTTTGGATAACCAGGACGTCGGCATAATGGCTGGCGGGTTTACTCAACAGGACTTGGAAGACAGACTCTCGGCGCCCATAACCACGACCACGGGCAACGAAAGCGCGCTGTCGAGGTGGCCATCCAAGACGCCGGACGAACTAGTCGGGGAAGACTATGTCTCTTCGCTGATATGCTTGCTTTCTTCTGCGCACGTGAGCATTCGTAAGGAAGCCCTCGTTGCTATCGCGAAAGTAAGTGCGAAGATCAAGGATTCGACATATGAAAACAAGGAGCAAGTGTGGCTCTTGCTTATGGAGTTGGTGGAGTCGGCACGAGGTGCAATCGACGACGGACCATTGACGAATATGATGGTGGCGTTTGCTTGTAAGGCTGTCGAAATTCTGGCGGACCCTCTGCATTGCCTGTACGAGAAGCTCAACCTATTCCTCACCAACGGGCCGGTATGGGGACTGGACAGGATTCCTCTGATGCAAAATATTCTCCAAGAGGGTCCATCGGAGGATGGAGCCTACTACTCCGAAGTCAGCTGGCTTCTTGGTTTCCTGCTTGAGAGTCTGCAGGCGCCCGCAGACGTCCAGTTGTTCCACAAGCGCAAAGTGTTCGAACGGTTGTTTAGCTTATCGAGCAATCCCTTTATGGGGCCTAGTCTAAGGACTCAGGTGCTAAGGATCGTCTATAGGGCAACCGAGATCGAGGGAGGGAGCGATACGCTAATTACAAGGTTCGGGGCAGTGAACTGGTTGCTGGCGCAAGGCGATGCCGTACCTGATGGTGTTGAGCGTGCAGTATGTCGGGCTCTAGTTGCAAGGCTATGGAGCACGTGTGACCAAACCCGCATCGCGACTTGGAGCAAACGGGGGGTGGGGAGGCTGGCAGGACAAGAGCTGAGAGTTACGTAGGGAAATGCCTTTAGTACTTACGTGTAGAATGTGCCTACATTATGTACTTGATCTATATGCACCAAAGTCGCGCTGGGCGGTTTAAAGGGGAAAAAGAAAGAGAAACCCGAGTTTCCGCTGCCTATTGACTAGGGAGCCCTGAACTCTCTATGAGATGAGCTCTCGAGACACGACTAACACTAAGTGATTATGTTGGGTCATTTGACGCTGCGACCTCAATTGCCCTTTTCCGTCGCGACTTTTTGTATATCTATATACCTATATAGAGAGAGAGAAAGGCAGTCCTTTCTATAAACTAGTATATTCAGACTCCTTATCTAACCACGATGCTTGATTGAGAAGGTCCACACAATATATATCTTAAGGTAGGGAGTTGATTTAATTTAGGTACAAGGCGCTCGAGATACGTACGTAGAAGCTATGGTATGCAAATAAGGCACTGTAGAGTTTTGTATACTGTTTTCTTCAAGCTTTAACTTTTTAGTTCCTTAGATACCTAGGTTATAAAGCATATATAGTTATACTAATTAATATTTATCAAAGCGCTTCGCTGCGTTTTATACTTCTTTGTTACTTTTTTATAATGTAAATAAAAATAGAGTTATATTTTCAAAAGCTAATAGAAAGTATTAAATAGAAGCAGCGCAAGCATGCTGTTAGAGATTTGTAAAGCAATAGCTACTTAACTGTTAACAATTGGCTTAGTGCTAATCGAACTACATTACAGTTCTAAATAGCTATAATCAGTTGATCGGCTAGCTAAAAACGGCAGCTAGGAAATGATAAAGAAAAGAAAGCTAGAACAAGGTTAAAGGCATATCTAGAAAAGAGTAAATAGTTATTGAACAGGAGCAGCGTGGGTACTGAGAAGGAGCAGAGCGTACGCGATGCTGGAGTCCCGGATAGGCTTACTTGAAAGTATACTCTATCGAAGACTATAGTACGTATAATGATCTAAGATAAATAAAATTAATATTACTATATTAATCGAGAGACGAGGAATCTAATGCTATTATTATATCTTAGGTATGCTCCTTAGTCGTAAATATGTAGTAGTCGTTAACCCAAAGGTATAAGAGGTAAAGAGAGAAAAGGAGCTAAGCATAGAAGTTACTTATTCGACTATAGCGGTACGACGAAGCGACTTAAGCGCTTATAATTAAGATAGATATACTAATCGAAGAACGACGAATCTAATAATAAAAACGAATCTTTAATTAAAGTAAAAATAATAAAGATAGTAATCTAGTTAGGTAATGAACTAGATGATAAGTATAGCATAGCCCGTACTTACGGGAGCTGTGATTACTCTATATAGGTATAAGGCCTATCGTAACGTATCATGTAATGCATTAAGAGAGCATATCTTACTATACCACTATAGCACGCTGTAATGGAAGCATAAGAAAAGGGTAACTTAACTGTTAACAACTGGCCTAGTGCCGGTCAACCTAGATTACAGCTGTAATCAGTTAATCAGCCAGCCGAAAACGGCAGCTGGGAAAGGAGAGAAGACTAGAAAAGAGCAATCGAGGATGGCTAGAAAGGCATGGCAAGAAACGAGTGAATGGCTGTAACTAGTGATGGCTGTGATAGCTACAGGTCTAAGTCTAACTAATGAAAATATGAGTGCGCGACCCATATAAATACACATCGAAAAGGCTACGTAGCCTAGATCCACTGCACCACTACAATATTCTTAGAGGAATTACCATTATAAGTTCCTATATCCTCTTTATTAATCGTTTAAATATTGTTATATATTTTAAGTTTATTTATATTAATTAAATATTATAGATAATTCCTCGTGCGAGTAACGAGTATATATAGATAATAATATTACTAGTTTAAGATATATAAACTTTAGTTAGTTATACTTATCGTTCTTTAAGGTATCCTTTGAATACTTTTATATTGTAGTGGTGCGGTGGATCTAGGCCACGTAGCCTTTTCGATGTGTATTTATATGGGTCGCGCACTCATATTTTCATCAGTTAGACTTAGACCTGTAGCCATCACTTGTTACAGCCATTCACTTCTTTTGCCATGCCTTTCTAGCTATCCTCGTTACCCTTTTCTTAGTTCTCTTTCCCAGCTGCCGTTTTTAGCTGGCCGATCAACCGATTACAGCTGTTTACAGCTGTGATCTTGGTTGATCGGCACTGGGCCAGTTGTTGGCAGTTAGGCAGTCCTTGTTTCGTACCTCCATCACAGCGTGCCTACGCTGCTCCTATTCAATATATAATTAATATATTAAAGATAATTCCTTAGTATGTAGTTAAGGCTCGGCTAAGTTTATAATACTAAGTGTTTTAATAAAGTAGTTTAATTTAAAAAATAATATTTATATATTATATATATATATATATATAAAGTAAAATATTAATAATAATACTTATTTACTTTATAAAGTATATAATTTTTAAAAAGTAGGTAAGAATATATATGTATAGTAATATTTTTAAGTAGAGAGATTTTCTAACTACTAACCTTTTATTAAATCTGTCCGTCTTAGGTACCCATGTACCTATAGTATGTTATGCTGCACACAGACCGCACACCGCGCCTATTGACATCGGCCTACCTAACTTATCTAAAAAGGTACCCTTCTCTCAACCTAAGAACTTCTACCTAACCACCACCACACCGCAGCACTATTTCGACACAGCCAACACAACAATAAGATACGAGGCAACCCTTCCGCACGACAGGTTATTCCTCCACTAGCTAACCCCCAAAGCGCGCCTTGGAAAGGGACACTGCTAGGTTACCTACCTATTGACCCCGTGTATATCAATACATCGCCGATACATCACTGTCCCTCGCTCCGATCAGGATAGCTGTCGCCTCCTCTTCTTCCTCAATATCGCCATCCTCCTCGTCTCCGGATCGGTCGACTTCTCGCTGAACAGCCAACAATATTATACCCCCATTCCTATCCTAATTCCATCCCGATCCCGCTGTGGCCATCGGTTTACTCCTGGGTCCTGAGTTCCACCCTCGTAAATCAACCACGCCGGTAAAAATCTCTTCCGCCTCACACAAATCATTCTACCACCCCGCACACGACAAGGCAACTCTCAGCGGACCTTATCGGCCGGCCTCATCTCATCGCACCTACTTGGTCCAACCCGGCGCTTACCACCCGTGTCCGCTCTACCCCGCCCAACACTTGCCGCGTCCACCTAGTTAGTACGCGGGCCTTGTCCACCATTCACACCACCATCCAGCGCTTTTCAGAATCATAGCCGGCTCGTACCAACCCTTCAGATGCTATGGCAAGACGATACCCGGTAGACGTGCTAGTGTTTCTGCGCGAGTCTCCCTTGTGTGTCAAACCAAGCACGCTCCCCCCTGCGGAAGAATGGATGGGGTACGTTATAGCTGAACCAGAAGAATAGGGCTTGCCCACATGCTAATGCAAACCCGTAGATTGCCACCCGAGACTTTTCGCACTAGCCAGCCAAATAAGCCCACGACAGACAGGAGTAGAACTGGCGACAATCCCCTACTTGACTCAAACAATCGTCGGGCGGGGGTTGACAGACACGTGTCCCGGAACCCTTCCAGTATGTTTTCATCGTGTCGCGACTTTTCTCGTCCTCGACCCCTCTAACCCAAAGTTCTCTAGACCCCGAGGATATAGTTCTCGGGCCTCCTCGGACTACGTTTACCTCCGCCATACTCTCCAGGAGCGGGAAGCCTTTCGACGGTGACAAAGCTTTGAAAGACGTCGATACTCGAGATCGTTTCTCTTTCCGTGCCAGAAATGGCGATGCAGATAACTCCGAGCGTCTCCGTGACCGCGAACGAGACCGTGACGGGCGTACCGGTTTCCGTCGCCGTGGCGATGCAGATCAGGATAACGATGGTTGGAGCACGGTGAAACCTCGCAAGAGCTTTGGTCACGAAGGTGCGGAGCGTTTTCACGGCCGTATGGGTGACCGACCTGACCGGTTTGGGGGAGATCGTCGACCACGGGAGCAGGAGGACCGCGATAACGGTGATCGGCCGCGCCGTAATTTTGGCGAGTTCAGTAAAGAAAAAGAGGGAGATGATGGTGAGAAACCTCGTAGGAATGGTTTGAACAGAAACAGAACAGACCAACCCTGGATACGGGATAATAATGACGCCCCCCCGCCACGCGAGCGATTCGATCGATCGAAAAGTTGGAGAGAAAGGACCAGCGATGATCATCAGGGCGAAGCCGCCCACGACAAGCCGAGGGAGAGAGTGCTTGACCGACGGTGGGATAGAGACCGGGAACAACGGCAAGAACGCGAGCCTGAATGGCTCGACGAACCAGCCGAGGATCAGCCTCAAGCGCACACCCGCGAGGACTTCGAGAAGTTCATGGAAAACATGAAAGCAGGTAAGAATTCTGCTAAAGCCGAAGTGGCTCCTGCAGAGGTGTCCGCGCCGCCGCCGGAGAAGATCGACGTCGAAAAGACGACAGCTAAACCCGCACCTACTATCGACATGGGCCCAGATAAATTCTTTGCTGCATTTGCCCAGACTTCGAATGTAGAAACGCCGGGTGCCGCCGGCGAAACGACTAAGGAGACCGCCGTTCCCGCGGTAAAGCCAAAATCCGGCTCTAGGTTCCAGAATTTCTTCTCCTCTCAAGAGGAATCCCGCCGCCAGGTCGAGTCCCCCCCTGTCGTCGCCAGTGCTCCGCCAATGGGCGAGGGTAACCCGCTCTTAGCCATGGCCGGCGCACAGAACGATACAGCGGAGAAGGTCGCGTTTCAAGCACTATTGCAAAAGCTTCAGAAGCAGACGCTTCAGGCCTCCACACCTCCGCCTGGTGGGTTCTCGGAGCCCCCTCCTAGTCATGCAATTGCCTCGCCCGTTTCCTTCCAGCCATACGGGCAGGAACGTCGTGAGGAGCCTCTCGCCCGTGTCCCTGTGCAAAGTCAAGATATACACACATCCAGACCACATCTGAACCCGCAGTTCGCCGGGGTGCGCTCCGAGCAGCAGATGCTCCACGACCTTATTGGCCAGCGGCATGCCAGCCAAGGTCAAGGCGCGGGACGCTCTGATCAACCGTCAGGCCGAAACAGCAACAGCAACGCCGAGTTTCTCATGACCCTTATGCAGAGTTCCCGGGCAGCACCCGAAACTCGGGGGAACGAGCAACTCTCCATGAGAATGCCTCAGCCCTCTCGGCCAGCACAAATTCTTCCAACACCAGACCGGGACATTGATTATCAGCACGAGCGCAACGCTTCTTTACAGCATCAAGCCGGCCGCTCCGTGGCCCTACCCAGCTTTTTCGACGAAGCCCCAGCGCACCGCCGGGAACAGGAGACTCGTCCTCAGCAGCCCACCCAGATTCTCCAGCGACAAGGACCTCCGGGCTTAGATCAGATGCATCCTAGTGCATGGATGCAAAATAACGGGCAGCAGCTGCCTCCTCCAGGACGCCCCATGATACCACCACCCGGCTTGGCTGGGAATCCCCGCAACGGCCCTATACCCGGGGGCTTTCCCCCGAGCTTTCCCATGGGCGGGTTTCCTCCCGAAGGAATGGCCGGCCTGCCGCGCAACATGGGTCCGCCTCCGGGATTCTTCGGCGGCCCACCCCCACCTGGATTTATACCACCTGGAATCGGAGGCTACCAGGGAGGACCAGAGAGCTTAACATTTGGCTTCGATCACCGCGGTATGCCTCCTCCACCAGGTGCTTTCCGCCGAAACTGAGACGACGTCGATTCCAACTATATCGATCGAGCAAGCTGTGTCCTAACCATATTCATGCATGGGCGTGGTTGGCAGGGCTTGATACGCCAAATTAAGGCTTGGTGAAGAATACCTCTGGTCGCTGTAGCTGGAAGCTAGTTGTGTACTGGTAGCATCGTGCTGTACTTGAGGATTTAGGGAAACGCAGGGAAAAGCAAGGTAATCCTGTATCTCTTCCGTCGGATGAGGACGGGGGACTAGCTCGAGTTTTGTATGAACGGAAAACCCTCCTTTGCTCGCCACGGATTGGTCAGAAGGAAATTGTCCGCCCCCCTGAGCATCAAAACAGGACGGGGGATTCTCCAGCCGGCTCGCAACACAAGGGTTCTACAACAACTTTTACATTCCGAGCAACGGCGTAAGCAAGTAGATGAATGCCCATTTTGTTATTTTTTTTATACCGGAGAGTTGCAATGAGCAGTTACCTCTCCCCTCAGCGTTAAGCCCACGCACTCTCTCTCTTTACCCCTTCCCGCTGGTGTGGCAGAGCTTATTGGCCCTTGTCTTTAGACATCCATCCACTTACCCACGGTCGACCTTGGGCGAAAGGAGCAAAGATGCCCGTCAGCCGCTTGCTGGCTTACTCCCCACACCGTCAACGTCACTTCGCTATTCGTACGTGTGGTTGCTTTCCCGATGAGTACGATCAGAGATATGCACGGCTCGGCCTCAGCTTCCTCCGCGAGGATATGATGGTCGACAGGTGCGAAAATAGAGATAGGATGTAGAAAGTGGGTGAGCAGCGGGGTGCCGTATTACTGTAATGCTAAGTTCTCTCCGCCAACCTCTAGCTTCTATCCTCTAACCCCCAACACGGAACACCCCCGACATCCAGAAAAGACGGGGGTTTAAGAAACTACAAGGAGGCTGGCCTAGTTCCATCCCGGTCACTGTTCCGATCTCCCCTCTAGTTAGGACTGCCTACCTAGGTAGCTAGTGTTCCCGAGTACACTTAGAAGCTCTTCGAAAATGGACTTTGGCGTATGCCCAGCAACATGCATAGATAATTAGGATGGGTTTGTTTATTTATAGGATCTTTCCGTGACATATGCCTCGCCTCTTTCCCCTCCTTACTCCCCGGCATGCAGAGCATATCCCTTCTATTATGCATGGAACGAATCAACATAACACGACCCAAAACAGCTCTACTTCGAAGGAGCCGAGCCGCAAAAGGAGCCAGGCTCTCTCTCCCCCTTCCCTCAAACGCCATGCCTAATCACTTGGAGGCACTCGCGTCCAAATTATCTAGCGCATGTCGTCCTTCTTCTTGATCCCGAAAATATTGCGTTTCTTCTTTTCCTTCTCCAGCTTATGCGGCTTGCCTCCGGTAGATATGTCGCTTGCATTGGACGGTTTGGAGCTATGAAGCGACATGGTGCTCATCGCTTGCGCGGGTGGGGTGTGAGATTGGCCGCCACCTACTCTTGGCCCACTGGGCAAGCCGCCCGGCGGTGGTACCCGTCCTGGTAGCCCTTGAGGTGCGCCCGGTGGCGGGCGTGGCCCACCTGACAGCGCCGGCGGGGCGGTCGCAGGTGGAGTAGGCCGCTCGAAGAGGTGCGCTGGCGCTGTTGGGGGAGGTCTCTCCATAGGGATATCGAGACGTCTCTTGTCCACGCTCAAGTCGCCCACCTGTCGTACGAACAACTGTGGGGAGAGCATATGACTAGTCGCCAGGAAGACGTCTCGGTTCATCGACGCACTAACTTCGTAGCATGCGCGCGATTCCGAGAAGGTCGCCCCGCCAGCCATGAAGACAATGATGCGCTGTCGGTTATCTACGACGCGCCTACCGGCCCCAGCCCAACTAGGTTTCGCTGCTCGAAGGGAGCCTTGCCCTATGAGGGCATCCTCATTGGGGTCGAGCGGTGGCTTGACGTAGGGAAACGATGTTTGATCCAAAGTTCCTCTACACAGATGCTCCAACATATGCTTAACGGCGGGGTTGAATCGAGACATGTAACTATCCTCGGAAATAGTAGTCTTGGTATCGACGGGGAAGAGGGGAGGATTTTCCCTGCGAGGATCCTTGAGGCCTTGAGTTGTGCGGCCACCAAGCAATTCTAGACTGGCGATAATCTCGGCATCCTGGGGTGGCAAGGACGCATGGGCAAGGAGCCTCTTGATATCTTCGAGGATGACTCCCCCCCGATAGAGGAGGTACATGATGATGAGGCGGAGGCGGTCCGACTGGGCCACAGCATCATCGTCCAACAGCCGGACAACTGTATCTAGCACATTCTTCGGTTTTCTGTTGTCTTCGTCGAGGCCAGTCGCCATGTCTTGTTCTATGGATGACATGTCGGCCAGCTTATGGTGTTGGAAGATATTCATACACTCTTGCGCCATGGTGAGGTGCAGCGAGTAGGCTTCCTTCATCTCTTGGAACTGCGGTAGGCCCGCCATCATATCCTTGATTGCATTCAGGCTAGTGGTGTCGCTGTTTGCATTGGTAAAATGTGGGTTCTCATCGAGGAACTTCTGGAAGTCTCCCATCAACTTATCGATGGTATCCTTCATGTGCCTATGCCGATTGTCTACCCATACCTTGTCTTTGTCGGTGAGCTCCATATCCTTCTCTTCAGCATCAGGCGATCCCTCGTTTACCGTCATATGGAATGTCGTCTTGTTTCCGTCCTGGATCGGAAGTAGGTCGTGTGCCATTGCTTGATATGTAAACTCGTGGAGCAGTGGTGCCATCAAATCCATCGATCTATCCGTCACTATGAGGACACCTTGCGGCCGGGAACTCTGCGGCGGGAAGCTAGGGTTGAATTGCGCATATTCGTCCAACTCCTCCGAGACGAACCGGGCGAGATGCGAGGATAGCACACTAGCCTCGTGTATTGGGTTTTTGGGTCGGTAGTAACGAACCTTGGGGTGCTCACCAAGGGTGATGCAAAGATTGGTGATCTGTCGTTCTCGAGCGTCAGCACGTGGTCACTAGTCAGGCGGTTCTCACAGCACTGATCGGCGCAAACCTTCTGAGCCAAGTCTTGCATGTGCTTTCTTATAAGTCCATTGCAAGCTGGGTGGTATAGGATTGGGAAGCTCCATGGATCCCTGAAAGTGACGAGGTTCGATTCGCGGGGGAAAAAGTCGATAGAGAGGGTTTCAAACCCCGCCAATTGCTGCTTTGCTGGTCCAAAGCCGTCTATCCGCCTCCTCAACTGAGGGTCGAGTACCGTGGTCCAAACCAGGAAGCTCTTCCGGTATCTTCGTCGTTCAAGATCGGCCATGAGGCAGTCTACGATGTGCGGCCGGGGTGATAAAATATATATAGCGTCCATGGTCTGATTGATCTCCCTCCGGTCCTCGATGCGTTCGATATCTGCAGCACTTCTTTCAGCCACTGTGTCCGAGACAGGACGCACCCGAGACGTACTCGCAACATTGTGATTGAGGATGTCATCTTCTTTGGCGACATTGTCAATTAGTTTCTTAGAATCGGCATCGACAACCAAAATTTTCCACTACACGCAAGGGCCCCGTATCAGTACGGCAGACTGGAGGCGCATCACGGAGAAGACGGTCACGACTCACATCGCCAGCGGTGATGCGTTTAACGGTGTTTATGAAAACTATATGCATACAGGAGGGCATCGTTAGTGACGTAACACAGATTAGCAGCCTGAAAGCGGCTCAGGTAGCCTCGTGAGATGGGAAGCTCTTACTGTCGTGTTGTTCTTGAATTACAGACACCCCCATGTTGGCTCTTAGCCGGGAGGCAAGCGCCCGTTATGTATGAATATACGTAGTATCACACTGGTTCCGGGTGAATGTAAAGGCGGGAGAAGAGTTCAATATAATGTGCCCGGTTGGCTGATCGATCAGTTAGTTTCTTGCTTGCTTGCCTGATGGACGTGTATTTCGTAGGTAAGTTCATATGCGTGGGCGGGTATTGGAATCCCTAAGGTTGTTCAGGGACCGGCATAACGTGGTTGGAGGTTGACTACGCGCGGAGGGCCCAGCGAATGGCCACGAGCGGCCGTCAAGGGGGTTTTGTCGACGTCGTGTGTAATGCGTTGTGTTGTACTGGAAGTGCAGGGGATTGCAAGACCCAATTGTTGATTGTTGATGAACGCATTGCAATCTGTCAATCGTAAAGCAAAGCAGGTAAAAAGCCGGCCAAGGAGACGGCGAGAATGCATTTGATTGGGCAAAGAGGCGGAACTATGAGTATGTAGGGACCCGGTTCCTAGCGGGGCTTCAGGGCGCCAATCAGCTACCGATGGCCCTCCTTCTTATACCTACATTAATTAAACAACTAGTCTTTATTTAAAATAAAAACTAGTAAATAAGTATTTATTAAAAATAAGTATTAAATAAAGATTCCTATTATTTTTTTTAAATTAAATATTATGATTTTATATATGATAATCTTTTTTAAAAATTTAAATATCTAATTTATAATTAATATATGTACTAGTATAGTAAAGTAATAATTATATATTTTAATTTATCTCCCTGTATGATATCATAATAACGTAGAACCTCGGCCATGACTTAAATAGCTTTACTAAGCACAGCTTAGTCTCATCTCGAAAGGCAGCTTGTCTACGTACCTACAATATTCCACCCGGACGTTGAAGCTCTTATTTCGTTATTTCGTTTAAGCTGTGCACCGCAGCTTCCTCTCCCTCATCCCCGCCGCTTCTTGCGCTCTAGGCATTATGCCTCTTCCCTTTCTATACGACCTCGTCACAAATGGCCCTCCCAAGTGGCTACCCAGTTGGGCACGCGACCCGTGGACATTATTCGAAATTGGAGCCGCTGCCGGAATTATATACCTCTTGAAGGGATATTGTAGCGGAGCTACCTGCTTAGCCGAACGCAACATGCATGGGCGAGTTGTTATGATTACCGGCGGAACATCAGGCATAGGCGCTGCCACAGCTCGAGCATTGGCCCAACGGGGAGCACAAATCGTCCTTCTAACCCACCTTCCGCCGTCCAATCCGTTCCTAGCCGACTATATCGGAGAGTTGCGCGAGCAGACGAAGAACCAAATGATATATGCGGAACATGTCGACCTTTCCTCCTTGCTCAGCATCCGCCAGTTCGCCACGAAATGGATCGACAACGCACCCCCTCGGCGACTAGATATGATCATTCTGTGCGCCGTTACGGTGACACCTCCCGGGAAGGAGCGCGTTGAAACGTGCGAAGGGATTGAAGAAATGTGGATGGTTAATTACCTGGCCAACTTCCACCTCTTGGGTATATTAAGTCCAGCACTCCGTGCCCAGCCCTTCGATCGTGACGTGCGAATCATTCTTCCCACGTGTTCGTCTTACATCTCCTCCCCTCCGGTCAACGATGAGCTACCGAAGACGGCGTGGACGCCTGGAGCGGCCTACGCTAGAAGCAAGTTGGCGTTGATGATATTTGGTCGGGCCTTCCAGAAACATCTCAACGCCTATAAAAGGCCAGACCAACTGCCCATGAACGCCCGCGTTATATTCGTCGATCCTGGCTTCTCAAGAACACCGGGGACGCGTCGCTGGATGACACGTGGTTCCCTTTTGGGTCTCGCGGTCTACTTATTCACATATGTGCTATCCTGGATTTTCCTGAAGAGCTCGGAAATGGGGGCCCAATCTATTCTCTACGCCGCCATGGAGCCCGAGCTGCAGAGGGGCGCGGGTGGTAAGCTTATCAAAGAATGCATAGAGGTCGACTTCGCCAGGACAGACGTAAAGAGTGAAGAAATAGCAAAGAAATTGTGGGAGGCTAGCGACATGCTTATCATGAAGACTGAGAAAGAACATGCCGCCCTGAGAGCCTCAGAGAAGAAGGCGCAGGAACGAAAGGACCAAGAGGAGAAGGACACAGAACAAGCTCGGGAGATCGATGCGTTAGTAAGCACCATAAGGAAAGGGAAAGAGGAAGAAAATAAAACATCTCAGCGGAAGGGAAAGAAGGCTCGATAGGGTTATAACGAATCGATAGACGAATAGATAGCACTGGACTTCATCACCATCACCTTGTATCGTCCAAAGTGTGGCACTCGAGCATATGGTGGGGAGCCGGGGAAAGACTTGTGTCAAGGTGCCCTAGACGTCGGAGGATATCTTTGTTAAGCGTTTGATTGATATTCACCCGTATATAGACGCCTTCTTCGTCCCCCTCCCCTACCTTCACTTCTCCGACATACGTCTATGTGCCCGGCGTCCCTTTCCTAGACACTTCTGTGGGGCAGACCTCATGCCCAAGGCTCAATCCATATGCACATTCACGTTGGATCTGGAAATGCCGGGTATGATATAACCCCAAAACTAGAATGGGCCTTAAATTGGTCAAGTAGTCAATAAAACTTATTCTGGTATGGGTTGGCTCGATTCCCTGCCCTTAAGCGGAAGGAAAACACGGTGGAACAGGAGAGCCGACTCGAGCTGGATTCCCGAGTATTTGGGTCTTGGTGATTGCCCCTGCTCTTCCCCACACGATTCACAACCTCGGTTTAGAGGTTGCATCAAGTACATATACCTACCAGCGCACATGGTAATGGAGATACATTGCCTACCTCGCAGTACATACCTGTAGGTAGGCTTCCATCTTACCTGCTTCAAATTCCACCACAATCCGGCTAGACTTGCTGCTATACTCCCACCCAGTCAAGGCAACAAGACGATTCTCAATTCTAGGTTGTCCAAGGCTCCTAAACATCACAATCTCCGGTAGCGCGTATTTGATGCCTCGTTTTTTTAACCCTTCGTCCCGCTATTGACGTTGCCTCCAATGCCGGTGCAAGTACCGACATCGACCCCGGCATTTCGCTTCTTGCCACCTCCTGGCTACGCGTCGCGGCCGGCTCCTCTCGTCGCTACGCCGGCCGCTTGTACGACACCCCAGGCAGCGGTGAGAGACACATCGTGTCTACACCCCGTGTTCTTCACCGAAAGGCTCCGAAGGTCGCTGTTAGTACCTCATGCCGCTACGATAGCTACGAGCCCCGTAGCCCACGGCTACATCTATTACGATCCATATAGGAGAACAAATGGGGCTACGCCGGCTATGTTATGAAGATGGGCACTTATTTTCACGGGTTGGTGAGCGCACCCCAAGCCAGCGAGCGAGCCCGGCGGGTTCTGTGGAGAGGCCGCAATTAAGTACTCAAGGCTCGACCACGCTTGCAGTAGGAAGGGACGGCAAGGTTAGCAACCAGTCTACGGCACTACTGAAATTCGGTGCTAGTTTGTAGAGCACTTTCTCAAGGGTTGGAGTGCAAAGTTGCATGTATATACACAGGACACAAAAGCATAATATATATATATATATATATTTCCGGTATCGACCTCACTAAACTTGGGTATCAACGCCAAAGGAAATAAACAGTACCAAGTTGCTGTTCTCCTTATCAGCTTGTTCTGAACGCCCCTCAAATTAATACAACCACCCAGCGTGAATACGGGCTCGCTTTTTGCCGTCCCTCGAGTGTTGGGGAACCAAGACGACCATCCTCAACCCATGGCATTCCGGGCCGCAATCACGATTGCGACAACGATCAAGAGCAGTACTAGCGCGAGCAGTGCCATCAGTTTGACGTTCTTCCACCACATCTGCCGCTTCAGGCCGCGACTCCGAACCCTAAATTCGCGCGCGCTACCGCCCAGACGGTCTGTTTTGTCGACGAGGAGGTCTATGCGCTCGCCGCGCTCGAGTAGGCCTTCAATGTTGCGGGTCATGATGCCGCGCACGTCGTCGATCTCGCGTTGGACATTGGAGATGGCATCGTCGCGACCGCCGCTCGTGGTGCCGAACTCAACCATTACGTTTCGGAGTTCGGCATTAAAGCTGGCGGCGCCGTAATTGGGGATATCGGCGAAGTCGGCAGTCTCGGCGGGATGCTCATCGAAAAAACGCTTGCGGATCTCGAACAGGAACCCAAATGGCACGCGCCGCCCCAGCGACGACTCTGCGATCACAAGGAAGGTCAATCCGCCTGCAGACCGGTTATCAGGGTGCGCAGACGGTGCCTCGGATATGTAGTGGATGTAGTGCGAGCCATGTGTGTATGTGAGCTTCTGCGGGGAGTCGTGACTGATCTTAGGCAGGATGAGCGAGGCGAGAGACGACGTCTGCGACGAAGCTGAGGTGGTGCATTCAGACAGGATGGTAGTATGATGTGCGATGCACGAACTGCAGTTGTCAGCGATGCCAATTCATTGGTCTCCCGAATGGATTGAGATAGACCAAGACGCACTAGAGAAGTGGAGTTTGAGATGCTGAGGAAGATGCCATCGTGACTAGCTAGAGCGAATCTACTTGGTTTACAGAGTGCCGGGACGTGTCGGTAGGAAAAATGCTCGTCGCTCTTGATATCGGTACGGAAGAAAGAAATGTGAGAAGCGGGAGTTGATAGGATTAGGGAGAAGGAAACGTAGGAGGGAGTCGAAGCATAAACGTTGGCTTAGGTACGTGACGTAGGTACCTGCTTCCTATACTTCACATTAGAAGATGCCTCAGGCAAACAGCCAGGCATCCCCTCTAGGAGTATTACCATTTCCTAAAAAGATTACTATAGCTAAAAATATGTTCGTAGTTATACTAAAGTAAATTAAACTTAAAATGAAATATAAATAGAATATAAATATTATATAAATTCAGTAACTTTTTTTTAAAAAAGATAGAATATACTTTTTATATAATATTAAAATATAAATACTTATCTTATTATAATAATTATATTATAATACTTATGTTAAATTATAATAAAACCTATATAATTTTTTCTGTTATAATAAATTTATCCTTTGCGAAAGGACTTATTAATATTATATTATTAAAAGGTTATGCTTATACTGTGTTAGTATTATAGACATACTATCAATCGACCCCCCCTCCCCCTATAGTAGCCTCCTGAGGGTCTCAGGTCTCTAATGCCTGCCTTCGGATGCTCGACGTAAGCAAGCAAGCGGCGAAAATACAATGTTATCGATAAGGAATTTTTATTGCAGGCCAAAGTGATCTCCAAGTCCAACAAACCTTTACCTTCACAAGAGGGGATCAGAACTAACATGCATCCAGACTCCCTCGTCTCCTACCTATCCAATGCGGGCCTTTCTCAGAGCGAGACCGGCTAGTTCAAGCTGTACAGCTTTTGCATGCCGTCGAAATGCCTTCTCAACATCTAGCCTCAGGGCTCGTAAGGTGGGGCACCCCAGCTTCTCCCATACCCATTACTCACAATATACAGAAGTCCCGCCAGTCCAATGCGCCCAAGACCTTCAGCAGCGCTGGGTTCGAAAGGATCACCTCTGACCTCGCCTCCCGTTTGCAAGGTTCGGCCGACACCACCGGCACGAGCAAAGAAAGACACAGGACAGAGGCGACCAAGGCGTATGGCGTCTTCCGTCAGCTTTCCCTCAACAAATACGATCAATTGATGAGCGGATCAAGGGGTTGGGATGCTAGGAAAGAGGATTACATGGCATTCGGTGTCGAGACGCAGTTTGACTTCAACCGGGAGGTCAAATTATTCAGGAATTTAATTGAGAAAGCTTGCGACCTCGCTAGCGAACATCACGCCATATCGAAGAACGAAAATCCCCTCTTTGCGAAGTTACGTGGTGCTTTCGTCGAAGAGGATATTTATGGGCTCATCGCCGAGTTAACATACGGGTTTCAAACCTTCCTGATGCGCTCGAGATTTCCGAAAAATATTGCCGATACCCAGCGGGAGATCGCCGACTCCCGGTATCCGTGGGAATGGTTCCCCGCGACCAGGGCTTTACAGCGCACGATTCATATCCATGTTGGTCCAACGAACTCGGGGAAGACTTATAATGCCCTCAAGGCGCTAGAAGCAGCCAGATCTGGCATATACGCAGGTCCGCTCCGGTTATTAGCACACGAGGTCTACACGCGGTTCACGGCCAAGGGCAAGAAGTGTGCTTTGATCACCGGCGAAGAACAGCGCATTCCAGAGGACGAGGATAATTTTTTCCGCAGCTGCACGGTCGAGATGACCCCTCTCAATTTGCCGGTGGATGTTGCCGTTATCGACGAGATCCAAATGATCGGCGACTCCGAAAGAGGCTGGGCTTGGACTCAAGCGTTCCTCGGTGTTCAGGCCAAGGAGGTTCACCTCTGTGGCGAAACACGCGCCGTAGACTTGATAAAGTCTCTTTGCGCTACTATAGGCGACAAGTGTATCGTCCATGAGTACGAGAGGCTCAGTCCGCTGCAGACAATGGATAGAAGCCTAAATGGGGATCTCCGGAACCTGCAAAAGGGCGATGCCGTGATCACGTTTTCGAGGGTCGGCATACACGCGTTGAAAAAGGAGATAGAAAAGGAGACCGGGCGCCGATGTGCTATGGTCTACGGATCATTGCCCCCCGAAACACGCGCCCAGCAGGCTGCATACTTCAATGACCCCAAGAGCGGTTATGATTTTCTCGTTGCCAGCGATGCCATCGGTATGGGTCTTAACCTAGAGATAAGGCGAGTTGTCTTTGAGCAAACACACAAACGTACGAGAACTGGCTATCGAATCATGACGACCTCGGAGCTCAAGCAGATCGGAGGCAGGGCTGGCCGTTACAAAACAGCTCGCCAAGACATTGAATCTCGGGCAGGATCAGGTTCTGACAATAAAAAAGGCACCGTGGAGTCCAAATCTAGGCCACCCGGGCTAGTGACGGCCCTGGAAGACGCCGATCTAGGCATTCTCCAGAGAGCATTTGATCGCGAAGCGGAACCCCTCAAAACAGCCGGCATACAACCACCGCCTTCTATGATAGAGCGATTCCACTCATATTTCCCTCCCAATACGCCCTTCAGCTATGTTGTGTCCCGTCTTCGAGATCTCGCCCAAATGTCTCCCAGGTTTCACATGTGCTTCTTGGGGGAGGTGCTAGCAGTTGCCGACTTAATCCAACCCTATCCCATGTCGGTTTACGACCGGTGCGTCTTTTTGAACGCCCCGGTGTCCCTAAGGGAGAGAAACGGCGCACAAGTACTGCAAGCCTTCGCAAGATGCGTTTCCAATATGGGAGGAGGCGATCTTCTCGATATCCCAGAGATCTCATTGGAGGTTCTCGACCTTTCTGCCGAAGATTTGGACATCACCAAAGCCGAGCACTTGCGAGAACTCGAAGCCCTCCACAAGACAATAACCCTCTACCTCTGGCTTACCTACCGATACTCCGGCGTTTTTCGTAGCCAAAGCCTAGCCTTCCACGTCAAGGAGTTGGTCGAGGACCGAATCAATACTCAACTCCTCCACCTTAATCTTACCGGAGCTAAGCGTAAGGCGAGAACGGATGCTATCAGGGCGCAAGCCTTACAATCTGAGCGTAAATTGAAGAGGGTGCTCGGCGAGGAAGATAAGGTGGACCCTCCTCAGCATGAATTGTCTGGTGCTTGGAACGAGGAGGGACACGAAGAGCCCCTATACGACCCCTCGGAACTAGAACCGGCTCCTCAATCGCCGCCCGTTCTAAAAGGGGCGCAAGGAAGACGCCATCACAAAGGCCATTCGCACATACACGAGCGAAGACATAGGCAGGACACAGATACTGCGGTGCAGATATGAAATGTAGAATAATGTACAATATACGTAGGGGCCAACCCCAAACTATGGCGGGCTCCCAGTTCCCTATAAGGAAATGCATCACAACTTCTCCAGAAAATATCCTGTCCTTCATGGCACACTAAGCTCCTTCGCTACCTACCCAGTCCCTCCTCCGGTCTCGTCTGCGAATTTCATTTTACAGAGGTGTCACGTAGAAGTTGAACCAGACTATATAAGTCTCCATACGCAAAGTCGTAAATGTAGGCGTCTACGTTTTACGCAACAGGAGGAAAGTGCATGATAATTCTAGCCTTTAGTCTGCATCAGTCGAGGTGGACATATTCGGTTGGTGAGACCGAGTTGGCCCAGCCTGCCTTCAATCTGCAAGTAACTCAGAAGACGTAGGCACGCTATGGATTTTCTACACTATGTAGGTACCTATCTGGGGGCAGTCAGGCTAGACACTATCCTAGTTGCTGCTCTTGGGGATTACAAAGTAAATCGCGAGGAGGCATCCTTGGCTTCTCTTTCGTGACCTTTCTAGGACATGCCGGCATCGGCAACATCAACGACTCCTTGCATTCCTTTATACAATCCCTCCTATGTCTGCAACGGGCCTCTTGTCACATTCACGCACCACCTAACCTCAAGCCACAACAGAAACCCAAGGATCTGCTACCAGTATTCTTTTGCCACCATACTTACAAGCGTATTTACCTCTGTCGATGGGAGGTGGCTCTGAAGATATCAGCACCTCGTCAGAATGGTCAAGCCCCAAGAGTGCAGCCAGTCGATAACGACCTCACGACATCTTCGATTTGGACGGAGCGGTCAACAAGCAGCCACCTTCATCGACAAAATCAATAAAAACCTCATATCCCATATTATACGCAGTCGGTACCATGCGCAACACGAGAGGCCTTATCTCTAGCACTTTAGCACCCCCCAATAAGTCTATAGACCCGCCGCGGCCCGCCAAAGAGGGCCACGAATGGGTTTGGTTCCCAGCAGGCTACTGGGCAGAACGCGAGATGCCCGAGGAAGGCCCCACGAAGGCCACTAAATACTTCAAGTGGAGAAGGCGTTCTGGCAAGAGCGGCTCTGGCAAAGATACGTTGGGCGATCCAGGACACTCCCTTCATGTTCCGCTGCTACAGAGACGAACGCTCAACCGCCGCAGCACAAGTAGCGAGGGTGGTGGGACCTCGTTTTCACCGAGCCGCAAGCAACAGTCGCCACTATTGCTTAGTCCCTACCTGACCGAAGAGGCGCACGTTCAGTCGTTGCAACGGCCGTCTCTGGATTATCACGGCGGCGGCGGCGATAGTGGATGCCCCGGAACTGAGAAACCTAGTGAGCTCTTTAGAGGATTGCCGCAAACCCTAGAGACGAGAGACCTAGATTCTGCGACGGTCCTTGCAACTCCTACAAACTCCCGAACGTGTCCATCGAAATATTTCCTCTCCTCCCGTCTAAGTCTGTCGTCGGCCATCCAAAGCGTAAAGTCCAAGAAATTTCTCATGGCAAGGCTCTTCCAAAAGCGTCGTAAACCAGTGCGTTTAAAGTCCCCGATAGAAGCGTTATCTTGGGATTACCATAGAGCCGTCGCTTAGAGTACTTTGAGTAGAATACTAATAGGGAATAATAATCATGCGAGCACTTGCAGAGAACCGACGACTCCCGCGCAAACAACGATGGCGACGACGTGCCTGAGAATGGTTCCCTGTTGGACAGCCACGCGGCGGCTGGTAACCCAGCCGGGAAGCACCGAAAGCGATGCCTACGAAAGAGCCGCACTTCGAATCCGAATGGCGGAGCGACGGCGACGATTCCGACAGTGATGGCGGCGGCAGCCCCTCTAGCGGGCCGTGTGGCGGCGCTGCTTCTGGTGAGCGAGGAAACCCAGAGCCCGCGCCCGCGCCCGCGCCGATTTTTCGGTTTCAGCCCCTGGCACCGCCAGGCGTCGTGGGCCCGGTCCGAGACTAGCGCCTCGAGCTCCTTGCGCGACGTGCTACGCGGTCGGACGCCCGTCAGCAGTCCTGCTTCCGCTTTTGGTATGTGTTCCGTATCCCGATCATAACCTCCCTTTCTCCCCCCCATCCCCTCTCGCTCACCTTTCGAGACATGCCGACTCGGCAAGCCGCCGAGCGAATAACTGATTAAGAGTGTTTCTGGCTCGCCGACCCGTGCCACTCGACCTCCACGCAGTTCCTCGCCGGAGTAAGTCGCAGAATTCCCAACTCACGTCTCTAAATTTCTGTTCCCTAGCCCTCGGCGCTCGTCATCACCTTCCGGGTGCTAACTGCGGAGGGGCGGCATCACGGATGTTAGGAGGCCACACGAATCCAGACGCCTCCGCTGCGCGAGAGTGGGTGCTACGCGGGGCAGCCGCGGTCCTTCTTCTTCGATATCTCGGTGCCTCCGTGCCATAGGAATAGTAGAAGCGGTAGCGGAAGCCGGGAGCCGAGATCCCAACCTGGGCTAGATGAGCGGGGAGAAACCGGTGGACAGGAAAACTCGACGAGGAGAGAACGAAAAGAGGGAGGCGCGCGGGGCTCCGGTAGGGAGTGGTGGGAGGTGCCGGGGGCGGCTCCCTACTACGAGGCTAGGGCGCCCCGCGAGCTCGAATCCGAAATGCCGGAGCACCTACCCAGTAGTCCTATGTGTCCGGCCAGCAAGAAGCACAAGTCGGGAGGCACTGGCATCTGCATATACCACGGCAGGGCGAAGAGGAGTCAGGGTGGCAGGATACAGAGTAGTGGGGATACCGAGTGCGATGAGGATAGAGACGTATGGACGTAGCAGGTGTGGTGACTTAACTACAACGACCACCTAATAGGAGACAGGATAAGCCCGAAACATCAACCAGTTTCGTATTTGTTGAGTTGTGAGCGAAACCACTGATAATAACCGATGGGTATCTGCGCCCAAGCGGGATTGATTTGGTCCTACCAAAATATAAAAATATACACCTAAGAGAAATATCCCGGAACGGATTCTCTCCGCCAACCCCTTCGCGATTATCAGTTACATAGGCACCTAGTGGCATGAGCCTTGCAAAGTGCCAGTTTCGATTTGGACGAAACCTAGTAGTACCCAAAGATGGTTGTTGCTGACGCCGGAACGGTAGTGCGGTAGCAACAGAGCGGCTTTACGGCGCCTAGTCGTGGGTTTGTATCTTGTTGTCGCCCTTTACAGCCTCAGCGTAAGTGGGCGGGGGCCTGCCGGAACCATCATGACTGCCCTCGCCGTTCGCGGGGCCGGTGGAAGAGGACGAGGCGGCGTTGCCGGTGTTGCTGGAGGCAGCAAAAGTGGTGGTGGCGCCGTAGTTCGGCTGCGAGGTAGGCTTGGGCTGTGGACGATGGTCGGGCTGCGGTTGCGGGGATGGCTGGTGCACGTAGACGTAGGTTATGCTGCCACTCTCGCGATCCCGCGAGAGGGGCTCGTAGTCGGCTGGGTCGGTGTACTTGGCGATTATGTACCAGGAGTGGAGGAGACCGGGGATCTGCACAGCAAGCCAGGCCAATGGGTGTTAGAGAATAGCAGCGATAGCGACCGCGTCGCGGATGGTGAAAGGCAACATGTGTATAAGCACTTACGTAGCCGAGAACGCAGAGTAGGATGTTGATGATCGAGTCGGCGGAGCAGAGGCCGCGCTTGACCCAGACTATATACATAGCACGTTTTACGCCGTTGTTAGCGCAGAGACCATCAAATCGCACAGCGCAGAGGAATCCAAGGTCGTGAAGAGATAGGTTGATCCGAGAGTAAGTAGACAAATGGCGGCAGATCATGTGGGCAGGCGTGGAGGGCTAGGAGAGGGCAATGGGACGAGGATGACGTACCGGGCAGGGGAGGGAAGAGAATGGCGAGGAAGCCGAGGAAGAGATCCGGAGTGCACATAGCGACGGGTCTCTCGTTGGGGGGGACCTGGGAGGAACTTAATCAAAAGAAGAGGTGCTGTTATCGCATAAGATGATCTCTGGGTTGAGGGTTGAGAGTGGCAGAATGACGGTTGCTTATTGTATATGTGTGAAGTAGGTAGCAGCAGGCAGACAGCATTTCGATGAGGGATGAGGGATGACAATGCGCGTGGCAAGGTCTACCTACATAGGTAGGTAGATAAATCATGCCCCAGTCCTAAGGCTGGTGCTAGGCTGTGACCATCACAAGGTCGCAGAGCGACAGGTATACGCGTAGTACCGTGTAGTAATAGGTAGGTGCCTCCTGTCCGTTTTATAGCCGGGCACCCAATCCCATCGGTGCGTAGGAGCCTACCCAAGTAGACAGGTACATTCCGGTACCCGGGTATCTATGTTAGGTATCTGGCGTATATATAGTATTATATATATATATATAATATTACTATATATATTATAAATAATATAAATAAAAAATAATTACAATACTTTAAGGTATTATTATAAATATATATTATTTTATATAAATTGTATAATTATTTTTATTATAAACTTAATTAATATTAATAATAATAATAATAATCTTTTAATTCAATATATGCTTTTAATATAATTTAAGCAGTACTTATCCGTACGTGGCTTAGCTTTTGTAATCATGACTAAGACGTATATAAACTTGTATACGTAAGTTCAATAAAGTACCTCAGGTACCTGAGGCGCCTACCGTCGAACCTCAGATTGTTGTTTTCCACCGCTCTGCCTCCTCGGTTAAGCAGTCAAGGTCCGAATGCGTCACCAAGAAAAGAGTCATACCGAGACGACGAAGTGTATGGGTCCATAACCGACTCTCCCTCCATGAATGTCGCCGCAATATGAGATCTGAACCGTCTCTCTTTCTCCTACACCTCGCGTAAACATCCTCTGTGGCCCTCGAATCGACACCATGGACGACGACTTCGCGGAGCTCGAGCTCCTCTCCCTTGTGTCCAAGGTCACCTCCGAGCTCCATAACCATTTAGGCGTGTCCGAAAAGACTCTAGCCGAGTTCATCATTGCCAAACGCCTGGAATGTACTGGGGTTTCCGAGTTCAAGGATAAGTTGGCCGAGTTGGGCGGTGCGAGCTGGCCTGAGAGTCTGATTAAGAGTATTGATCGCCTGGTCCGAACCATGCACCCTAAATTAAAGGCCAGCAAAGGGGCCGAAAAGGAGGAGAACGAGCCAGCTCGGTCCCTCGAAGAAAAGGAGACGCTCTTCAAAGGTCTGAGCATCCCGGACCGGGAGATCGCCCGCGAAGGCGGAGATAGGGATGCTATAGACGAGACGCTGGCGCTTCTAGAAGGCCTAGAGAATAAAAATAGAGACGAACGCGCGGAGAGATTGTCCAGGAAACGGACCCGTGGTCTCGAAAGCGAGGATGGTTTCGATTCGAGACGTGGAGGGGATGCAAAATCTCGAGATCAAAGCCGCAGAGACCGGGACTGGGACTACGGCCGCGAAAGCGATTACCGGAAACGCCATCCCGAATCCCGAATTCGAGACGATGAGCACGACGAGTACCAGTCATACCGTGGTAATCGAAGAGAGAAGAAGCGCAAGCGCGATAATGACGACGACGACGACGACGGCGGCAGTATGTTTCGACAGGCTCCCCAACTCGAGCTTGACGACTCACCGGTGCTATACAAGATCTATGATGGTCAGGTTACAGGCATTAAGGAATTCGGCGCGTTTGTCAATTTACATGGCGTTAGGGGCAAGGTGGACGGAATGGCCCATATCTCAAATCTAGTCCAGGGCCAGAGAGTCAACCATCCCTCGGATCTCCTCTCAGTGGGCCAGAATGTCAAGGTCAAAGTCATCAATATTGAGCCAAAGCGAATAGGACTTTCCATGAAAGACGTCGACCAAGAAACCGGCATGGATATGACGCCTCAGGCCCGGATACAATCGGGTGCGAATATGGAGAGCCTTGGCAGTCGAAACGGCGCAGCTTCGCGCAACGACGACAATCTAGCCTCTCTGTCGAACTATCGCGGTGCCCCGAGGCAGCATAAGAAGAGAATGACGTCGCCGGAGCGCTGGGAGATCCGGCAGCTCATCGCTTCTGGAGTGGCGAAAGCCTCGGATTATCCCGACCTAGAGGAGGATTACAATGCTACTCTTAGGGGGGAAGGCGAGATGGAGCTGGAAGAAGAAGTCGACATTGAAGTTCGAGAAGAAGAGCCGCCGTTCTTAGCAGGCCAAACGAAACAATCATTGGAATTATCACCCATTCGAGTTGTGAAGGCCCCAGACGGATCATTGAATCGCGCAGCCATGTCCGGGACGGCGTTAGCAAAAGAGCGGAAGGAGTTGCGTCAGCAGGAGACCGAAACTACTGAAGAGCAATCTAAGGTGGACCTTTCGTCTCAGTGGCACGACCCCATGGCCGACCCAGACAGCAGAAAATTTGCTAGTGACCTACGCGCCGCAAAATCAATCTCCCAAAAGCCCGACATTGTTCCCGAATGGAGGCGTGTTGTGGCACCCAAAGACCAATCATTCGGCAAGCGAACTACGATGTCGATCAAGCAGCAGAGGGAAAGTCTCCCCGTCTTTGCCTTCAGGAACCAGCTCATCAAGGCCGTCAAGGAGAATCAAATCCTCATCGTCGTTGGGGAGACCGGATCCGGTAAAACGACCCAGGTCACGCAATACCTCGCCGAAGCCGGCTTCACGAATAGCGGGATGATAGGTTGCACGCAACCACGTCGAGTGGCCGCTATGTCGGTTGCAAAGCGCGTGGCTGAGGAAGTCGGTTGTCAGCTAGGCCAAGAAGTCGGTTATACCATACGCTTTGAGGACTGTACGAGCCCGGCTACCAAGATCAAGTACATGACGGACGGTATGCTGGAGCGTGAGATCTTGCTCGATCCCGACCTGAAGAGGTACTCGGTAATCATGTTAGACGAAGCCCACGAGCGCACTATCGCGACTGACGTTCTCTTCGCACTCCTTAAGAAGGCATTAAAACGACGGTCTGACCTCAAGGTCATCGTTACGTCCGCTACTCTGGACGCCGATAAGTTCTCGGCATACTTCAACGAGTGCCCCATCTTTACCATCCCAGGCCGCACATTCCCCGTAGAGATACTGTATAGCAGAGAGCCTGAATCCGACTACCTCGACGCCGCCTTGGTAACGGTCATGCAGATTCACCTTACAGAGCCTCCTGGAGACATATTAGTTTTCCTCACTGGCTCGGAGGAGATCGACACCGCCGCAGAAATATTATACGAGCGAATGAAAGCCTTAGGCCCAAGCGTCCCGGAGCTGATCATTTTACCGGTATACTCAGCGCTCCCTAGCGAGATGCAAAGTAGGATTTTTGACCCCGCGCCTCCTGGCAGCAGGAAGGTTGTGATAGCTACGAACATCGCGGAGACCTCTATCACCATTGATCATATCTATTACGTCGTCGACCCTGGCTTCGTTAAACAGAATGCCTACGACCCGAAGTTGGGAATGGATTCCTTAGTCGTCACACCCATCTCCCAGGCCCAAGCGAACCAACGTGCCGGCCGTGCCGGGCGAACCGGCCCGGGCAAATGTTTTAGGTTATATACCGAAGCCGCATTCCAGTCCGAAATGCTACCGACCACCATCCCAGAGATTCAGCGCCAGAATTTAGCGAATACCATTCTCATGTTGAAAGCCATGGGCATAAACGACCTCCTTCATTTTGATTTCATGGACCCGCCTCCTACCAATACGATGTTGACGGCTTTGGAGGAGCTGTACGCCTTATCGGCTCTAGATGACGAGGGTTTATTAACACGCCTCGGCCGCAAAATGGCTGACTTCCCGATGGAACCTGCCTTAGCAAAAGTTCTGATCGGAGCGGTCGATATGGGTTGCTCCGACGAAGTGCTTAGTATCGTTGCGATGTTGAACTTTCCCAACATCTTTTATCGGCCTAAGGAAAAGCAAACGCAAGCCGATCAGAAGAAAGCCAAGTTTCACGACCCACACGGAGATCATCTTACCCTTCTCAACGTTTACAACGCTTGGAAGCAGAGCGGGTATTCGGCGCCATGGTGTTTCGAAAACTTCATACAGGCGCGGTCGATGAAACGCGCAAAGGATGTCCGCGATCAGCTTGTGAAGATTATGCAGCGTTACCGACATCCTATCACGTCTTGTGGCCGAGATACGCAGAAGGTCAGGCAGGCCCTATGTTCAGGATTCTTCCGAAACTCGGCGAGGAAGGACCCTCAGGAAGGATACAAGACGCTGGTCGAAGGCACTCCAGTTTACCTGCATCCAAGCTCAGCCTTGTTCGGAAAGCAAGCTGAATGGGTGATATACGATACGCTGGTTCTCACCACGAAGGAATATATGCATTGTACGACGAGTATTGAACCGAAATGGCTTGTATCGGCCGCCCCGACCTTTTTCAAGGTTGCCCCCACAGACAAGCTCAGCAAGCGCAGAAAGGCCGAGAGAATCCTACCCTTGTACAACAAGTATGCGTCTGAGGACGACTGGAGACTAAGTGCCCAGCGGAAAGTTGGGCGCTCCGGCGGAGGCGGGGGTACTTGGGGATAGAGGAACCTAGGCATATTGCGTGCCCGAATGTTAAATAAGTGGTCTAGATATCTAATTGCTCATCGATTTCCATAGCCTAAAATAAGTGAAGCATATTCTGCAGTATACTTACCATGTCGAACGGACTCCCCGACGAACCGTGTCGGGTTCCGAGGCCTACCTGTCATCAAGACCTTCAATACCGAGCCATCGTTCACAAAACAGTTCCTTGGTATCATAGCCAGCTACTAGATTCGAATTCGTCAGAATACCGGGCAGGCCTCCAGCCCCAAGGGGGTTCCCAGCGTGTTTATTAGAGATCCGACATCGATCCGTCATCCAGCTATAAAAAAAGAATTCATCGACTACCACGCTTTACATTTCCATTCAGAGACCGTTATAACCTTGTGACTTAGGCATGACCCCTGGTATTGTCGATTAGGCTAACACTTATGAGACTAGCTATGGGCGCCGAGGGCACAAGCACTTGAGGTTGAAAATCAAGTTCCGCCAATTGAAGGAATACGTCCCTCTTAGCAAAACTGAATCCCCGGCGTCGCTTCTCGATAATCCGAATAGCTGGCCTAATACGCTCCGAGGCTAGAATCCGGATACCCGAGCTCCCTCCTATAAATATAACTCGAAATCTCCCCATGCCTCCCACCCACCCCTCCCCCATTCCTTTTATATTTCACATCATCTATAATACTAACCGAATAGATTTTTGAATTTTTCGCACTCTCGAGAGTGGCTCTCCGCTCACAAGATTTATGACATTGGAATCAGGAAACCAGGTCTCATCAGGTACTACGGTATGGGTTCCATTTTCATCTGCTTTTGCTATAAGGATCCGTCGCTCCTCTTCGTGCCTTTGCGCGTCGAATTGCTCGTACTTCACCGCATTTCTATCCCTCCACATCAGCCTAGTAACGACTTGGTACTATCCCCTCCCTGGGGTTCGACTTCCGAAATATCGAACCTATTCCGATAGAAGCCTATGCGTTAACTATAGCCCAAGAACTACCCAGACGAGAACGATAATTACAACGGGAGGAGCCGGCTCTCCTTACCTTTCCTAGCTGCCTACCTGTCGTTTGAGAGTACCGCAGATTCTCTATACTAAAGGTATCCTCGGTCCATGCCCTCCTTCCTCCGTCCTTAATCGAAGCCCTGCTGACTTGATTCCTCCGTATAGCCGCAGTTTGCTTCGAAACCACTTACCAGTTTTTCAAATCAGATATGGAGGCCCGCAACTCCAGGTCTCTATACATGCCGCAAACGAAGTCACCTTCTCGTCCTCTAAGCAGTAAGCGTGCAGAAGTATCCAGGGTACGACGTAAAGGCATTCGACCTAAGAGTAAGACTGTCTACGACTGGCAATAGACTACCCTCGAGAGGAGAGAAGCGCAGTGTCTGAAAGGGAGACGTAGCAGTAGCGTACGCCATTTACGAATTTCTAGTGATATCTGGCGTGAAGAGATGTGAGGTAGGGTTGTCGTCAGTTCTCTAATTACCGTCTCCGCATGACAGACCCTACTACCCCTCGAGAGGTTCCGGGATAACCAATTAGGCCCCCCACCGCCTGCGGTTAAACGATACTGCTGCTGCTCATACTAATACTATGTCACGTAGAGGTTGCACCTTAGGTTGCTCCTCCTCGCTGCTAACCTCAGCTACAGGAGCTCCTATATATACGCTCCCGTTGCTTCCATTCCTTTAGCTAGTTCTTAGATAGATCTAAGACCTTTTCTCCTCCTTTTGCTCCTTCTCCCGTTACTCGTGAGATAGCTCCTCGCGCGCGCTCTCGCGCACGTAGCTCCTTCACTGAGCTACGTGATATACTACTAACTGGTCCACCAAGCCGGTGATGATGGAGACCCACAAAGGTCTAAAGAGACCCAAGGAGCAGGAATTCCAGCAAACGCATTCACTCCCCCTAGTCAGGACAACTTCTACTCCCTCAATGAGGCGTATGCCCTTAGAATCGCCTAGAGTTTGTTCGCATGAGTTCATCTTGTAGTTGTACAACTAACACACGGGGAATCATTTCGGCTTCGGAAGCAGCACCCCCTTTCTTTCCTGCGAGCTCCTGGGCATGCGTCACGTCCTCGTTCTCTGGAACTGGCGTCTTAATGTTGAAATATCACTGGGAAATGTGGCAACGATAAGCACATCGTGGTACTATAAATATCACCGTGGTAAGGGGTCTGGAGCTGATTACAATATGGGTAAAAACATAGTGTTGCACCATGACATGCCCTAACCTAGGTCGCTCTTACGTTACCCTTCTCTCTCCAGACTCTGGCCACTCCCTATGTAGTCTATATTATATGAGCGAGCGTAGAGACGCGTCACTTTCGAGAGACGCTCCTCCGGGCAATCCTACCTACCTCTCGACGCCTCGCGTAAATAACCACGCCCAACTCGTCGAGGCCGGCCAGGTACCTAATATAAGCCAGCGCGGGTAAAGTCATCTTTGCAATAAGGCATGTCTACCCCCTCCCTGGCTCTAGGCTGTAGCGACGATAACGTTTCATCTAGAGCGACTGCAGGCTGCCGATGTTCAGAATGCCGGCGGTTACCTTGGCAACATGCTCCAGGACGCAATGTGGAATGTGAGCAGATGCGTAGATGCGTCGCTCGGCTTTAAAAGCGCGTACCGACACGGAATTCGGATGCCATTTGGGTGGCCGCATGTCATGGCCATGAGCTCTTGCGTAGCTTCGTGAATGGAAAAGGGGCAGAGTGAAGAGAAGTTTAGCCGCCTGACATAACCGTGTGTTCTTCTTTTGCCCAACCCGAGGCATAACGTACCGCCGATCTCTAACTAGACCTAGTCGGACGTTCCTGTGCCTACTCTACAGACCTGCTTGTCTACGGGATATTTCTCGACGTCGGACCCCTGTTTCGGTGCTTTTGGCCGGCTGAGATGGGGTTTCCCCAAGATCGATGTCGATCATCGCGCGCCAAGGACACGAGGCATGACGGCGGTGATCAACCTCCAACAAGCAAACCCTGACCCAGCAGCACGCGCCAGCACCGGTCCCATGCAACACGTCTCACAAGGTTAGACAGTCGGTGGCTCTGTCGCTCAGGGTTACCACAGTCCCATACCGACGTTTGTAGTTTGGGGTGTCTTAGAATTATCAATAACGCTAACTAGGTACGTGGTTAAACTGCTAGGAAACGAACCGCATTCGCCCGTGGCGCTGCTACGCATAGGTGACTAGATCACGAGCAATAGCCAGCGCATCTATGCTCAATACCCCAACGCCCAAGCCCGCATATACCCCAGGGTATGATGATGGTGCAGAGGAAGGAAAGAAACAAGAGAGAAAAGGATGGGATAGTAGCATCAAGCTACTGCCGCCGCAGCAACTAGCGTGTCGAGGGCCGAACTTTGCGTGCCCGCATTAGCAGGCGAGAAGGGACCTGGCCAGGTGACGCCCAGTTGGTTCCGCTCGTTGCGGTTCTTAGCCCATATTGTGTCAGCATTTGTGAGGATGAAGTTCTTGACGGCGTCCATGGGAGCTGCCTTCTGCAGGTAGTGCAGGTTGCGCATAAAGATTCCCTTGAATTGCGCGCCATCGCTTCCGCAGTTCGGTTCGCAACCTTCGTACAAGATGCCATCCCTAGACAGCCTGGTGATGGCGGCCGAAGCGATGGTCTTGGCCACGTCGAGTAAGGAGCGGTCGCCCGTAGCCGTAGAAAGCTCCACTAGTGCGCCGAGGATGACTCCCTGGTTGTAGGTCCACGTTTGCATGCCGTTGTTTTTGCAGGCGTCCGTGAGCCCATCGTTGATTAGGTTGTCCTTGTTTATCATTCCGCTGTTCTTGAACCAGTTCCACTGAGTTTTGGCAATATCGAGGAAATAGTCCTTCCTCGACGGTATCCGGTTCGCGAGAGACGCCGCGACGGCGAGGTAGAGCTCGTTCGCGATGGCGTTGGTGTACGGAGTCACCTTGCTCCAGTAAATACCTCCGCAGGTCGAATTGCCTTTCTTCATGTCTTCGAAAATGTCGACAGCCTCTTGGAGATACTGCTGGTCCCCGAGACCCCGGACACCCAGGTCGTGACTGTGGATCAAGGCCAGCGCCCACCAGCCTTCGTCGTCGTAGTAGTCGTTAAGGAAGTTGTCGAAACCCCTTTTGATAACCCCCGAGCCTTTCTGCGATCGGGTGTATGTAGAGAAGGGAAGCCCCGCCGCTGATAGTATCTTTGTCGCCTGCACTGGCGTCTCCTGCGCCCTGACGTACTGTAATTTCTCCTGTCAGCCACTGCCTATATACGCGCGCGCCAGGTGTTAAAGGAGTGGCCCTAGCCGCGGGACGCCGTGCATGCTTCGGGGAGTTCGGGACCCTGAGCCACCAGCCCGCTGGCGCCGACCCAAGACCCCGAACAGGAGCGGTGGAGAGATAGCCGGCGCGATGCAAATGTATACTCACGGTGTTCTGTATGATCTCGGGGATATTCAGAGCCTCGGAGGCTTCGGGGTCCACGAGCGCAAAATCGGCCAGCATAGTCAAGCAATTGGCGCTATTCCACCACCCGGTAGTGTCCCACAGACCTGTCTGGCGGTTATACCATAACTGTAGAGCCTTCAACCCGTCGACGGTATGGGAGGCGTATGTCGCCGAGTCTGCGCGGTTGGTGATATGACTAGACATTAAGAAAACTGCCCTGGAGACCAGGGAACCCACGAAGGAAGAGGAAACCATGGTGACAAAGCTAGAGCAGGCAGAATAGAAAAGGAGCTGTGTGGTGAAGGCGAAGGTTTCCAGAAACCTGTGGACGCCGGACAAGAGGTCCGGCAGAGGAAGGAAGTCTTAAATAGGAATTTACAGAAAACAAACAATAGGCACCTGATGGGGTGGGAGGATGTCATTCACTCGATCTCGACCGTAGTACATATATTAAGGGAGGTAGACGAGGATGTGGACCGCGTCGTGGGGCCACAAGCCGCAGCGCCAACATTCACGAGCCTGCCATGGCAGGCACCAGCCCAGCGCCAAACTACAATCACAGTCGTCCCGACATGGGTCGTCTCGAGACACCGTAGATCATCTTCGCCAGTAAGGCTGGGGGAGGATCACATCCCACGTAGCAGACTTGTGCGAGCCGAGCCTGCGGGGCCTGTCGCTCGGCCCTGCTCACTGGCGATCGCGGCACTTGATGATTGGTGACAGGCTGACACGGGTAGAGATGAACAATCGCGGTAAGGGGATGGGCGTGCCGGGCGAGAAAATCTGGGCTGAGCTTATCATGAGCGTGTAGAGATCTCCGATAGGGTTGCGCTATGTTTCAGAGCCGGTATGATGCTCATACCAGACCGGTGCTGCGTGGACAACTCTGGACAGCTTTTAGGCGGAGCCGCTCCCTAGGGCGACGATAAATAAGGAAGTCGAATGCCGGATAGCCAGCCCGTGACGGTCACCAACATCTTTTTCCCCGGCCTAGGGCAAGACCTTGTCCCGGCGGCTGTCTTGCCTTTTTCTCTTGGGGGAGGAGGTTTCTCGGTCCCAGAATGGCGTTGCGTCCGTGGTCACAGGAATGGGGAGAGCTGCGGTTAATCTCGTGGCATTCCACCGCTGATCATAGTCACCCACAGCCGCGCGACTCTTTTTCTTCCACGACTTCTCTCTCGGTTTCCTCTGCGAGTGACAAGGGTATGGTAAACGAATTTATTGGCTGTCGTTGAGTATTTTGAGCATCGTATTAGTGGTGCTACGTCTTGCCAGCGTTAGATGAAACTGGCAGGCTAGCGATTATTAAGGCACCTTGCCTTTGACATTTAAGGCACCGGGGATTATGCATGGCTTAGGTGCGCCTCTTATCAGTAGAGAAACATTGATCGTTCAAGTGAGTTAGGCACATACCTACCTACCTAGGTAGGTAGGTACCTACCCTACTATACACGTAGTAGGTAGTATGTACATACTTCCCCCTGAACCTTGCCTAAAGCGGCCAAGATTCAGGCCGGATTAGGACGGAATGCCAAGGGACGACAATCTACTAGTGTACCTAAACCTAGGTGGGTGTACTCAGTCGATGGCTAGCGTTTTAGGTACATACTCCGCAGTGATCCAGGGCTCAGCTAGCGAGCAGGTACCTTACCTAGCTGAAACTGTAGGAAGTACCTGGCCTAATCTCCCACGACATCGCCGTAGCAGCGAACTAGAGGTACCTGCGAAGCAGGTCCCTTCTTGGCACCTACGGGCATTTATTATATAAGCTGCGTATCCACATCTCCAGACACACGCGCACACGCACGTGTGGTGTGCATATACACGTAAGAGTAGGCACATATGTGCGGTACTGAATCTGATGTAATGTGGGAGTCATCACGAGGTACCTAGGTACCTACAGGTAGCCTCCCATGCACGTGCCTTATGTGTCCGTGTACATTAGGAGGTGGGTACCTCTACAGGTTAGGTACCTAACCTCCTAACCTAGCCTAACCTAGGTAAGAAGTGTGTAAGGTAGGTACGGGTACGTACCTGAGCATACAGAACTTCACGGTGGAAAGTTCAACCCTCCCTTCCTGGTTTGCTGTTACTTCCCGCTCCACAACACCCGATCCGCCCGTCCCGACCTTCTTCCAGGCAAGTTGGGCAGATCCAGGCGATCGTAACTGGCTTGGTTGCGGTTGCTAATAGAGACAAGCCGGCCTCGCAAATCGCCGCCTTCCTTCAACGCTTGACCTTCTAACTACCAGCATTCTTCCCCCAATACGACCGCCACCCCGTCTTAGTCATCTCACCTACTCTTCACACCTGCATTCTCTGGGTATGACAGTAACGACGGTGATGGAGACATGACCGGTCTGTGTCCTGCGGCAATCGATACTATGACAAATTCAACGTCACAAGCTGGTTTAGCCTTGTCTTCCGAGACAATCTTGTTATACCTTCTATTTCTGGCCGTCCCCCCCTCTTCACTAGGCCGACGGGCAAGCCGGTGGTCGCCGATTAATAGTGGTTAGCCGACTGAACAATTGCTGCCTTGATCCAGCTGACTGGGAATATGCGAGGGTGACGGGGAACGATGGGGAACCCATGCGATCGCAACCTATACGAGAAACCACCTATAGGTAGTCTACGCCTGTGTGCCCGGTGTCATCCGAGTCACGGGGAGCAAGCAAGGTTGCCGGCAGGACGAGATGGGCTTGCTCGCGGATCGCCTGTTCCTTGTCTCAGTTGCAGCGTCAACCACACCAGTGACCGACATACTGATCTGCTCCTTTCCTGCGCGAGCCTGGCTAGCTGAAAATCGACGTGCTGTCATGCCCTCTTGTTAAAGGTACGGTAGCTCACGAGCTCGCGAAGAGAGGCCTTCCATCGAGACGGGATCTCCTTCAGGCCCGGCTGGGACTGGCTGGCTATGGATGACCCCGAGGATATCGACGTTGCCGTCGCCATCCACACTCTTCGTTGCTCCTGTTCGCTCGGATCTCTACCGAGCGCCGAATCCACCCTCGATGCCTCTCCCATCGTACTGTCCCGGTTTCTCCGCACCTACGTGTCGTAGATCGAGCCTCCACCGTCAATACATTACCTCCCCCCGCAGATTTCCCCGCATCCGCATCCCCACCCCTAATCTAGTGGGCGGAAGAATTGCCTAGAGTTGGGACGGAAATTTCTCCAAAAGCAATACCCCTCCGGTAGTCGGCCGCCATTCGGTGAGCTCGCTTCAAGACACTTCCGAAGGTCGACAGTATAAACACGCTGCCATAGTAGTGAAGCCCATTCGCGAATGGTATCTAGACTAGTAGTATGTCCTCGTGCAGCACATCGAGTTTCGCGAGTTGAGTCAAGATGCAGTTCGGGTCCATCTCTCGTTCGTGTCTCATCTTCCTGTCTCTATCCAGGTCCGTATATGCAAAAGTAATTGCCACCCAAAACGACACACACCTCGTCATCCGCAATGACCGGCTCCACACACGTGTCAACAAGGCCTCGGGTACCATGGACAGCGTGGAGCTGGACGGCCAAGACCTTCTAGGCACGCCCTCGGGACCGGCCGGCCAATTTTATCTGGATTGTTATTGGTAAGTCACGTTATGAAATCCGCACAAGTAACGTAACTTGACCTACTAAGAAGAGACGAACGAAAGCATCCCAAGCGGCTTTTGGACTCCCGGGAAAACGCAGCCAACCTATGAGCTATATTCGGGAACAGATGCGTCGGGAACTGGCTACGGCGGCATCAAGATGTCGGATACGTACACGCCCACCGGCCAGATTCTTGAACAATATTGGTTCATCAGAGACGGTGAGACCGGCTTGCATGTCTTTTCCCGTATTGCATATTACAACGAAACCACTCCATTCTTGAGGAACCTGCAAGAGTTCCGGACGCTCTTCCGCCCGAATTCGGATATATGGACCCATCTCGCGACCAACGGAATACAATATGCCCCCTTACCCGGCGCGGAAGCCAAGAAAAACCAAGTCGTCGTACAAGGTAAGCGATTCTTATAACGTATACCGAATAATTCGGTATTCCTCGTTTATGAGCGGAGACGTTCATGCCACATCTCCGTTCTAGCATATGACAGCTTCCTCCTCGGAGAAATTACTGACGTCGGGTTTTTGAAGATGCAACGTGGTACATGGGAAATACGCCCGACGATCCATATGTCCAGCAGGAGGCTGATTACTTCACCAAGTACACATTTCAGGACACATGGCGGAACCACGACGCCCACGGGATGTAAGTTGTGTGCTAGAAAAGGACCCCTCGAGTTAAAACTAACATATCGCGTCAGGTACGCCGACGGTTCCCGAACACGAGATGGCTCAGCATTTGGAGCTGTAGGTTATATCGTGAAACCTCCCCCCTCGGGTATCATATCTAACGTTTGCCTCTCCAAGTGGCTGGTCATGAACACGATAGAAACCTACTTCGGTGGTCCGTTACACTCCGATCTGGTGGTTGATGGAATCGTCTACGACTATATGGGTTAGTATCTACCGGTTCTTTACGGGCTTTGGCTTCGCTACGAGGTTAACACAGGCACCAGTATCGAACCACCACGGAGACCAAACGGCAAGTCAGCTCAGGAATTCATAGAGTTACAAGACCCGCTGACCATTCGAAAGCCGAATATAACAAACGGGTTCGACCGCACGTTTGGCCCGGTAAGCTCAACAAGTTCGTCTACTTTTGTTGTTTCCGCTGACTCAATTAGCAATACTATTACTTTAACCGTTTCCCGGCCGGAACTGACCTGCAGGTGGCCCGGGAGGACGCCGCGCAGTTTGCGGATCCCGAATGGAACGTAGAATTTTACGATTCTATCGCACAACACGTACCTAATTATGTTCCAAGCAGCGCGCGGGGCAGCTTGAAGTTACATGTCGATCTGCCCAAGAACGCCAGGAACCCGATTGCTGTGTTATCGCAAGACGGAGTCGATTTCCAGGACAACGTCTTCGACACGAAAGCTTATCAGTACTGGGCCGAGGTTGATAGGAGAGGCTACGCTAGTATACCACGAGTGAAGGCAGATACCTATCGGCTCACCATCTACGCGGACGGTATATTCGGTCAATATATTCAAGACGGCATAACAGTGCGTCCCGGGAAGAGTATGGCAGTAAGGGCTAGATGGGAGGAGGAAAGCCAGGGAGACGAGATTTTCCGCATAGGCACGCCTGATAAGAGCAGTGGCGAATACCGGCACGGCTACGAGGTCGACTTGACTCGGCCGCTTCATCCCGAACAGTACAGGATATACTGGGGGGTATACGATTTCCCAACTGATTTCCCAGATGGCGTCATCTTCAAGGTCGGCCAGAGCGATGTGGGCAAAGACCTGAATTATGTCCACTGGAGCGTATTCGGAGGCTATGCCAACCACCTCCGCCCCGAACCATACTACGGAAATGGCAACGTCAACAACTGGACTATCGTCTTCGATTTGAAAGGGGCGCAATTTTATCGAAGGACGAGCGCCACATTCACCGTTCAGTTAGCCGGAGCAAAAACTGCTGCGGGAAACACGGATGTCTTTAACGCCTCGGAGCCTTATGCCAACCTGCCCTATACGGTTAACGTCAATGGGAAGGATCTTGAGTCTTGGATCATCCCGTAAGCATCAGCTCGAGCATCGGCTTTCCTTCTTGAGAGTAACTAACACCCACTCAGATGGCACCATAGCAGCTCTTGCGCGGTTCGTTCTGCGGTAATCTGCTATAACGTCGCACATAAATTTGTCTTCGACGCGTCCTTGCTCCGAATCGGCGAGAATAGTATCGTCCTAAGCTTACCGTTCAATGCGACCAACTACGAAAGTGCCGTGTTACCTAGCGCAGTCTACGTGCAATACGATGCACTCAGGCTGGAGGTTAGCTAAAAGAAAACGGAAGGCCGCGACAGAAATAACTCGCCTAGTTGATGGGGCACGGTGTTATAGCTTGATACAACATGATAATACGTCGGAGATCTTGAAATACCTAGCCCTCTTGTCTACAGAGAATTGCCGCGCGGTATCCCCTAATATTCATAATATCCGCACCAAAAATCTATTTTCTAGTTAAATCTATAAGACACGCTCTTCCTGGCAAGTTGGGGGGCATATGAGGTAGTACTTCGAATACAACCCCTCCGTAACTACCCCCCACCTTAGAAGTCGGGATCCCCTGCCTGCAATAGGTATGCTGTTATATTAGACTAGGTCAGACATATTCCTGCGTAATGTGACAGCGCGAGAGGACTGTTGGGTGACCCGCAAGCTACGGTGGAAATAAATCAACTAGCAATCAGAATAACAGCAGCAGCAGCGGCGGCGGCGGCGGCAGCAACACAAATCTGGCCCCGTCCTTCTCGGCACACCCAATATCTTCCATCCTCACCCACCTCTTGATTACCTGCTAGTCCACAGACAACGGCTGTAGACTTCTCTCGCCCGGGCAGGAAACCTCGGTGTGGAAGCGACAGGTTCGTCCCGAAGCCGATGCGCCAGACTTGGTCCCCGGCTCCTGGCCTCCTCCCGTCCTCGTAGGCGAAATCACTTACTATACGATCTGGCACGTCGCGGAAGAGGCTTCCCTGATTCGGAGGCGCAGATCGCCGCTGGTTGGCTGGGGGACGGACGGGATCTCGGCATTTCCAGGGGGGCGGGGGGGGGGGGGGGACCCTCTTCGACGGTGCCGACTCCCCCCTCCTCTCCCCTCCCTCCCCACACCAGCTCCGAGTCGGCTCTGCTGGGGCCGCACAACGTAACGCGCACGAGTGCACACGTGTAGTAAGTGTCCCTGTCCGTCGCGACTCGCCCAATGATAACGTTATTATCTCCCCCGGGGAGAAAGGGGCGAGGGGCGGAGGAAGGCTTATCGTAGATTGGCTCGCGGCTGGGCATAATAGTAAGTACGTAAATCCTCGCGAGGCTCCGCCCCCCGCGCATGCCGGTAAATAGACGCCCTATCGTGGGCTGTGTTCTATTTCAACACCCTATCTGGCCGGCTCGGCGTGCGTCGTTTGGGGGGGGGTGTAGAGGGCGGCGGTTGGGGTCGGATAAACCAGACCGACTTACTACTACTTGGTGCCCCCTACTCGGAATCCCCCGTACCTGGCTGCCTGTAAATGGACGACATCGGACATGTATGGTGGTATTCGTCGACAACAGGCACACAATCCGAGCATGTGTATATCCTATAAGTACGGCCGTTCACCTACCTACGTGCCCAACTTGCCTATCAAAATCAAACGCAGAGAAGAGCTACGACGCAGCGATTTTAACTACCGCCGGCGACCCCCCCAACAACCCCCTCCAGCCGGGGTAATAGACGAAAAAAGTCGCATTGAAGAAAAATAAAGAGATGGAAATCACAGAGGTAAGCTACGGATCCTGACCAGTCACTGTTTTTATCGCTCCTCTTCTTCCGCCTGTTTTCCTTTTCGATTTCTTTCCTTTTGGCTCTCATTGCCCCTTCCATCATATTTGTCACCCATTACCCTCTTAGAGACCTGTTATCCCCCCCCTCCCTCGACCTAACACTGACCCGGAACCGCCTCATCTTGGACACTCCGGGGGGAAACAGCTCTATATCTGTCCGATCAAGGCCCTGCGGCCGCTATCGGTGCGCAGCGCGCAGCTCTGCTGCGAGGGGCTGCGCCACGACCGGCGCTTCATGCTCCTCAAAGTCGATCAGGACCCGGCGGCGGCTGGCGGCAGCCCCGTTCTGCGCTACCGCAATGTCCAGACGCCCCACTTCCCGGAAGGCGCGCTGTTCTACCAGACCGTCGACGAGGATGGCGGCGTCATCGTCGTCACCCACCGCGCGCCCCGCGGCGACAGTAGCGGTCGCGATCGGCAAGAGGACGTCCTGTGCGTGCCCCTCTCCCCCGTCACAGACGGCTGTGAAAGGATCGACATTACCTTGTTCGGCAGCCCCGCGACCACGTACCGCATGGGAGACCCCTATGACGCTTGGTTCTCCTCGCGTCTAGGGCGCCCCGTCGTGCTCGTATATATCGGAGACAACCGGCGCCCGGTGCTAGCCCACGCGCCCAGGTCGCAGCGACACCAAGCGGCAGCGGTGGCAGAGCAGAGTGCGTCCTGGCTCTCGCTGATCGGCGGCTGGCTATCATCCTACGGGTCGCCCTGGGGCGAGGAGAAGCAGGAAACTGGAGAGGGAGAGGAAGGGAACGGGAGAAGGGACGGCGGGACGGGCGGGCTAACCTTCAACGAGGCGGCGCCGTACCTGGTGACGTCGAGGGCATCGTTGCGCGATGTCAGCGCGCGGCTGCCCGAGGGCGAGGCCGTGGACATGATCAAGTTCCGACCCAACATCGTCGTGGGCGGGGCGGGAGATCCCGAAGGCGCCGATCGCGACGCGCCCGCAGCCTGGGACGAGGACTTCTGGGCCGAGCTGCTGGTAGGCGGCAGGCACCGCCTCGCGTTGACGGCTAACTGCGCGCGGTGCGTCTCGATCAACATCGACTACGAGACGGGGCGGCCGGCCGAGGGCGAGATGGGGACCGTGCTGAAGAAGCTGATGAAAGACCGCCGCGTGGACAAGGGCAACAGGTGGTCGCCCATCTTCGGGCGATACGCATTCCTGCTGCCGCCGTCCCCGGCGGGCGAGGCTGGGTTGGGGCCAACGGGGGGCCACGATGGGGGGGAGGCGAGGAAAGACGGGGAGGGCGTGGGGTTGGAAATCGCGGTGGGGGACGAGGTCACGGTGACGAGGCGTATCAGCGAGCGAGACACGTGGGCCTGGCCGAAGTAGACAAACCGTCCCGTCCTCTCTCTGTCTCTCGTACGGAAGCTGGGTGAGGTGGGCCGGGGACGGCAGCTGTGCACGCGCGGGCTGAACGAGGAGCAGGCAGAGAGGACGGATGCTGGGTGGAGCCAGCGGCATCAAGTGCCAGCTGTCATGTCTGGCGGCGTGGGACTGATCCGGACCGCGATTGAGTTACATCCGGCCGGGGCCAAACTGTCTCGGGAGGGACGGCTATTGGGATTCTCGGGTTTCTCGCAAGGCGAGGTTTTGTCGCACGTTGTACGTGCGTCGTTCCGTTTAGCGAGCGGCCGGCATGACGAGGCCAAGACGCCACGCCGGCCCTGCCATGCACACATGTGTCCCGGCGACGATGGATTGGGGGGAGGAAGGGAGGATATTTCCCCGTCGAGGTCCTGTCTCCCCAACGCCGGCTGCCGCGCGCAAACGACATGTCGACGCGGTCTTCCACGGCAGCCCAATGGCTGTTCCAAACGTTCCAGAAGCCGACGGGACCTTGCAGACCGCCGCGTGTGCGAAAACGCGTGTCTCCACGTTGCACGGCGTTTGTAGATAGCCCTGCCTAACCTCGACTGCTTCGTTGGGCCGCCTCAACTTCGACCTCACCTGCCTTCAACTGCCAGCCCCAAGCTTCAGGCCAAACATGCAATTCAATCGAAGGGCCACTGCAACGTGGCATCTTGGGCAGACATTCTACGAAGACTATAGTCTCTAGAGGGGGACCAAGGCTCTGATCCGGGGACAGCGAGCATAACAGAACGCAGTTGTGGATTGTTTGTTGTACTTGCGTACCAGGCTTCGCCTGTCAGCCATGTATTTTTATCCCCCCCTTTTTTTCGGCACCGTGTGGAATGAAAGAGGGGGAGAAAAGAGGAGCCGTGAGTCGAAGGGACTGAGAGCAAGAAACAAGACGATAGTGGTTTGGTTTCGCAACATGTTGTCGTTGGGGGGAAGGCCGTCTTCGAAGCCGATGGGGCCGTACCAAGACTCCACAAGAGAAAAGAAAAGATAGGAATGAGATTTTAGATCCGTCGTAAAACACACGAAAGAGACCAATGCCTTAATCCATCGTACACCTTGCCGATTCCCCCCTCCACCTCCCCCCTTTTTCCATTCGCCCTTGCTGTTTGGTCCACCAGCCAGATATTTCCACCACGCGAAGGCGCCGAGCCCCATTCGACAATGCGGTCCTCGCATACCCCGAAAACACCGTAAACGACGACAGAAACTGTGGGCTGTGGCCCAAAAAGAAAGTTCCAATAGGAGGTACCGGGAAGCCTCTCCGCAAACATGCCGTCTGTCGGAGGCACATGAAAGAAATCATAATCGTACATGCTGTGCTGCCGAGCAGGGCCATTCAACGTAAGTACCACGGAGAGAGCCTGTAACATCAGTGTAACAGCACTTGGTCAGAATGTGAGGAATCTCAATCGGGATCTTAAAAAGATTGGACCAGGATGCGCTGTGGCTCGGGTGGCTGAGGGGAACCAGGGGGGAATTTGGCCCACGTCCATGAGGACAACGGTCAAGGCCAATGGGATCGCTTACTGGCCTTCGTTGCTGCAGGATCGAGTGCTGCTGACAAGGGACACCCCCGCGCATCAACTTTCAGATGTCGAAGTGAGAAGTTTGGACTTTCCAGAAGCTGTTTTTTCTTTTCCCTTTTTTTTCATTGTTTTTGAAGGGAGGGGGCGTGGTCCGAACTTTTCCCTCCTGTTTTCCTCTCCCAGCACCAAGAAACCCCCCCCAGCCTGTAACGCCGTAATGAAAAGATGCCTGCCTAATTGTACGGTTCAAGTTTGATTTCCGGGTGTAAGACCTGCGTGGTCTCGGTCCTAAATTGGTTGCATCATTAGTCCTCCGCTCGTCTCCAGTCATATCTGGGCACCAATCTAGATGGTGGCATATGAGACGTGATAGATACACGAGGTACTAACCTACTTCAACCAGAGGCCTGATGGCAACATCACAACCCTGCCTGGGTCCTCGATGGCTAGACGTTGTGGACGCAAGCTCGACACGTGTGGATCTTGCAGTATGTACACTCGAAAATCCACCAGTGCGGACCCGAGTGACACAAGTTGCAGGTCCATTGGATCAGCGTGTTGTCGGACTTTAGCATCTTGAAAGAGTGCGCGCAGTTCGTTCCCACGGCCATGTTGAAATCGTGCGGTCAACGACGTTCTCTAGACGGCTCTTAGGACCTCGAGTTTCCGAAAATGCCAGGGGGGAGGGCGGGAAGTGATGGGAAACAGCGACGTGAATGACGGTGTGCCCGGGCTTGTCCTAGGAACCCGAATTAGCTATAGGTGCCATTGGCCAACCGGGTATAGGGTTGAGCCACCAAATACTCACGGGGAATCTCTGGGGAGGAGGGCGTATCAGAGAGGAGAAGTACTAGGTGAGAGGAGGTGTTGAGAGCGGTTGCTGGCTACGACTGTGGCAAGGTTGCTGATCTGTTTCTCTGAGTATGATGATAGAGGAAGGGACAGCAAGTAGGTGGGTGCAGGAGGTGTGGTGAGGAGACGAGGCTTATATGGGCTCGGAGAGCTCCTTGGGCAAGGTCAAGGACCAACGTGTCTGGAGATGGGGGTTTGTCTCCAGGCCTGTTTGCCAAATGTGGGCTTCGACACGGGAGGCAGAATTACAAGCCGGAGGAGTGTTTGTGTGTATGTGGTGAGCGTCTGCTGCCGGACAAGGTCTGGACGAGGCGAGACGGGAGCCGATATTTGTGACAGGAGTGCCTGCCAGGAACAAGTGAAAACAGACACAACAGGCGTTGGGTGATGAAAAATGTGATGTGTAACTATTCGTTCGACGGGCTGTCGTCGGAGAGAGGCTCACACACATTTGTAAGAATCCCATCGACGGCCGTCCCTGCCCTGGACTATTGCGGTGGTCTTCAGTGCTGCTTCCGTCCGAAGTTGGCCCATGCTACGTCTGCATGGGGAGTTGCTGAAGCGAGGAGACGGAAGACGGAACTTGACCTTGGTCCTTGGATGAGGTGATTGACATGACAGGAGGCGAAGTGGAACTAGCATTGTCGTTCGAGGTTTTTTTTTTTTCCTCCTACGACCAGGGCAACGGTGGTCTTAAAAGAGAGAAGAGAGGTTCAATAATGTGTTGTGCATGGGCTGGGATGATTCTTCTAATCCAGATGTCACCTACACGCCTTAACCTTAATATACTGGTCGTGGCTGGGCATGTCGGTATGGTACGTAACTGACCCGACTCCGGGCCTCGAGTCCCAACCAAGCGGACCTACACCAGCAGGCGCTGCCCATGTCTGGTACCAACCTTGACCCGAGGAGCATGTACATCTATACATACGATAGGTACCTACCTTACCCACCTCTCTGTGCAGGCAGGTAGGTAGGTAGGTAGTTGGAACCTCCAGCGGCCCGGTTTACGGCATCTGCCTCCTGCTGCCTGCCTCCTTTGCCTGTCTCCTGCCTGTCTTCTGCCTATCTCCTGCCTACTCCTGCCTACCTACCTCTCCGGGTGCTGGTCTATGTACCTCAGTACCCAGGCAGGAGGTAGGTACCTAAGGTAGGTACTGCTTTCATGGGGCGCGGTACCTAACCTAACCTAACCTACCTGTGGGTGGGCTGGAGGGGTCCTCAGGTAGGTGGGTACTTCGTACCTGCGTCATGACATGGGTGTGGGGCACGTTGGATTCACGTATCCGTGGTATGTAGGTACTGGATATGCATGGGACATCAAGCGCCTTGCACCGCAGAACTGATCGAAACGGACGATGGACGGGGTAGGTTGCTAGGCAGGCATGTAGGTATATGCATCGTATACACGGGGGCGGATGGGTGTGTGCTGCGTGGGTACCTAAGGTAGGGAGGGTATAGGTAGCTACCTGTATGTCCCTGAGGTTGCCTAGGAGGTAGGTACCTATTTTCTCTCTTCCGCCTTGGGCGAGAGTTCAGGTTCGGATTTTAGGGTTGAGCTCGGAAGCATGAACGGGATCCGCATTGGACTCTTCTTTTCGCAGCAGCGCCGGGTCAAACTCGAAACATCTATATCCTCTGTAGTTCCCATCGGTTTCACCAACGCGTCTTTGGATGCGTGCCATGCAACTAAACAGATGTATACGTACAGCCCGGACATGCCGTGCTTTAAGCTCCCCACGGATGCTTTGCCATATGCCTGTATGCGTAGGTACGTTCACCACCCTGGTCCCGCGTGGATTCCTGGTCGGGACGGGGAGGAGGTTGTTAGTAGCCTAGATGTGCCTCAAATATCAACCCATATCTACACGTATACGTAGTTGGCTAGCGAGCAGGAGGAACAGCATTCGTACACGCGCACGCGCACGCGCATACGCTCGAGGTGAGAGAGCCCGTACAGGCAGTCCGTGGGTCGGGATAAGGAAACGTATCTTTGCTTAGTTTTCTTGTTTTCTTTTTTTTTGTCTCTTTTTTGTCTCTAGTTTTCTACTTCTCATGTATTTCGTGTATTTGTTCAGGATGAACGGAGGTGCACGTAAAACGCACGACAGGGAAACCCGTGGGACCGATGCGATAGACGGCAATGCTGGCTGGATGTGCTAACCAATTAGTCATGGCGGCCTCGGCATTTCTATGTACATGGGAATGACATGACATGGAACGACTTTTGACTTTCTCGCAGATGGTGAACTTCAATTGGCATCAATTGATAAGATCTTGTTTCTCCGGCACCCTCTAAAAATGGTCCTCCCCCTACCATGTCGGTATCATTTGCACTCATCTTCGTACGATGGCTGCTGGGAGCACCCTCATCTGACTACCTGCAGCACAACCGGTCAGCCATCCATGACGATGGGTGTAAGTTCTGTGTGTACCTATTGTAGACTCTGACGCCTGCTGCCGCTCCGTGCGTGGCTCGCTACCAGGCACGTACCATGCTTGCCGGCGGCAGCCAGGTACACAGGTAGGTAGCTCAGTATGCATGTCGGTAGGTATGTACATATACGAAGCTTATATGTACTACGTAGTATGCAGGTGAGGCAGGTTGGCGCCCCAGGCCAAGGCTGGGATCGGATCAGGTACGTACATGGAATGTACAGAAAGTATACAGAACGGGATTATCAGCAAGGATAGGATGGATCTCGAGAGCCACCTAACTCCGTATCCAGAAAGGCAGTCTATGAGTAGTCGCATCTGAAGCTAGCGGACGGCACATCCGCGGGAGACGTACATACCTACTCCTAGTCTTATCCTTCACCGGTCGGCTCTCGCCGCGCATCGTTGATTGCCGACAGAGGGCTCTACCGGATGCCACGGGCTGACCCCCAGCGCACCTCTCGTAAACAGGCTCTGGCGCGCCTTCAGGCCCCGTTGGAAATATGATCCCAACCAGAGGCTGCGTGGGTGTGGTTTCATGTTTCCCACGTTCGATCGGAGATAATATGGGCGATCCCGCAGCACAGCGCCAAAGAGGGAAGGCTGATAAGAGGTTGCGATATGGCGAGAGGCGTGCTGCTGGATACGGATGAGAAACCAGTCATGCGCGAAGCGGAACATGCGAGGTGATCCGGAGCCAGGCCCAGAGTCCCGGCTGTGTTTGCCCATAGGTATCTCGAGGCGAAATGCCCACAAAACCTCGTCTTATGAATGGGTCCGGGGTTTCCACGATGCACGGGCGTACGCAGACACGCACCGTACAGGCAAGTTGTAGACAGCTATTGTGTTGTAAGTAGACAGAGAGAGAGAGAGAGCAGCCTCCTGATGCGACGACACCTCGACATGCTGCCTACCTACCTGCCTACCTTGCCTACGTGCCTACCTATCTACCTGCCTATCTACACGGGGGCGCGTCGTCGGTTCCACAGGTCGTATTATTTATGCATACAGGATCTGACTACGACAACGAAGCCATTGTACGTGGCGTGCCATTCATGTGCGTATCTAAGCCGGCCAAGGCTTTTCCTGACATGACATCAGGCCAGGTTGCTGTATGTGTATGGAGGCGCTAGACTCCTGCGATAGCTCCGGGGTTGCGGTTGGGAACTCGAGGCTTCTGTGGGCCGAGCGGCATTTATGAGGGCCTCAACGCCGTCTGACTTTGCAAAGAAGTGACTGAATAGGTGTATAGTTGAGTTTCGCAGCGCGTGTAACACAGGCCACAGAGGCTCATTGGACGGATGGCTGTATAGCTGACTAAATTTAAACAACCCGGTGTGAGAATCTGACATAACTGCGGGCTTCACTCCGCGGAAAAGGGGGGGGGGGGAGGGAGGAGGGTCTTGCTTGAACGAACCCCACCATCTCCCCTCCCTCTCTGGGTTGGTGCCCGCAATACGCCATATGGGCAGCACGCACGCATATAGCTGTACCAGGTGCCGCGGCGAGCTACCATACTAACATATCCACCGACATATTATAATATCCGCAGAGTCATTTACCTTCCATATGCTATATATAATAACGTAATATTGAATTGTATATAAGTCCCTAATAGAAAACTACAAATAAATGATGAGGGAGCTTTTAGGCCTAAATCAAATACAGTCCTTTAAGAAAGACAGCATATTAGGTAGGTACCTCTTCTACTGACCTCGGCTTACTGTAAGAGGTACCTGCCTACCATCTCACAGCCGTCTACTTAGAGACCCCGGGACTCTCCGCTTAGGCTCATAGAGGTAGAGGTAGGCATGTAGCCTGTACGTGAATTACATCTGAGAGCTACATTAGGCACCTTCCGGGTTCCAGTCGCTCACAATTGCGTCATCTGCAGCCTGTGCAGGCTGTACGTGTACATATGTACATAAGGGTAGGCACATAGGAGGTACCTACCTACCTCCTGCAGCCTGCCTCTACTTAACCTAACCTAGGTAGATACCAGGTACCCAAGTTCCTGAATGGGCGTGGTGCCTAGGAGGCGTAGGTACCCAAGGTATCCACCCGGGTGCCTAACCTCCATGCCTCCATGCCTCCATGGAGCCGTTGCTATCAACTGCTACACCTGCCTCGTTTAGGTATATCTCTCTCTATGTGATACGGACCGGACAACAGCTGACTGTCTTTTCAGGCCAGACAATCTCGCGGTGGAGCGGGATGCAGGTGATGCCCGGCTGTGGCATAAGGACTTGGTACGCCTGACTGTCCACCACTGCTTCTATGGACCGAAGGATACAGAGCGGACACATACCTATACATATCTACATATACAGCCTTGGATAGGAGGTATGTACCTGCATGTTGAAGCATGATGTACCTATATTATATGCCGCTTCACCTATAAGTCGGTTGATATGCCGGCACTCTG